AAAGCTTTGGAGAAGTCTAAGAAGATGCCTGTAGTATATTGTTTGCTGAGTTGTCCTGTTTTAATGTCCTGCTCTAAACGGGCGAGGTTATCTAAGGTTGAGCGGCCAGGAGTGAAACCACTTTGATCTGGGTTTATGATGTTATTTTGAGTTAGGTAATGTTGTAGTCTGTTTTTAGCCATAGATTCCATTACTTTACATAAGTTTGAAGTTAAGGAAATTGGTCTATAGGAGTTAGCCTGATTAGCTGGTTTATTAGGTTTAGGGATTGGTATGACTAAGGCCTGTTTCCAGGGAGTAGGTACTTGTCCGTTTTGATAGATGAGATTGTATAATTTAAGTAGTGCTTGGAGTAGTTTAGGGGGGATTTTTTAAATTATTTGGTAGGAAGTTAGGTCCAATCCTGAGGCTGTGCCCTTTTTCCTGTTTTGGATGACGTAGAGTAGCTCCTCCATTGTGTAAGGGTGGTTTATTTCTAGGTTGTCAATTATTTGGTTCTTTGGTGGATTTGTTTTCTGTTTTAAGTTTATCTTGAAATTTTTGGCTAAAGTTGTTGTTACTGCTTACGGCCGAAAAGTGGTTGGCGAGGTTATTTGCCTTTTCAGCGGGGTTTGTTGAATTATTAATGTTAGGTGTTTTTTTATGACGTTTTAAGCCTCTAATGGCGTGGATTTTGCGCAAGACCGTTCTGGCGTCTGTACGGTTATTTATTTCTTCACAAAAATTTTTCCAGTTTCTGGTTATAGATATTTTGACTAGACTTTGAACTTGGTGGTTTAGTTCGTGAGCTATTTTTAGATGTTTATAGTCGCGTTTGGCTTTATTGAAGGCTGATTTACGTTTACGTCTAGTTTGTTCTATTTCCTCGTTCCACCAAGGTACTGTTGGTTTGCCTGTTTTAGTTGTTTTAAAAGGGATGGAGGTTTTGGCTGCTTTTATTATGTAATCAGTTAGGTTTTTACAGTAGATTTCTGGATCATTATTTTCTAATTCGTTTAAATTAGCCTGATTGCAGATCACTTGAAATTGGTCCCAGTTAGCTTGGTTATAACGGAATTTTGGTTCTTGATTTTCTGTTTGTATTGGTACGTTTGTATTTCCTATGGTTATGTTTATGGGGACGTGATCACTACCTAGTGGGACATCGTGTACTTCCCATTGAGTACTTTGGGCTAGATCTGCGGTGCATATAGTTAGGTCGATAGCCGACATTTTTTGGTTAATCTTATCGTACCTCGTGGGTTGGTTGTTATTTAGGAGTACTTGGTCGTTTGTTTCTATCCATTCGGATATTAGTTTGCCATGATTATCTATTTTATCATTTATGCTCCAGGTAGGATGGTGAGCGTTAAAGTCTCCTAGGAATATAGTGGATTTGTTGCTTATTTGGAGTAGCTTATTTAGATCCTCAGGTTGGACTTTTTGTTCTACCCAGTGGTATATATTAATGATGTTTATCTTTTTGTTATTTAATGTGATTTGAATGCCGTTAGCTTCTAGCTTTGGCGTGTCGTTCTTTATTTCTTCGTAGTTTATATCTTCCCTGATGTATATAATCAGTCCTCCTGCGGCTCTACCTGTTTTTGGTTTAGCTCTATCTGTTCTAACTGAGTTATAGTTCGGTAGTGTGAATTCGGATTTTTTGGAGAATTTAGTTTCCTGAATACAAGCAATATTTGGGCCTTTATCTCGTTTAAATTTAGCTTTTTGTTCATTGCCGTGGGAGGTGAGTCCGTTGGCGTTCCACTGAAAAATATTTAGTCCTTCCATTATTGGGGTCGGGTGTTTGGTAATTTTCGTTTTATTTTTATTTTACTTGGTGAGTTCTTTTGGTGGAGGTTACAGAGGAAGAAGGGGAGATTGGTTAAGTTTAGATTGAATGCTACTTTGTGGAAGGATTTCATGCTTGCGTTTGGTGAGTTTTGACTATGCATGTAAGCTAGGAGTAAAGTGAGACTATTTAGGTTTTTGAAGGTAGTTTCATTTGTTTTAGTTGGAGTAGCTTCGATTGTTTCTTCTGTTGTGGAGTACTCTTCTTCATCAGTTAAGTTAGAATTAGCTGTTTGGGTTTCCATAGGGGTGGCTTGCGGTGTGGAGGGTTGTGTTTGGGCTTGCGGGGTGGGCGTAGCTGTGGATTTAGTGTTTGTGTTTTTTTGTTGTTCTAACACCGTTATCAAGCAAGTGATATACAGAGTAAGGTTGACAAGTATATATATACAGGTAGGAGGCAATGTTTATACAGTAGAGTAGATATGAGATGTAGTTATACTAGATTGGAGAAGACTGTTATGTACACAAAAGGGTAGTCATGACATTACCGGTGAACGAGTGAAGCCAGTAATATAAACAACAGAATTATGACTGATTGGCGTCTTTGATGACTTGATGGTAAGCCGGAGGTTTGTATAGCCTTGGTCACGGTTGATCGACGGTTGGAGTCTTTTGATGCTGATGGCTTGTTGTAGTTTTCTGAGTTTTTGAGGTTGGTGGATAGGGCTTTGACTTTATCCTACTGAATGCTGTGGCTTGGGTTGTCACGGATATGCTCTGATAGAGCTGATTTAGAGTCATCTTTAGAGACTGAGCTTTGATGTTCTTTAATTCGGGTTTTGAGGTGCCTAGATGTTTCTGCAATGTAAGCTTGTCCATAGTTGCACGGGATGTGGTACACTGCTCCTGGTGGTTCTAGTTTGTGGCTGGATGGTGGTTTCCCCGTGGCTTTTATTGTTCTGAATGGTGTGACTTCTTTTGAAAACGACATCAATGTTGGCTTATTTCTTTAAGAGTGGCTAACTGTTCCAAAGTAGGGGACGCTGATCACAAAGGGTGCAGACTGTTGACGGGGAGGTTTCTTGGTGATGTTCTGTATCGTCTGTGGTACTAGCTGCTTCAGGTAGAGGTTATACTGTGTAAATACTTGTTTGAGGTTGCTTAGTTCAGTGGTAAGATGTTGCTTCGTTGAACATTTGTTGTGAGGTCGTCTCGGTAGGGTTGAAATAATTCATTTCTTGACTTGAGGTGGATGGTTGGAGGAATAGTGAAAGTATTGATCTGTGGGGGGTTGTTTCCGGTAAACAGTGGTGGGGAGTTGTTGTCTTTCTGTGCAAGTACATCAACGAACGGGGCTGACGATAAGTTTCTTCCTCAATGGTGAACTGCATTCGTGGGTTTGGGGAATTCAGGTGGTCCAGTAGGATTCTGGGGTCATTGTTGGGATGTAGGATAACAAAGGTGTCATCTACTTTGCGTAACCTATGCCTATGCCTATCAAAGAAGTTATATTTAAATCAATGGTGGTTATCACGCGAGTGTGTTTGGGGATCCTAATACAGGATATTTATCATCCCTAAACCCAGAAGCGTGATAATCATATTATCATTTAATGTCATGCTTCAATTCTATGCTTGAAAACCTCTTCCCATCGCTCGCAAACATTACCTAAACATTGCAAGTTTTCCTTTCAAGAATGTGCGCATTAATATGTCACGTCAGAAGGTACATGGTGTGTCAGTCGGACAGTGACAGTGGCCAATATAGTTCCAACTGAATCTGTTTCTTTTACAGTGGCGTAACTACATATATGCGAAACAACAATTGCCTACACATACCTTTCGCGACAATCCATCGCTCTGTCCGCTAGAGTAACTGCCCTTTATCAAAATACAACTGTTTTAATTTGTGGAAAAGGTTCTAAGCCACAGAGGTCTACATTACTCTACAAGCACAGATATCGAAACTGATCCAGCTTGGCAAGTGTTCTCGCAAACTTGTTACGCAATTTATATTTCCAAAGTTGCCAAAACTGGTAAAATGCCTTTGCTACGTCACCATTAGATTTTCAGACTATTCTTTTGATAATGATAGCAATTATCCAAGCAGCTTCTCCAGATGGTTAACTCTGACTCGATACCTACGAAGGCAAACATATCGGGATTCAAAAATCATACGTGCCCTAGGGTCATAGCACGTCAGAAGACAACTCAGACAACGGTGTCTTGTTTCCGACATCCGGCAGCATTGTTGACGACATTCGAATCTTATTGTGACGTGAGGTCAGGATGACGTCACACTCGCTCTCGCTCGGGAAATGCCGGAATTTAGACACTTATATAATATCCTCTACATCCCTATCAAAAGTGAAGTAGCGTTTATAGAATAAAATAGTATATATATATGAAATCTTTATAAAATTCTTCATACCGTACCGTGTGCTCTAGGGATTAAGAGTTCGAGAAATACATATGTGCTGTACGGGTTAAGAGTTCGAGAAATACGTACCATGTGCTGTACGGGTTAAGACTCAGAGAAATAATTACCATGTGGTGTGCGGGTTAAGAGTGCAAGAAATGCGTACATATGTTGTACTGGTTAAGAGTCAGGGAAATGGGGACTACTTAAGAGTGAGTGAGTGAATGTGATTTTACGCCGCTTTTAGCAATACACCAGCAATATCACGATGGGGGACACCACAAATGGGCTTCACACATTGTACCCATGTGGGAAATAGAACTAGGGTCTTCGGCGTGACGAGCGAACGTTTTAACCACTGGACTACCCAACGCCCCTACGTTTTAAGAACAGTTAATGCAGACGGGACATTTTAATATTAGAGTTGCGGAGAGAAGACTTCACAGGGAGGAAACAGGTTATTTTGAAGTTTGACTTATTTCAGCGGTGATAGGTTAAAATGCGTTCGGAAAGTCCGTCGTTAGTTGGGTAGAGGTGACGTAACGTAGACCTCACAACTAGCTGAAACCGGTTGGGGGTCTTCAAAGAAGTATCAGAATTCTCTTCCAACAATAGGTGACGTCACAGTACGTCTAGGCAGTGGAATATTACATTTAGGCTCAGGTGTGGGTGAAAATATTGTCGTGTCTCATTGGAGTATATTAAGTTGAATTAAATTAAATGTCCTACCAGCAAATTCAATTTTAAAGGTCGATTATCCGCCGAAACGGATTCCATAAAAGGCAAAATAGCAATGAAAATTATATATATACCTGAGCTGGCGAAGTTCGTAGTGAAAGACAAGCCATGAATCTCCCAGCTCCCGATTCCCAGATAGACTTGGACAGTCTGGGCGGCATCACACGTTCCATTCTGGTCGTAGATGACAGACTCTGGTTCGTTCAGATTCCGAGATGCGTCTGTAGAGAAGGTTGGATGAACTGAGGAAGATATTGATGTGTGTACACATGTACAAGGCACGAGCACCTGCGTGTGTGTGTGTGTGTGTGTGTGTGTGTGTGTGTGTGTGTGTGTGTGTGTGTGTGTGACATATGCACACACCAAATGCTGAGGGCAGTAAAATTATCAAGTATCTGAGAGGATTTTAATATTTTAGACCCATCCCTTTCAAAATGCAAAACATTGCTTATGCGATGCTTCTTGAGACAAGTACATATTACTATTATGGGGCTAAACATCCCAAAACAGATATGTGTGCGCGCGGGCGTGTCCGTCTGTCTGTCTGTCTGTCTGTCTGTCTGTCTGTCTGTCTGTCTGTCTGTCTCTCTGTCAAATAATCATAATCATCAACGACCTAACTTCGATGTGGCTATTATCATGTTATGTGTTTCCAAGGAATATTTCATAAGACAGGAGGAAAGTGTTACGCATGGACCGAGCTTTTACTTCGAGACAACGTGTAAGCTCTCTTGTTGAGCAGCTGAAGAGGAATTAGAGTGAGTGAGTTGGGTTTAACGCCGCTTTTCACAGTATTAAAATTAGGCCACAAAAAGAACAACAAGCTACGAGGAATGGCGGATTATCCATCCAGGATGAGAGCCTGATGGGAGCCGTGAGCCTTGCTTATCATTAATTCACAGGGTCTTCGGCAACCCATGCTTGTCGTAAGAGGCGACTAACGGGATCGGGTGGTCAGACTCGCTGACTTGGTTGATGCATGTCATCGGTCCCAATTGCGTGGATCGATGATCATGATGTCAATCACTGGATTGTCTGGTCTAACAAACAACAAACTAAACCAAAAAACATTAATTCACAGGGGAGATAATCCGCAATTCCGGGTTTCAAGCAATCTCATTAAAATCTTATCTTAGTTCTCGCTACAGCTAAACATAGATCCGAGGACATCAAAATACAGGTCACGTCATAACGCCCTTTCACGACCTTTGACCGACCAATGAAATGACTAGCAAAAAGTCGACATCAGCAAATCAGAAAGCGGCTTTTTCGTGCAAAACGCCACTAGTTTCAAACTGGCGACTACCATTCCAAACTATGCTCTGAAAATACTTCTACTAAGTTCTCGAATCAAAATTTGAAAACTGACCAAATGAAAATTCTGTAATGTCAAATAGGTAACCGAGATTGTATGGCAATACTTCCAACTGGCTATCAAAGTCTCTCCCGTTCATATAGAATACTAAACGAGCTCCCGTGTAGTAACAATTTTATGAAACGAGTGAATAATTGTGGTATCTGACGAGCGAAAGCCACAACTATTCATGAGGTTCATAAAATTGGTTTTACACGGTAGCGAGTTTAGTATTTTATTTATTACTTGCCATTTATAACGTTTTTAGAATTGTACTGTTGAGTATGAATAGGCTGACACCTACACGATCCACGGCATAGTCCAATTGAGTTTAACAGAATAATATTGCAAACAAGTCAAAAGTTGAAACGTATGAATTTAATACCATACAACGGTACACCTTTAGAATTCACAAAGCTATCGTAGAGCTAAGACTATCACAACTCACATACTTTAACAGACTAACGACTGTCGTTGCGCTACAATACGATCGCCAATGTGGAACGGGTCTTGCACCTCAAAGTTTACAATAACGTCACAATACCCGATGACGTAATTTGTGGAATTTTGTTGCAAGATCCATCGGCGAAACAATGCTATGTGACGTCAGCCTAGCAACAAGGTTGCTGGGGTCATCGAGTGTGCATAAGCTCCTCTCAGTGATCTATCAACTCCACACGCAATGTCGTTGAATAAGCCAAGGGATGTTGAGAGCTTTCAATATTTGTTCGTCAAACGTGTTCCGAGAGTACATTAGCTCGCGTTTTGGTATTACACAATGTGTAATACAGCTGTATGTCTATTAAACGGGTGATCTCTTCACGAGCAAGTAATAAACATGTTTATCCCACTGAAGCAAGATATAGACAATGATTTTGACGGAATCAGTCGTACAGCCCGTAACTGTCGATCGGAATACCCCGTGTTAACCTTTTCGAGGCTGCATGATTAGAAAACACATTCCGACTGTCACTTTCGCAATTTGGTAAGCGACGCCCTGATTGGTCGGATGAGACGTCGTTCTGACGTAACCCGTAAGTCGGATGTCCTTTGATCTTTGTTTAGCAGACAGACAGACAGATTGTTTATTAGTCTCACCACTGTTTACATATTAAGATAAATGACATAGTAAATTATACATCACCGAGCCACCCGTCGATGGGTTATGAGAGACTTTAAAATACAATTGCTAACTGCATACAACTATTTACTAAAAGGCGCTTAAAACATTTACACAAGCAACACATATTGTAAAACAGGCAACAGCAATTTACACACGATGATAACGATAGCGAGAACTAAGATTTTATTTTAATGAGATCGGGTTTGAAAGAGGTTATTCTGCATTGTACTCATTATCTTTTTACGAAAGCAGAATGAAGCAAAACATAAAAAGGTCAACGCTTGATTGACTTCGCTGTTCAGATGATGTTAAGGTATCAATATGTGACGTCATGCATGGAATTGGATGAACAATCACTTGAATGGAACAATAACTTCCTTTACAGATCCTACAGACAAACACCGTTACGTCGTACTTTGATGTGTCGACCTTACGGTTGTCTCGAAGTAAACGTTCGGTACATGCGTATTCCTTCTTTAAAAACAAATATGTGTGCCCATCCTCGAATAGTCTTTGCACTACTTTGTCTACCAACAACTATTTAAAATTCGGCTTGTATAATCTCCTCGTTTGGTTATATGCACTCGTGAAACCCTGGGCTACGTAACTGCACATTATGTTGGTCTGAGATTAATATCGAGTTAACCGAAGGATGTATGAAACTTACTGGAGCAAACAGGCAGCACGTAATCCCAGTCGGAGCCCACTGTCACTGCGGTGTTGCCAGCGGTGTGGACGTAGCCGTCGTAGCACATGTATGTGACGCTGTTGCCGTCCACTGTTCTGTAGGCGAACGCTACCGGCTGGAGGTCATCAACTGAACAGTTAGGGAGGAGGTGAATGTTGGTCGAATTGGTGAGTGCGTTGGAATATACTTTTGTGTTCGGTGAGTTGGTGAGTGCTTTGGAGCATGTTTGTGTGTTAGGCGAATACGTGAGTGCGTCGGAGCATGTGTGTGTGTAAGCCGAATTGGTGAGTGCGTTGGAATATACTTTTGTGTTCGGTGAGTTGGTGAGTGCTTTGGAGCATGTTTGTGTGTTAGGCGAATTAGTGAGTGCGTCGGAGCATGTGTGTGTGTTAGGCGAATAGATGAGTGCGTTAGAATATACTTTTGTGATCGTTGAGTTTGTGAGTGCTTTGGAGCATGTTTGTGTGTTAGGCGAATACGTGAGTGCGTCGGAGCATGCTTGTGTGTTAGGTGAGTTGGTGAGTGCGTCAGAATATACTTTTGTGTTCGGTGAGTTGGTGAGTGCGTTGGGGCATGTTTGTGTGTTAGGCGAATTGGTGAGTGCTTTGGAGCATGCTTGTGTGTTAGGTGAGTTGGTCAGTGCGTCGGACCATGCATGTGTGTGAGGCGAATTGGTGAGTGCTTTGGAGCATGCTTGTGCGTTAGGTGAGTTGGTGAGTGCGTCGGAGCATGCTTGTGTGTTAGGTGAGTTGGTCAGTGCGTCGGACCATGCATGTGTGTTAGGCGAATTGGTGAGTGCTTTGGAGCATGCTTGTGTGTTAGGTGAGTTGGTGAGTGCGTCGGAGCATGCTTGTGTGTTAGGCGAATTCGAGAGTGCGTTGGAATATACTTTTGTGCTCGGTGAGTTGGTGAGTGCGTTGGGCCATGTTTGTGTGTTAGGCGAATTGGGGAGTGCGCCGGAGCATGTGTGTGTGTTAGGCGAATTGGTGAGTGCGTTGGAATATACTTTTGTGTTCGGTGAGTTGGTGAGTGCTTTGGAGCATGTTTGTGTGTTAGGCGAATACGTGAGTGCGCCGGAGCATGTGTGTGTGTTAGGCGAATTGGTGAGTGCGTTGGAATATACTTTTGTGTTCGGTGAGTTGGTGAGTGCTTTGGAGCATGTTTGTGTGTTAGGCGAATTAGTGAGTGCGTCGGAGCATGTGTGTGTGTTAGGCGAATAGATGAGTGCGTTAGAATATACTTTTGTGTTCGTTGAGTTGGTGAGTGCTTTGGAGCATGTTTGTGTGTTAGGCGAATTGGTGAGTGCGTTAGAATATACTTTTGTGTTCGTTGAGTTGGTGAGTGCTTTGGAGCATGCTTGTGTGTTAGGTGAGTTGGTGAGTGCGTCGGAGCATGCTTGTGTGTTAGGCGAATTGGGGAGTGCGTCAGAATATACTTTTGTGTTCGGTGAGTTGGTGAGTGCGTTGGGGCATGTTTGTGTGTTAGGCGAATTGGTGAGTGCGTTAGAATATACTTTTGTGTTCGGTGAGTTGGTGAGTACGTCGGAGCATGCTTGTGTGTGAGGCGAATTGGTGAGTGCTTTGGAGCATGCTTGTGTGTTAGGTGAGTTGGTCAGTGCGTCGGACCATGCATGTGTGTTAGGCGAATTGGTGAGTGCTTTGGAGCATGCTTGTGTGTTAGGTGAGTTGGTGAGTGCTTTGGAGCATGCTTGTGTGTTAGGTGAGTTGGTCAGTGCGTCGGACCATGCATGTGTGTTAGGCGAATTGGATAGTGCTTTGGAACATGCTTGTGTGTTATGTGAGTTGGTGAGTGCGTCGGAGCATGCTTGTGTGTTAGGTGAGTTGGTCAGTGCGTCGGACCATGCATGTGTGTTAGGCGAATTGGTGAGTGCTTTGGAGCATGCTTGTGTGTTAGGTGAGTTGGTGAGTGCGTTGGAGCATGCTTGTGTGTTAGGCGAATTGGGGAGTGCGTCAGAATATACTTTTGTGTTCGGTGAGTTGGTGAGTGCGTTGGGGCATGTTTGTGTGTTAGGCGAATTGGTGAGTGCGTTAGAATATACTTTTGTGTTCGGTGAGTTGGTGAGTACGTCGGAGCATGCATGTGTGTGAGGCGAATTGGTGAGTGCTTTGGAGCATGCTTGTGTGTTAGGTGAGTTGGTGAGTGCGTCGGAGCATGCTTGTGTGTTAGGTGAGTTGGTCAGTGCGTCGGACCATGCATGTGTGTTAGGCGAATTGGTGAGTGCTTTGGAGCATGCTTGTGTGTTAGGTGAGTTGGTGAGTGCGTCGGAGCATGCTTGTGTGTTAGGCGAATTCGAGAGTGCGTTGGAATATACTTTTGTGCTCGGTGAGTTGGTGAGTGCGTTGGGCCATGTTTGTGAGTTAGGTGAGTTTGTGAGTGCGTTGGGGCTGGTTTATGTGTTAGGTGAGTTGGTGAGTCCGTTGGAGCTTGTTTTTGTATTAGGTGAGTTGGTGAGTGCGTTAGAATATACTTTTGTGTTCGGTGAGTTGGTGAGTGCTTTGGTGAGGTGAGGTGAAATTGGGTTTAACGTCGCGTCCAAGATTATTGCACTTATATAGCGACGTGCATGCACGTGTATGTGTGTGTGTGGCTGCTTGTACTAGTCCGGACTAATGCCGATTTATAGTGCTAGCTCACTGAGCTACCATGCCGCAGTTTAACATGAATACCCCACTCAGACACAGTATACCGACTCCGAGCCGACCAGTCCTTGTTTTAGCCCCTTAATGCCGAGCGCCATACAGGGTAACAAGTACCATCTTTTAACGTCTTGTGGTATGACGCGGTCGGGGATCGAACCCCGGACTTTCCGCTCTCCGGGCGGACGCTCTACCACTAGACCACGGAGGCGGTCAAGGCGTACAAAGAAGATTGTTGATAAAAATTATGAATGTATCACTGACACCAGATGTTGGCGTAAAGTGTGAGCACGTGCACAAACGCCTATCAAATATCCCACCTGTGATACCTGAGGCTCTAGCAAGGACGCCAAGAGTTAGGACGAGGGCACAAAGAGACGACATTCTGGAAACGAGAAAGAAGTATTGAGGTGGAACTCACAGTTTCTACATCTTATCTAGAACCTGAGAACCTAAAGTGAGTGAGTTAAAATTTAACGTCACATATTTAAGCCATATTGTGAATAGAACAAGTTAAATATCAACATTGAGACTGTATAAGGAACCCGTCGACGATGGACAGGACAATAACAAGATAATCACAGTTTTAAAAAAATATTAAAACAAGTAATAGAGCATTATAAAACTATTAATAGACAATCCAGTATACAAACGGGCTATAGATCGCCAGCAACCAAAGCTAGGCCCCCGTATTAGAGACCGTGGGGTACCGCTACTACTTACACGGCTTCCCAGCAGGATTTATACCATCCCTCTAGCCGATGCCGATTAAAATAAACAATGATTCTTTTATTAAAAACGGTAATCGATAAAACATTCCAGGATGCCTTCTTAAGGAGACCTAGAACCTAGAGAACATGTAGAACCTAGAAAGCATGTAGAACCTAGAAAGCATGTAGAACGTAGAGAACATGTAGAAACTAGAAAGCATGTAGAACGTAGAAAGCATGTAGAACGTAGAAAGCATGTAGAACGTAGAGAACATGTAGAACCTAGAAAGCATGTAGAACCTAGAAAGCATGTAGAACGTAGAGAACATTTAGAACCTAGAAAGCATGTAGAACGTAGAGAACATGTAGAAACTAGAAAGCACGTAGAACCTAGAGAGCACGTAGAACGTCGAGAAAATGTAGAACCTAGAAAGCATGTAGAACCTAGAAAGCATGTAGAACGTAGAGAACATTTAGAACCTAGAAAGCATTTAGAACGTAGAGAACATGTAGAACCTAGAAAGCATGTAGAACCTAGAGAGCATGTAGAACGTAGAGAACATGGAGAATAAAGAAAGCATGTAGAGCCTAGAAAGCATGTAGAACGTAGAGAGCACGTAGAACCTAGAGAAAATATGTAGAACCTAGAGAAAATATGTAGAACCTAGAGAACATGTAGAACCTAGAAAGCACGTAGAACGTAGAGAACATGGAGAATAAAGAAAGCATGTAGAACGTAGAGAGCACGTAGAACCTAGAGAGGGTGTAGAACCTAGAAAGCATGTAGAACCTAGAGAGGGTGTAGAACCTAGAGAGCATGTAGAACCCAGAAAGCATGTAGAACCTAAAAATCATGTAGATCCTTAAAAACATATAGAACCTAGAGAGTATTAAATCGCAGATGGTGAGGGGAGGTGAAATGGGGTTTAACGTAGTGTTCAAGATTATTGCACTTATACAGCGACGTGCATGCACGTGTGTGTGTGGCTGCAGTCCGGACTGATGCCGGTTTATAGTGCTATCCCACTGAGATACCATGCCGCAGTTTCACATGAATACCCCACTCAGACACAGCATACTGACTCGGAGCCAACCATTCCTTGTTTTAGCCCCTTAATGCCGAGCGCCCAGAGTAACAAGTATCATCTCGAACCACGGACCTTCCGCACTCCGGGTGGATGCTCTACCACTAGACCAAGGAGGCGGACTTGCAGTCCGAGAGAGCATGTAGAACCCAGAGAGCATTAAATCCCAGACAACATGTAGAACCTTGAAAGCATGTAGAATTTAGAATGCATGTAGAACCTAGAGAGCATGTAGAACCTAGAGAGTATCAAGAACCTATAGAGCATTACGCACCTACGTAAAAACTTCGAGTAATCCGAAAATGATGAATAAAGAAGGAATACGCATCGACCATGCTTTGCTTCGAGACACATCGACACATCAAAGTTCAACTGTGTTCAACAATCTAACCCTGTGGATGGACAGCAGACACCTCTTTGTTCAACATTCTTACCTTGTGGATGAACAACAGACATCCCTGTCTTCAACAATCTTACCTTGCGGATGAACAACAGACGCCCCTATCTTCAACAATCTTACCTTGTGAATGAACAACAGACGTCCGATGTGTTCAACAATCTTACCTTGTGGATGAACAACAGACGCCCCATGTGTTCAACAATCTTACCTTGTTGATGAACAACAGACACCCCTGTTTTCAACAATCTTACCTTGAGGATGAACCACAGTCACCCCTGTATTCAATAATCTTACCATGTGGATGAACAACAGACACCCCTGTGTTCAGCAATCCTACCTTGTGGATGAACAACAGATGCCCCTGTGTTCAACAATCTTACCTTGTGGATGAACAACAGACACCCCTGTCTTCAACAATCTTACCTTGTGGATGAACAACAGACACCCCTGTCTTCAACAATCTTACCTTGTGGATGAACAACAGACGCCCCTGTGTTCAACAATATTACCTTGTGGATGAACAACAGACACCCCTGTTTTCAACAATCTTACCCTGTGGATGAACAACAGACACCCCTGTGTTCAGCAATCTTACCCTGTGGATGAACAACAGACACCCCTGTGTTCAGCACTCATACCCTGTGGATGAACAACAGACACCCCTGTGTTCAACAATCTTACCTTGTGGATGAACAACAGACACCCCTGTGTTCAGCACTCATACCCTGTCGATGAACAACAGACGCCCCTGTCTTCAACAATCTTATTTTGTGGATGAACAACAGACGCCCCTGTGTTCAACAATCTTACCTTGTGGATGAACAACAGGCGCCCCTGTCTCCAACAATCTTACCTTGTGGATGAACAACAGTCAACCCTGTCTTCAACAATCTTTCCTTGTGGATGAACAACAGACACCCCTGTGTTCAACAATCTTACCTTGTGGATGAACCTCAATCATCCCTGTCTTTAACAATCTTACCTTGTGGATGAACAACAGACACCCCTGTGTTCAGCACTCTTACCCTGTGGATGAAGAACAGACACCCCTGTCTTCAACAATCTTACCTTGTGGATGAACAACAGACGCCCCTGTCTTCAACAATCTTACCCTGTGGATGAACAACAGACACCCCTGTGTTCAGCACTCATACCCTGTGGATGAACAACAGACGTCCCTGTCTTCAGCACTCTTACCTTGTGGATGAACAACAGACGCCCCTGTTCTCAGCACTCTTACCTTGTGGATGAACAACAGACACCCCTGTCTTCAACAATCTTACCTTGTGGATGAACAACAGACGTCCCTGTCTTCAGCACTCTTACCTGGTGAATGATCAAAAGACATCCTTTGTCGCTCAGTCCAGAAGAGCCTAAGTCGTTTGAAGTAAACTTCTTAACGTGGTGTTTGTAAATTATGAATGTGCGTCCACACCACTCAAACAGAAGCACTTAAATCACCTGATCATCAATCAAGCAGTCAATCACCGTGACATTCACAAACAGAGTTGCTAGAACCATCAGAAGATGCTTACCATACTTTGAATAAAAGCCCCTTCGCAACAGCTCCCAATGTTTTCAAGACCAGTAATGATCGTTACAGATAATGACAGACAGACAGATTTATTTGTATAAGGCCATTTGACCCATTATACAAAATAAATTTACATTATATTTATCTAAGAGTTACCTTATTGATACTTGTTTTAGTGTGTTACAGATCATGTATCCTACATAGACTTCTATATGTTACATATGATATAGCCTACACAGACTTCTATATGTTACAGGTGATATAGCCTACGCAGACTTCTATATGTTACATGTGATATAGCCTTCACGGACTTCTATATGTTACAGGTGATATAGCCTAAACAGACTTCTATATGTTACATGTGATATAGCCTACACAGACTTCTATATGTTACAGGTGATAAAGCCTACACAGACTTCTATACGTTACAGGTGATATAGCCTACACAGACTTCTATATGTTACATGTGATATAGCCTACACATACTTTTATATGTTACATGTGATATAGCCTACATAGACTTCTATATGTTACATGTGATATAGCCTACACATACTTCTATATGTTACAGGTGATATAGCCTACACAGACTACTATATGTTACAGGTGATATATAGCCTACATAGACTTCTATATGTTACAGGTGATATAGCCTACACAGACTTCTATATGTTACAGGTGATATAGCCTACATAGACTTCTATATGTTACATGTGATATAGCCTACACAGACTTCTATATGTTACATGTGATATAGCCTTCACGGACTTCTATATGTTACATGTGATATAGCCTACACAGACTTCTATATGTTACATGTGATATAGCCTTCACGGACTTCTATATGTTACAGAACATATAGCCTACACAGACTTCTATATGTTACATGTGATATAGCATTCACGGACTTCTATATGTTACATGTGATATCGCCTACACAGACATCTATATGTTACAGAACATATAGCCTACACAGACTTCTATACGTTACATGTGATATAGCCTTCACGGACTTCTATATGTTACATGTGATATCGCCTTCACAGGCTTCTATATATACTGAGTCAAATTAAAAACTTCACATTTTTAAAAGTAAACCCATATATGATATACAACGGACAAATGTATCAGAGAAGGTAATTTTTAATCATTAAGGATTTTAATCAACGGTGGTAACCATAATTTGTTCCAAGCACCTACAGTATTCGGTAATAACATCAACAGTTTAAATCATAAGTCCCAAGCACGAGAATCTGATGGCACACAAGTTCAGTAGCGTGTATGGCCACCATGTGCGTTGACAACTGCCACACAACGCCTCCGCATGGACCTTGTGATGCTTGTGAACACATGATTGGGAAGACGACGCCATTGTTGCTGCAAAATGGTGCCAAGATCTTGCAAATTCTGTGGTTGGTTCTGGAGAGTGCGCAGATTTCTGCCAAGAGCATTCGATGGGACTGAGGTCGGGAGACCTTGACGGCCAGTCCATGACGTTGACTCCCGCATTCTGAAGGAAATTCCTTGTCAAAATTGCTGTGTGGGGTCTTGCATTGTCGTGTTAGAAGATCAAACCGGGTCCATGTGCTGCCATAAAAGGCAGAAGTTCTGGTGCCAGTACCTGGTCGCGGTAAGCAGCAGCATTGAGGTTGCCACGGATGACAAGAAGCCTGGAACGTGCATTGCCACAGAAAGCACCCCACACCATGACACTTTCGCCTCGAAATCTGTCAACTTCCTGTACACAACACTGGGCGTAACGTTCATGACGGCGCCTCCACACCCTCGCCCTACCATCAGCAAATCGAAGATTAAATCGGGATTCATCACTGAAGACGACTTGATTCCAATTCCTCTGAGTCCATCGTAAGTGTCGCTGTGCCCACAATTGACGTTGACGTCTGTGTAATTGAGTCAGAATCGGCCCGCAGTATGGCCGTCGTGCTTGAAGGTGAGCAGTTCTCAGACGGTTTCGAACAGTTTGCGCACTCAGTCTACCCATAAACAGTTAATTTCTGGTTGATGTAGCCGTCAAAAATCGGTTACGGAGGTGACGTAAGACAATCTGACGATCCTCTGCATGTGACGTCACACGTGGTCGACCTGGCCGAGGGCGATCAGCTGTGGTACCCGTTTGCTGTAGACCCATCGTCCTTGCGACTTCAGCTACGGACGTTCCCGTCTGCAACATGCCGATGGCACGTTCACGTTGCACATTTGAAAGGCGTGGCATGACAAATGGCCGTAAAGACTTTTGTTTTCTTGTGTTTTTCTTTTGTTTGTTAATGACTGCTAACAAGTATGGCTGAAAACACGTGCGGTATTATGGTCACGTGACCAGTTGCACGTGAAAAACCACTTTTGCCTATATAGTGCCGTGCACATGATTTGGATCGATTCACCTGCACAAGAACGGGTGTTATCTGAAGACAATACGTGGCCATTACTGTTTAAATACACAATAAGGGCCCTCAATGATAACTGGTCAAAATGTTAAAATTTTAGGATTGTGAAGTTTTTAATGATATATATGATGATATAGCCTACACAGACTTCTATATGTTACATATGATATAGCCTACACAGACGTCTATATGTTACAGTAATATGTGGCCATTACTGTTTAAATACACAATAAGGGCCCTCAATGATAACTGGTCAAAATGTTAAAATTTTAGGATTGTGAAGTTTTTAATGATATATATGATGATATAGCCTACACAGACTTCTATATGTTACATATGATATAGCCTACACAGACGTCTATATGTTACAGGTGAAATGGACTACAATTTATATGACTAAATAAACTCAGGGCTTTCAAGGAAGCACAAATCTCTTATGAGAGGAGAGTGTTCCCAACACAGTGGCTGATCCTGGGCATGGTGCTGGTCACCCACGACTCATTGTGCTGTCGTTGTGAGTACGTCTCGTTTGTGGAGCGCAACCCAGGTACTCATATATAATGAACGGGTTCTTTACAACTTCAGTTACGTCTTTTACATCTTTGACAGACTTCTATCTACGGTTATTTAGGTATTGATTGACTGTCTTTTGTATCTGTGCCCATAGTAACAGACATGTTGATAAGTAATTGTTTTCCTGTCAGGAGCTGCCTGCTGATCCGGCCAACCGGATCAACCGGATCAACCGGTTTGTTTGTTTTACCATGTGCATTTGCGCCCACATACTCACAGTGTGAGTATTGTTAAACGGTGCTTTCAGCAATATTTCAGCAGTATCACTGCGGGGGACACCAGATATGTGGGGAATCGAACCCAGGTGTACGGCGTGACGAGCAAACGATTTAACTACTAGGCTACGTACCACCCTTTACATTTGGTTTTATCCAGTTATCTGTCTGCTACTTGTTGTCTAATATCGTTGTTTTCTATGTTAATCTGCTGCTCATCGAGTCTTGCATATATACCTCTCAGCACTTGGTTGTTGCCAGTCCAGCTTGATAGCGGTGTAAGAATCTACATGGAAACGTCGCTAAATGCAATCAGCCAGAAGTTGTTATCCCTAAAGTTGTACGTTTTCTTAAGATGACACAATATCTAATACCGTATTCGACGTAATAAGCGCCCAGGGCACTTTCAAAATTAGAAATAGGGGGTTCTTATTAGAATTTTATTTTGGCGAAAAAAATAGAGTTGAAGATAAATTTCGTGGTTTATGCTGACAGCCTGAAATGTTTATATACTACAGATATATTTTTCCAGAATTTAATTGCTCATAATTAATTATATATAACACTCGAGTGCGTATTATACGCGAATAAATAAGTCTTGTGTACATTGATCAATCGGAAGGGGCGCTAATTGGGATTATTCACTAGCCAATATATTAGCAAATATCGCCGTGGGCGCTTGTTACGTCGAATACGGTAAATATCGTCGCTGATGCTTATCACTTGTCACAGTTTCAAGTTGAAATATTGGTTCTGAATACTGATAGAAGCATTCTTTGAATGAAGGAGACAAACGATTAATCTTTTTGCGCATTTTGGGGAAGGGAATATTCTTTTCACAATAGGTTGATTGAATGGTATGAAGTGCTCAGGAGAAACCCACGATGCGTAATCACATCGTTCTAAATGCTGGTTAATACCATCGAGAAAATTGATCGTTAGATCTTATATGCCTCTCTAGAGGCGATTTAGTTCTCGTAATTGCGATACCTCGTTCAACATAATTCCAATGTATGTTCAAGACATGCCCTAGCAATAGATTAACATGCACGAGTGTGTGTGTGTGTGTGTGTGTGTGTGTGTGTGTGTGTGTGTGTGTGTGCATGTGGGTGTGCGTTTGTTTGGTAGGACTAGTCCGGACTAATGCCGATTTTATAGTAAACTCTCAGACGATCAGTCCTTGTTCTATCCCCTTAAGGCTGTGCGCCAGGCAGGATCACAAGTACCATCATTTAACTTCTTTTTGGTATGATGCGGCCGGGGATGGTTAGTAGAATTCCTTTACGAAATGATTTGTGCACCCGAGGTTCATCACAAATTAATCCTAGGTTTAGGTCCACACATGGCATGTGAAGTCCATTATCGTGGTGATGCCGCCTTCTCATGGCTGCAACATTTACCAAAGACGGCATAAAACTCCATTCACTCACTTGTACGCTATGTCACAGCTGAAGGTTTGCATTTTTGTTTGATGATCGGGTTAGAATATAGGTCCCCCGGCAACCAATGCCCCCCTCATAATATCAGTCACAGGTTTGTCTGGTCAGGATTCTATTATTTACAGCCTGCCGTCATAATCCTGGAATATTGTTGAGAGCGACGATAAACAACAAACTAACCTTAACCTGTTGTGACTGGTGTCTGCTGGTGTTTACAGTGATCAGGAAGTTGACCATGGAGTGAACGTCCGGGACTCACTATCCACACTATCCAGCGTTTATACAAAAAGGCCTCACCAGTGGAGATCCGGGGTAGAATAGGTCTTCAGCAACGCATGCTTGCCGTAAAAGCCGACCATGCTTGTCGTAAGAGCAATTTCATTAAAATCATATCTTAGTTCTCGCTACTCTAAACAAAGATCTGAGGACATCCCATTATGGGTCACATCAGACCGATCTTGCGCGAATTTTGACCGACCAATGGAGGGACTGACAAGAAGTCGACATTAGCCAATCAGAAGGCAGCTTTCTCGTGCTTTACGGCACTAAATTCAAATTGGCGACTACGCTTCGAAACATATTTTGACAAATTCTCGATTAAAAATTTGAAACCTGAACAAAAGAACATTCTGGAATGGTTAATAGATGGTCTAGATTGTATGGATTCAGTCGTTAAACCCGTAACTATCGTTTGGAATACTCAGTGTTTAAGTTTTCGAGGTTGCATCAGTAGAAACCACATTCCGACTGTCACTTTCATGATCTGGTAAGCGACGCTCTGATTGGTCGGATGAAAGGTCGTTCTGACGTGATCCCTAATGGAAGTCCTCAGATCTTTGTTAAGCGGTAGCGAGAACTAAGATCTGATTTTAATGAGATTGGTGGTAAGAGGCAACTAACCGGATCTGGTGGTCAGGCTCGCCGACTTGGTTGATGCATGACTTGGTTGATGCATGACTTGGTTGATGCATGACTTGGTTGATGCATGTCATCGTATCCCAATTGCGTGGATCGATGCTCATGATATTAATCACTGAATTGTCTGGTCCAGACTCGATTATTTACAGACCGCCGTCAAATAGCCATAATATTGCCGAGTGCGGCGTTAAACAACAAACCAAACCAAACCAAAACAAAAAGACCACCTTGAAATTGCTGGAATATTGCTAAAAGCGGTGTCAAACCATACACACTCACTCACTTATACAAAAAGAATTCGTCTTGTTTTGTCAATCAAAGAACCATAATGCACACAAAGACAACAAACACACACATCTAGCTACTATGGGAGTTGTATTATTAAACAATAAAAGTAATATATAATAATAATAATAATATAATGGTGTGCATATTAAATACAAGCACAAAAGAGAAACTATCTAAGGAGATAAAAATATTTCAAAGCACACAGAAAAATTGCTCCAGTGAAAATAGCTGCTTCATTTTATGTAAACTAGTTTGCCTCCAACACAAACACTGTTGATATAGGAAACCCAAAAACAAAGAGCTAATGCACAAATTCAGCCTGGTATAAACTAGTCAACAATCAATCTAGTCCCAAATCCCTGTACTTTAGCGGTGGTGACCACTAAGATCTGATTTTATTGAGATTTTGATCTTGGGGAAGTAACAGCAAACCTGTGAAATGGGAAAATCCCTACACACATAACTCATAGAATTTTTTTCTAGTGGATTGCATTTAGCAAAATTTTGATGAAGATTCTTTCACCGTTATTAAGCTGAAGCTTTATGCAATAAACCAGAAGTTGTTTTCTAGAAAGTTGTATGTTGTCTTATTTACTCACAAACCTCTAGAATGCCAATCAAACAGTTAATATTTGAAACTGTAAGAAAATTTTACTGGCCTCAAAAACATAACTAATATATTCAATGAGTGATTGAGTGAGTGAATATGGTTTTACGCCGCTTTTAGCAATATTCCAGCAATATCACGGCGGGGGACCGTCCCTATATTCAATGAAATGAACCCTGTATGAACTACGACATCAATAAATTCTCTTAGATTCCATGCTCTCCAACACACAGCAGGAACAGATAGGATCGGGGATACCCAACAACACACTAGTGCGCAAACAGTCCATTATTTAACACTTTTACAATATATAGGATCCATACCCATGGGTTTATCACAGCTGAAAGTTCAATTTGTGTCCAATAATTCCAGGATAAGGCGTCATAAGATTGTGTAGAATATCATAAAAGGCACCAGCGAATATTAAACCCAGTTCATTTAAGATACAATAACTGGTATTTGCTACATACGCTCACCACATAAACTACGCTTACCACATAAACTCTTCCAAATAAATAAAAATGATCAGTTGTCTTTTTTTTCAAATCAAACTTATTTATCAATATTTTAGAATATATGCTCAACTGGTGATTAATAACATGGATAGAGTAGTAACAGAAACATTGAGCCCAAAACAAGCATATCATACAACACTCATAAAAAACAGCTGACAGGAATGAGATCATGTGACAGCATGGTGTTATGAAACAATTATAGACTTTGCAGTGAAACTGTGTGAAATACTGGCTGATAAATAATAATAATAATAATAATAATAATAATAATAATAATCTGCTTGTAAAGTGTAAGACTCATATAACAAAATATGCTTACGACGTAATAAGCGCCCTGCTCTAATAAGCGCCCACGGCGATATTTGCTTATATATTGGCCAGTGAACAATACCAATTAGCAGCCCTTCCGATTGATCTATGTACACAACACTTATTTATTCGCGTATAATATGCACTCATGTGTTATATGCACCCTTAATTATGGGCATTTAAATTCTGGAAAAATGTATCTCTCGTATATAAACGTTTCAGGCTGTCAGCATAAACCACAAAATTTATCTTTCAACTCATAATATTCTAATAAGAGCCCCCTATTTCTAATTTTGAGAGCGCCCTGGGCGCTTATTACGTCAAATACGGTATAACCCCAGTCAATGGATCAGTGTGCACTCGAGGCTCATTCTCAGCTCCCTGAGCAGTATACAACCCAAGCTGTATTAGAAAGTTAACGGTCACATTACCATCTCATCCTACCAATACACTGGGTGAATAGAGGCCCAAGCCACTTGCCCAAGGAGACAGCACATGTCAGCAACACTGCCTCCAATACACGGCTGTTTGTATTAAGATATGTCTAGACTGATGCATTGTCCTGACATTTATCCTGACACTGACATCAAGAAACATTGTACCTTTGTAAACATCCCCCACCTTGCCTTCCATGATGCTCTGTCATGCATTGAGTTTGTTTAATACACTTGTAGCAATGGTCAGGAAACTCAGAATGGCTTCACGCAATGCACCCATCTGGAGAATCAAACCCAGGTTTAGTGAGATCAGTCACTACAAGACCCATTTGACTACCCCCTGCCAGGCCCCACTAGGCTACCCCCTCTCTTGTTGTCATGGAAACCAAACAACATTAATATATTCACCACTAAGTGTTCATTATTTCATACTCCTCCCTAAAATATATCCGTTTATTCACGACCCATACCTTATTCAAGTGCTAACCCTTGCCCTACAACAGTGAGTGAGTATTATTTTACGCCGCCTATAGCAACATTTTAGCATTATAACGGCGGACCACATCATAAATGGCCTTCACACATTCTACCCCAACAAGAAATGATAGGCTACACACACTATATAAGTGAAATCCATATACATTGATTTCATGATTTACACTATGCGAACAAATATAAAGACGTGTAAGTAATAAGATAATAACGAGTGAGTGAGTGAGTGACGTGGCATTGCATCACCATGTGCAGCTGTTAGTCGCATCATCACAGCTGGACTTGGCAACTCCAAAAGATCATAAGCCATAACAACATAAATATTGAATACATATACCTGCCATAATAACCAAGATATGCATATATTGGACAGAATATCAAAAGAAACATATATTTAAAGAAACATATTGTATATAGTAATTTAACAAATATATTTTTGTAAATATTACCAGCATATATGGTGCAGCTCTCATATCAGGATAAAAGCAGGCAGAGCAATATCCTATCTCTGGACATGCTAGATGTACACCGCGGACTGAGTGTTATCATATATATAAATCTTGATGTATTGTATTAGCAGTGGTTCTTATACATTCATCATCATCATCATCATCTTCATCATCATCATCATCTATAATTCTATACACAACTACTACCACAAAACACACACAAGCATCAGTTGTCAGTCTGCCTAAGACTTTTGATTAAAGCTGAAGCAAGTTTGTGAAAAATTGAACAAGGTTACAATAATATGGAAACAGTTACCCAAGCATGTATTGTTACGAACTAAAAGGACATAACTTATTATTTTTCTATTTCAGAAAATATCTTTTGCAAGTTAGATATATGATTCATAACTAAATTAATCTGCAGCAGGTTATGGTACTAACCACACTCATTTTATCCTTCACCTCTGCAGCCCTTGCTCTACTATAAAATCACTACATCATAATATATCAAGTCCGGCAAACACGAAACAGACTAGATAGTTTCTGTGATGGGACGGGAGACAACTCCGTGTCATTCCAATCAGGAAGTAGGTGGCGCTGCTGCTGCTGCTGCAGGTCGAGGTCGAGGCTGGATGTTCCTCATCTTGTAATAATCAGTGACCTGCCGTGGTACCTCGGCTAGCACGTTGCGAGCCAGCTCCTCCGCTGAGGCCTGTGAAACAGATCCGTTAGCATACAATAAATCTAAGGATACTTGCTTTTGGTTGGAATGAATTGGGGTGAGTGAGTATGGTTTTACGCCGCTTTTAGCAATTTTCCAGCAACATCACGGCTGGGGACACCAGAAATGGGCTTCACTCATTGTACCCATGTCGGGAATCGAACCCGGTTCATCATCCTGACGAACGAACACTTTAACCACGAGGCTACCCGATCACCCTGGTTGGAATGAAAAACAAGGCAAAGTGACATGACTTTTTCAGTTTTTTAAGATTGTAAAGAGCACAAAGGCACAAAGAAGGAACTTGTCAAAGACATGCAGCCATGCCAATTGCATCTCAAGTTACCATGGTTTATATGAAATTTTGGATATATGACACCAAAAATACCCAGAGCACCAAGGTGAAGGTCACACTAAGTTAGAAATGGTTGGGGTTATTATTATTATTAAACAAACTTTTATAATTATTATTGAGCAATCATAGCCAGTGCTACACAATGCCATGCATAGGTTAGGTGACATGGGGTTTAACGTTGTGTTCAAGACAATTGCACAAACTTAGCGACGTCTGAGTTTGTGTGTGTTGCTGCTTGTACTAGTCTGCAATAAAGCTGGTATTACCCGACCCAGACACAGTATACTGACTCCGCGCCGACCAGTTCTTGTTTTAGCCACTTAATGCCGAGAGCCAGGAAGGGTAATAACAAGTACCATCTTAACGTCTTTTGGTATGACATGTCTTGGGATGATACAACCGACCTTCCGCTCTCCGGCGGACACTATTCACTAGACCAGGGAGGCAGTTGCCATGCATAGGGCTACATGCCAATACTACCAAAATAAAGGAAAACATTCGGTTAGAAACAGGACCATGCCACAAGACATGACATTAACTAAAGAAACGAGAAAGAAAAACATTAAGAACACACCGTTGAACTTACTTTCTTGAAGTCCCTATACGCCACAAACTGAACTATGTCCCTACGTGCTTTCTGACCCGATCTCGTCATCAGTACGCCATCATCGCCATCCAGGAAGTTCATGGCGGCGAAGTTGGCCCCGCCCACGCCGATGATGATGATGGACATAGGCAGGCTGGAGGCCTGGACCACAGCTTCCGTTGTCTTGTCCATGTCCGTGATCTCGCCGTCAGACAGCAGCAGCAGGATGTAGTAGGCCTGACGAAGACACGTATGTTGCATTATGGGAAATATCAACCGAGACTTAGTGGACTGGTATAAAACTGCCCGTTGGGGAGAACAACACAAATTACTAGGAAGAGGGTTTTCATCTCATGACAAGAGTGAGTTCAAGTCTGGAGCAGACGAACCGATGTGAGCATAGATTCAAACCATTTCAGCGATGATTCTCTTATGACTGAGTATAAAACATTCTAGCTATATCTCATACCCTGATGGCCTGAAGTCATGCATGGTTCACAGAATACTTGACTCACAATAATAAAGGCCTTTTTAAGGCCATTACAAGGCAAAGATCATTTTTCAAGGCTAAGAGTCAGAATGGCTCCACGTGTACACCTGCACAAACCATGAAAATAGTAAAGTCCACAAATGTTTCATTAGCATTTACCATTGATGTAATTACTCATAATTAGGGAAAACATAACTGTTATTTATTTTGCCTTGGTTAGATGAAATTGGGTTTAACGTCGCGTCTAAGATTAGTGTGTGTGTTAGTGTGTGTGTGTTAGTGTTAGTGTTAGTGTGTTAGTGTGTTAGTGTGTGTGTGTTAGTGTGTGTTAGTGTTAGTGTGTGTGTGTGTGTGTGTGTGTGTGTGTGTGTGTGTGTGTGGCTGCTTGTACTAGTCTGGACTGATGCCGATTTATAGTGTTAGCCCACTGAGATACCATGCCGCAATTTAACATAAATACCCCACTCAGACACAGTATACCAACCAGTCCTTGTTTAAGCCCCTTAATGCCGAGCGCCAGACAGGGTAACAACAAGTATCATTATTTTTACGAGGCTGGGGATCGAAACCCAGACCTTCTGCTCTCTGGGCGAAGCTCTACCACCAGACCACGGAGAGGGTCTAACAGCAGGATAATCACTGTTGCCATACTCAAAGTATTTTGTCAAATGTTAGGGCATTTTCAAGACATATTTATTTCCAGGCATTTTCCAGACTGAATGAACTTTGGTAAATAACGAAGGTTTGTCAGGTGGCACACACTCAACCAGGTCACACATTGTGACCACCCAAACCTGCTGTTGTGGCCTCCCATGACAGAGTAGAGCAGTGACTTACAGAGGCTCCCTAGGTGGCCTCCTATGACACGGTAGAGCAGTGACTTACAGAGGCTCCCTAGGTGGCCTCCCATGACACAGTAGAGCAGTGACTTACAGAGGCTCCCTAGGTGGCCTCCCATGACAGAGTAGAGCAGTGACTTACAGAGGCTCACTAGCTTGCCTCCCATGACACAGTAGAGCAGTGACTTATAGAGGCTCCCTAGGTGGCCTCCTACGACAGAGTAGAGCAGTGACTTATAGAGGCTCCCTAGGTGGCCTCCTACGACAGAGTAGAGCAGTGACTTATAGAGGCTCGCTAGGTGGCCTCCTACGACAGAGTAGAGCAGTGACTTATAGAGGCTCCCTAGGTGGCCTCCTACGACAGAGTAGAGCAGTGACTTATAGAGGCTCCCTAGGTGGCCTCCTACGACAGTGTAGAGCAGTGACTTACAGAGGCTCCCTAGGTGGCCTCCTACGACAGCGGAGAGCAGTGACTTACAGAGGCTCACTAGGTGGCCTTCTACGACAGAGTAGAGCAGTGACTTACAGAGGCTCCCTTGGTGGCCTCCTCCTGCTGAGCTGAGGCAGCGAACCGGGCAACATGGTGGATGATGGGAGCAGCGTTGGTGGGGCCGTACAGCCTCACGTTCTGCACACAGTTGTAGTATGCCTGTAGCACCCCAGGGATTCCTGCAACCATGGCAACAGCACAATCATCATACTGTCTAGGAAGTCTATAAAGTCTCATGGCAGAAATATTGATTTCCCAAATGTTTAGCATGTGGTATGTTAAGAAAACGTTTGTGAATAAATATCAACAATTCCCCACAGGGGCCGACATCACTACTCTCTCACACCTAAAATACATCCCTATTTTGGGGGGATATGTATGCATCTCAGAGCTCCAGATAACTTTTTGGGCAATTGAGTTTTTTCTCTAGGGTTTCTATTTTAATTGGGTTATTACATTTTTCATTGGGTAACCAATATTTTTTCACTCATCTATTCATCACTCTATTGGGTATTTCCCAAAATTAGTTAATATCTTAAGAATTGAAAAAAATGGAATAATGTTTTAGATGTATATAACTGTTCTAAATATATAGGCTTGGCTCGGAAAGTAAATAAGCTCGTAATTGTGTTTCGGAAATTAGCTCCTTTGTACGCATGCTGAAAAAGCTTTATTGGGTATTTACGCAAGCTGTTTTCATACATTTGAGTTTTTTATTTAATGCATGCATTTCTGTATGCAAGTTAATTGAAAGTAATTGGGTTTTGAATATTTTGGGGGGTATTTTACGCAAATACGCTGCTTATCTGTAGCTCTGCATCTCCTCGTTTTTTATAGTTTATTCATGAAAAGACTGTGCAATTACTTTAATAGAAACATTGTAATACTTCAAATAATGTAACACAACATTATACACATTTTAAAGTTTTGAAAATATTTAATACTAGTAGTTATTCATAACAGCAAGTACATCTCTTAACGTCTTTTGGTATGAAATGCCAGGCGAATAACCATCGACTTTCCTCTCTCCGAGAAATGCTCTATTTACCACACCACAGGGGCGGTCCTATTTATGACATCCTATAACATGTGGGACTTCGGAAGAAAGGATACATCGAAGCTATCACATCCTGTTATCACTGTCTACATATTTGCAACAATTTATACATGGTCTGTGTACATGGTAAATACTGTCAGCTTACTATAACAATGAAGGAAAATATAAGGCAATTGATTCATTCAAACCTGAACAAAATGGATTTTGGGGGTTGAAGTTCATGGCGAACTCAAAGGACACCTCCATGTTGGGAGGAATCTGGGCTCCAAACCCCAGAGCTGGAAACAGTTTGTCGCTGAAAGAAGAATATCACAGTGTTCCAAAACAACACTCCAAACAAGGAAAAACATGTTAGACATTGTGAGTGAGTGAGTGAGTTGGGTTTTTCGCCGCTTTTAACAGTGTTCCAGTTATATCACGGCGGTCAGCTTAATGTGGGAAGAAAGCCCGAAGTGATGCAGGTCTCAAACGTTTACTTCTACGGTGAAACCCAGAGCACAGGTATGGTGCTGACAAACCTAGAAACACAATCAGGGCTAACCAGGATTTGAACCCACAATCATAGGTTTCTGGTGTGTCCAAGGGATGCAACTCTGCACAGCGAATTGTGGCACCTTAGGTGAATGGGGTACCCGTGCCCCTGAAAGAGTCAGTGACTGGAAGTGACATTTGCATACAAGTTTCCTTTTCTACTATTGTCAGCAAAGTTAACACTAACACAGTGTAGCCTACCACCAGTCACCATCCTGGACGTGATGACACACCATGAACATGTACATAACATTATACACCCGATTTGCTTCTTTCAGTCAGCTTTATAACCACGATGACAATCATGGGAACTCCACTCTCCTGCCAGGAATCACTATTGGCTGCATAATATCAGGAAACCAAACCAAACAGATCTTGAGTTTAAACCAGCAACATCATCACTGCCTGGTAACAGACATCTTCCCGAGGCAAGGGAGTTACCATCTTCCCGAGGCAAGGGAGTTACCATCTTCCCGAGGCAAGGGAGTTACCATCTTCCCGAGGCAAGGGAGTTACCATCTTCCCGAGGCAAGGGAGTTACCTGACTATGAAAGTCCAGTTTCCACCCTTGCCGAACTAGGCTGGTATTATGGAGTTACATTTTGGTTGGACTAACGAGTCTATGCATAGTCCAATCAAAATTGTGCAATGAATTCTAAATCCAGTTCGTAAACTGTTATGCAGATTTTGGTCAATTGCAGGATTTGCAAAGCATGTGCACCACCAACTCATTGTCAACAGATATTTTCTAAATCTTTTCATGTTTTTAATTAAGGTGCTCACATGATTTGATGCACTTCGCAATGTAAGACCCATTTTATCACAATATAGATCTTGATTATCGATCAGATCATCTTGACTGGGCACCGCCATTTTGTCTGAAGCAAATGCAAGTGATACGAGAGGTGGAATCTGATTGGTCCATAGGAGAGGCATAGAAAGGACATAACTGGTAATAGCCACTGGTGGCACTACGATCGAGCCCAGGAATTCCAGCCTAGTTCGGCAAGGGTGGAAACTAGACTTTTAAAGTCAGTTAACTCTCTTGCCTCAGGAAGATGGTTAACAGATGAATCTGGACCAGACAATTTAGTGCTTGGTGCGGAATACAAGCAGTTGAAAATATTTTCACTGGCTGTCATCAGTCTCCCACATCACCTATTGATGTCAGCGTTGAAGTTTAAATGTCTGATTTGTATGTTTGTTGTATCCGGCAGCAGACAAACAAGTGATTGATATTATGAGCATACAGTAGTGACATGATGACATATAATCAAAAAGTTACTGAGTCTGTCAATCTGTACAGCAGGCCTATTGCTGTATCAGTTCTAACCCATAATCCTCATGGGCCAATAAAACAGTAAAACAGTCGAACCAGTACTCCACACAAGATCAACGTCCCAGGGTTTACCTGTCGTAGTCCTGCACCACGTTGCCCACGGCCTGGATGGCCTGTGCGTACTCTGTAGGCTGGTTGGGGTTGAGGTAGTGGAGGGAGTTTGGCTGACGAGGGTCGCCGTTTGATGCTGTGAAGTCCACGCCAACCTACACAGAACACACAGTGAAGGAACACAGACAACATCCACAACAAAATCACAGTCCTGCATAAACTTCATGACCTACAAGCAGCCTGTCATCACTCCACACAACTGTGTGTTTTGTAAGCAATCACTGGCAGGACATGATAGAAAGCTGGTCATATTTTTTGTTTCACAATGTGAATGTTCACAAACACAGCCAATCATCAAAGTTTCAGAGCAAATATAAATTTTACTCAGCTCTTTGAATCTCAAATTGAGGTGAGGTGAAATTGGGTTTAACGTCACGTCCAAGATTATTGCACTTATATAGTGACATGCATGCATATGTATCTGTGTGTGTGGCTGCTTGTACTAGTCCGGACTGATGCCGATTTACAGTCCTAGCTCACGGAGATACCATGCCGCAGTTCAACATGAATACCCCACTCAGACACAGTATACTGACTCAGAGCCGACCGGTCCTTGTTTTAGCCCCTTAATGCCGAGCGCCAGACAGGGTAACAAGTACCATCTTTTAACGTCTTTTGGTATAACGCCCACAGGGATCGAACCCCGGACCTTCCGCGCTCCTGGTGGACTCTCTACCACTAGACCACGGAGGCGGTCATCTCAAATTGAATAATTTTTTATGAGAGTCTCTTGATTCTGCATCATCCTGGATAAGACGCCTGTCTCTGATTCCAAACCCTGTTAATAGCAAGTGCTGCTCGACAGTCAGAGAGGTGTGACCCACCTCTCTCTGATAGTGTTGTCTGAAGACCTACTCACAGTGAGGTTGATCTGTGTACCGCCCATGATGAAGTCGAGGAAGGAGTAATCCGTCAGTATCTGAAACACAAGACAAGTGTCAGACTGAAACATCTTCTCATGGGTGTTCATCATCATCTACAGTCTCATTTGTTTGTTGTTGGTTGTTTCAGCTTTAAGATGGCAACATGTAGGTAATCGTGTCTTAGTGCTACGACTGTCGTAAGTTAGTGTATAGAATGGGCGATCAAGTTAGCACTAAGATTGCTTAGTAGAATGAGGTCCAGGGCCCACTTGCACAAAGTGATCTTAGCGCTAGGATTGTTGTAAGTCAGTGTCACAGAATGGGTGTTATGATCAAGTTAGCACTAAGATCACTCAGTAGAATGAGGTCCAGGGCCCACTTGCACAAAGCGATCATAGCGCTAGGATTGTTGTAAGTCAGTGTCACAGAATGGGTGTTATGATCAAGTTAGCACTAAGATTGCTTAGTAGAATGAGGTCCAGGGCCCACTTGCACAAAGTGATCATAGCGCTAGGATTGTTGTAAGTCAGTGTCACAGAATGGGTGTTACGATCAAGTTAGCACTAAGATCACTCAGTAGAACGAGGAACGATTGATATTATGAATGTCACACACTGTCTGGGATAACACACCATCAACCAAGTCACTGAGTCTGACCACCAGACTGAATAAATCATCAATGACGTCATAGAAATCCGGACTACTGTGTCTCATACATATAGATGTTTGTTTGCATGACAACTGTGTCTCACCCATATAGATGTTTGTTTGTATGACTCCTGTGTCTCACCCATATAGATGTCTGTATAACTCCTGTGTCTGATTCATATAGATGTTTGTTTGTATGACTCCTGTGTCTCACCCATATAGATGTTTGTTTGTATGACTCCTGTGTCTCATACATATAGATGTTTATTAGTATGACTCCTGTGTCTCACCCATATAGATGTTTGTTAGTATGACTCCTGTGTCTCACCCATATAGATGTTTGTTTGTATGACTCCTGTGTCTCACCCATATAGATGTTTGTTAGTATGACTCATGTGTCTCACCCATATAGATGTTTGTTAGTATGACTCCTGTGTCTCACCCATATAGTTGTTTGTATGACTCCTGTGTCTCACCCATATAGTTGTTTGTATGACTCCTGTGTCTCACCCATATAGATGTTTGTTTGTATGACTCCTGTGTCTCACCCATATAGATGTTTGTTTGTATGACTCCTGTGTCTCACCCATATAGATGTTTGTATGACACCTATGTCTCACCTATATAGATGTTTGTATGACTCCTGTGTCTCACCCATATAGATGTTTGTTAGTATGACTCCTGTGTCTCATACATATAGATGTTTGTTTGTATGACTCCTGTGTCTCACCCATATAGATGTTTGTTTGTATGACTCCTGTGTCTCACCTATATAGATGTTTGTATGACTCCTGTGTCTCATCCATATAGATGTTTGTTAGTATGACTCCTGTGTCTCACCCATATAGATGTTTGTTTGTTTGTACGACTCCTGTGTCTCACCCATATAGATGTTTGTTTGTATAACTCCTGTGTCTCACCCATATAGATGTCTGTATAACTCCTGTGTCTGATTCATATAGATGTTTGTTTGTATGACTCCTGTGTCTCACCCATATAGATGTTTGTTAGTATGACTCATGTGTCTCACCCATATAGATGTTTGTTTGTATGACTCCTGTGTCTCACCCATATAGATGTTTGTTAGTATGACTCATGTGTCTCACCCATATAGATGTTTGTTAGTATGACTCCTGTGTCTCACCCATATAGATGTTTGTTAGTATGACTCCTGTGTCTCACCCATATAGATGTTTGTTTGTATGACTCCTGGGTCTCACCCATATAGATGTTTGTTAGTATGACTCCTGTGTCTCACCCATATAGATGTTTGTTTGTATGACTCCTGGGTCTCACCCATATAGATGTTTGTTTGTATGACTCCTGTGTCTCACCCATATAGATGTTTGTTAGTATGACTCCTGTGTCTCACCCATATAGATGTTTATTTGTATGACTCCTGTGTCTCACCCATATAGATGTTTGTATGACACCTATGTCTCACCTATATAGATGTTTGTTAGTATGACTCATGTGTCTCACCCATATAGATGTTTGTTTGTATGACTACTGTGTCTCACCCATATAGATGTTTGTTAGTATGACTCCTGTGTCTCACCCATATAGATGTTTGTTTGTATGACTCCTGGGTCTCACCCATATAGATGTTTGTTAGTATGACTCCTGTGTCTCACCCATATAGATGTTTGTTTGTATGACTCCTGTGTCTCACCCATATAGATGTTTGTTAGTATGACTCCTGTGTCTCACCCATATAGATGTTTGTTTGTATGACTACTGTGTCTCACCCATATAGATGTTTGTTAGTATGACTCCTGTGTCTCACCCATATAGATGTTTGTTTGTATGACTCCTGGGTCTCACCCATATAGATGTTTGTTTGTATGACTCCTGTGTCTCACCCATATAGATGTTTGTTAGTATGACTCCTGTGTCTCACCCATATAGATGTTTGTTTGTATGACTCCTGTGTCTCACCCATATAGATGTTTGTTTGTATGACTACTGTGTCTCACCCATATAGATGTTTGTTAGTATGACTCCTGTGTCTCACCCATATAGATGTTTGTTTGTATGACTCCTGGGTCTCACCCATATAGATGTTTGTTTGTATGACTCCTGTGTCTCACCCATATAGATGTTTGTTAGTATGACTCCTGTGTCTCACCCATATAGATGTTTGTTTGTATGACTCCTGTGTCTCACCCATATAGATGTTTGTTTGTATGACTACTGTGTCTCACCCATATAGATGTTTGTTAGTATGACTCCTGTGTCTCACCCATATAGATGTTTGTTTGTATGACTCCTGTCTCACCCATATAGATGTTTGTTAGTATGACTCCTGTGTCTCACCCATATAGATGTTTGTATGACTACTGTGTCTCACCCATATAGATGTTTGTATGACTCCTGTGTCTCACCCGTATCGATGACAGCAGCACGATGCCCGAGTTGGTGTAATTCTTCTTCTTGGCCTTCTTCTTTGGGTTGATGCACGGCCATGACGTCTGTCAACACACACAAATAACAGTACAAATACATACTGGCCAGTACTCCTTGAGGTCCCTCAATGAAGGTGAAAGTACATAAGTCAATACACTTTGAGGCCCCTCAATGAATGTGTAAGTACATCAGTCAATACACCTTGAGGTCCCTCAATGAAAGTGTAGGTACATGTTGTAATACCGCTGAAAACAATCATATATTCCTGTTTTTAAACAAGAGACGCAATCAATTGAGATAAATACATCTTCACTCTAAATTACTTTGTTTTCTCCATTAAATGTTTTGGCAGTCTCATGTGAAAGTCATTTTCCTGAGGCAAGGGAGTTAACTGACTTTAAAAGGTAAGTTTCCACTCTTGCTGAATAGGCTGGAATTTCTGGGCTTGATCGTAGCGCCACCAGTGACTATTACGAGTTATGTCCCTTCTGTGCCCCTCTTTTTAATCAGATCTATTTTGTAATAAAATGGGTCTTTAATCGCAAAGTGCATCACATCATGTGAGCATCTTGAATTAAAACATGAAAAGATTTGGCAAATATCTGTTGACGCCCAGTTGACAGTACACATCTTATGCAAATCCTGCAGTCTCACAATATCTGCACATTGAAATCCATATTGTTTACAAACCGGTTGTCGATTTCAATAAGCGATTTTTATAGGACTATGCAAAGACTCTATAGTCCAGCCAAAATATAACTGCATAATTGCAGCCTAGTTTGGCAAGGGCATCTTCCCGAGGCAGGGGAGTTAACTGACTATAAAAGTCCAGTTTCCATCCATGCCGAACTAGACTGGGATTATGGAGTTACATTTTGGCTGGACCAACGTGTCTATGCATAGTCCAATCAAAATTGCGCAACAAAATCGAAATCCAGTTCGTAAACTGTTATGTAGATTTTGGTCGATTGCAGGATCTGCAAAGCATTCATGCCGTCAACTCAGCATCAACAGATATTTTCCAAATCTTTTCATGTTTTTAATCAAGGTGTAGGCGTGATTTGATGCACCTCACGATGAAAGAACTGTTTTATTAAAATATAGGTCCTGATTATCGGTCAGATTGTCTTGACTGTGCGCCGCCATTTTGCTTGAAGCAAAAGCACGTGATATGAGAGGTTGAATCTTATTGACCAATAGGAGGGACATAGAAGGGCTGTGACTTGTAGAAGCCACTGGTGGCACTATGATCGAGCCCACAAATCCGTCCCTAGTTTGGCAAAGTAGAAGACTTTACTTTAATAGTCAGTTAACTCCCTTGCCTCGTGAAGATGAGTGGCTGCAGGATGATATTTCACTCATCGTTTGTCAGGGTGATAAGCCTTACCTCTTGTTTCTGAGCTTTCAACAGGTCATTGAGGGAGGTGGTGAATCCCCCGATCAGGTCATGTGATCCGTCACTGTCCCAGTCATACACGTCAATCTGCAACATCGCGTGAGAGTATCATACACCAGACGACAGTGAACGTTTAGTCCTGCAGTCAGCCATTTCACAGCTATACCTGGAGAAAATCATGTCCGGGTCTGGCATGACCAGGGATGTCCCTGGCGTGATGACACACAATCTGCCTGCTGACCACTGCATCCATCACGGACAGCTCTTCCAAGGAGTGCTTCAGACCTATCTAGACTAAGAATCGCTCGTCACGCCGAAGACCCGGGTTCCATTCCCGACATGGGTACAATGTGTGATGCCCATTTCTGGTGTCCCCCCGCCGTGATATTGCTGGAATATTGCTAAAAGCGGCGTAAAACCATACTCACACACTCACTCCAGAATAAGAATCCCTCTGGGGAGTTTCAACAGCATTCACAATTTAACAAACTAAAGTTGTGATACAAGTTTTTATGTTGTAGATATGTCAAAGGAGTGACAATAGCAGAGCTCCAGATAAGCTGCGTATCTGCGTAAAATATGCATCAGAAATGCAGAATTACAAGGTAAAATAAAATCCAAGCATATCAAATACGCAACTAACATTACAGATACGCTACAAAAATAAAACTTGTGCGTATCATCAAAATATTGTGAAGTAACCCCGCGTATTTGATTAGCAAATCAGCAACTTATTTTGAAATTATAAACAGGCATTCCGTCAACCTTGCCAAACTTCACGATGACAGTTACATCATGATCATTTGCCATCACAAGTATCGTGGTATGTTTGAGTCCTATCAAGCTCTCGAACCCACACGACACCAGTTTGCAGGGACCAGATGAATAGTGTTTTTTAATATTTAACCTAAATACCCACATGTGTAAAAACTAGTGGGTAACAGAAATTTGAATACCCAGATAGAATTACTGATACCCAATGATTTTAAAATGCATGGGTAAAATACCCACAACACCAAACGCTTATCTGGAGCTCTGAATAGACTACCCTGGCGCCTTATTTTGCCGTTACTTCTAACAACCATGCGATCTTAGAATCATGTTACTTCAGCTCTCAGTTCAAATAAGGTAGTATCCATGGTTACCTTGAGTTCCCGGTCTCGGTCTCCGCCACACAGAGAGTACACCGACACAGTGAACTGCCTCCAGTTGGGGTTCAATGTGTTCTTCACGACCTGCAAACATCAGTTGTATAATATCTGCCACAGGGACATCGAAGAGGGAATACCTTTGCCCAATAACTGTTCACAGGTAATTCAGACCACCTTTTCACAGATCACAGGTAATTTTTCAACCAATTTCACAATCACTTTTATTATCGAGTAAATTAGTTTATATTTCATAGAGATAAGGAATAATCCATTCTTACTTATCAATCTGATAGTGACTTAAACCAAAAGATTATCAAGTTTATGTTATTGTATGTATAAACTTGGACTGCATCTCATATCATTGTACCATATAACATCGTGACAACTTGTCAGGACCATCGTGGGTGTTTCTTGATGTTTTTAGACAACCGTCCCCAAAATTTACTACATGGTATAGTAAAGAGGTATTCCCTACCTGCATGGAAGCAATCAGTGTTAATTCTAATAGGTAAGATTTGACTTCAATATATTTTGTGTTTATGGCGGTATACATAGAAGTTATCATGCGAGTGTGTATTGGGATGGTAAATATCCTGTATTAGGAATAAACACTAAGTATTAGGCTTACCATTGGGGATGGTAAATATCCTGTATTAGGAATAAAGGAATATTAGGAAATAAGCGAGACTTGGCAAGCTAAATAAATAGTGTTTATTCCTAATACAATATTTACCATCCCCAATGGTAAGCTAAATACATAGTGTTTATTCCTAATACAGAATATTCACCATCCCCAATGGTAAGCTAAATACATAGTGTTTATTCCTAATGCAATATTTACCATCCCCAATGGTAAGCTAAATACATAGTGTTTATTCCTAATACAGAATATTCACCATCCCCAATGGTAAGCTAAATACATAGTGTTTATTCCTAATACAATATTTACCATCCCAAATGGTATGCTAAATACATAGTGTTTATTCCTAATACAGAATATTTACCATCCCAAACACACAAGCGAGATAACCTCTTTATCATATAATGTCAACTCCCTTCCCATCTCATTACCTAAACACTGCAAGTTTCCTGGAATGTGCGCATTTTATATATTACGTCAGAAGGTAAGTGATGTGTCAGTCGGACAGTGACAACAGTCAATATAGTTTCTTATGCAGTGGCATAACTAAATGTAGGCAAAACAACAACTGCCTCACAAATTGTTTCTACGTAACATTTCTTGTGTACCAGTAATTGGCTGACATTCCAGTACTGACCGCCTCCGTGGTCTAGTGGTAGAGCGTCCGCCCGGAGAGCGGAAGGTCAGAGGTTCGATCCCCGGCCGCGTCATACCAAAAGACGTTAAAAGATGGTAGTTGTTGTTACCCTTTCTGGCGCTCGGCATCAAGGGGCTTAAACAAGGACTGGTCGGCTCGGAGTCAGTATACTGTGTCTGAGTGGGATATTCATGTTAAACTGCGGCATGGTATCTCAGTGAACCAGCACTATAAATCGGCATCAGTCCGGACAAGTACAAGCAGCCACACAAACACACATGCACGTCGCTACATAAGTGCAATGATCTTGGACGCGACGTTAAACCCCATTTCACCTCCCCTCATTCCAGTACTTACCTCTGTCCTGTGGACTACCTGCCATGTGCCATCAGGGGCTTTCTTGAGAATCTCCAAATATGGATCCGATTTCCCAAATGTGTCCTAAACAAACAAAAATCAACACTTTCAAGAACCACAAGTATAGCAACAGTTTCTAACAAGTTGAAAACATATCAACAACAGTTAAAAACTAATCTGTGCTTTAATGACCTACTACAAACTGCAGCTGTTTTATTCCAAAATTTATTAAACTAACCTTGTTGTCGAGTTTGGAGGCTTTGAAGTCAAAAATGACTGATTCCTTGTCCGAACCAGCCTTCATTTCCTCCGACTTCACCTGGGAACAAACATACAACAACATCAGGTCCTGGTAACCATAGCAACACTCAGGCCCTGATAATTAACTAAAAACATGTTTGGAAGTACTTGGCCTTTCATAGAATTCCCTTAAACTCATTTCCAGTGTGATGACACCATTACATTCAACATGCCTGCTAGTAGCATCTTCTTGAGGCAAAGGAGTTAACTGACTTTAAAAGCCCAGTTTCCACCCTTGCCGAACTAGGCTGGAATTACTGGGCTCAATCGTAGCGCCACCAGTGGCTATTACCAGTTTTGTCCCTTCTAAGCCTCTCCTATGGACCAATCAAATTCCACCTCTCGTATCACTTGCGTTTGCTCCAAACAAAATGGTGGCGCCCCGTCAGGTCGATCTGATTGATAATCAAGATATATATTGTGATAAAACGGGTCTTACATCGCAAAATGCATCAAATCACGCGAGCACCTTGATTAAAAACGTGAAAAGATTTGGAAAATATCTGCTGACAATGAGTTGGCGGTGCACATGTTTTGCAAATCCTGCAATCGACCGAAATCTGCACGACAGTTAACGAACTGGATTTCGATTTCGGTGCGCGATTTTGATTGGACTATGCATAGATTCGTTAGTCCAGCCAAAATGTAAGTCCATAATACCAGCCTAGTTCGGCAAGGGTGGACACTGGACTTTTATAGTCAGTTAACTCTCTTGCCTCGGGAAGATGGCTAGTAGTGCTACAGCCTCACACCAGATAAAGAGCCTTGTCTCCAACTAACATTATAATGAATGTAGGGCTGGGACGGGTAACTCGGGTTGGGTGGGCACTGAGTAGGACCAGGGTACCCACAGGACTACCCGGACCCGTGGTTAGTCACGTGATATCTTGTTTAATGACAAAAAGTATCTAAAACTCTATGTTTAGACTACAAGTCACTAATGTTTGCAGTTCTTCCTGACTACTACGCCCATTCCTTCTGACTTTTATATGTTTTTGAATAAAAATACAACTTCAGTATAAACACCAGATCGTTTCATACATGTATCTAAACACATTTAACCAGAGCTACGGTCAAACTCTTCCCCATTGGACAGTTTGTACCTACCTCTTGAGACCCACAGCGGGTACCCGGGTAGGGTCGGGTAATAGTGGGGTGGGTACCCAGGTAGTAAATTTGGACTTGTCCCAGCCCCAAATGAATGGCATTCCTCTGTAATGACAACTCTTAAGACAAACGACATTTCTTGTATGGGAAACTGGGTTTGAAATTCCTTGTTTTAAAGTGCCAATGACATGCTGAAATTCATAAAAGTACAGCTACAATTAGGTTCCGGTGTCTTAATGACATTTTGTCAAATATATATAATTTGACAAAGTTACTTTCACAAGTTAACAGAAGTTCAAATAACAGTCTTGTCCATGTTGTACGCTAACCATATAATAGTAAATATTTGGGCTGGGACGATACACCAACTGTGCAATCCGATAGAATCACGATACCTTATTCACGATTCGATACGTATCACGATACATGTATGTGCTCTTATCTGTTGTCCCTAAGCAATATCAGTCAGTCAGTCAGTCAGTCAGTCAGTCAGTCAGTCAGTCAGTTAGTCAGGATATCAGTCAGGATATCAGTTAGTCAGGATATCAGTCAGGATATCAGTCAGTCAGGATATCAGTCAAGATATCAGTCAGGATATCAGTCAGTCAGTCAGGATATCAGTCAGTCAGGATGTCAGTCAGGATATCAGTCAGTCAGTCAGTCAGTCAGTCAGTCAGTCAGGATATCAGTCAGGATATCAGTCAGTCAGAAATAGGCTTCACACATTGTACCCATGTGGGGAATTGAACCTGGGTCTTCAGCATGACAAGCAAACGTTTTAAGAACTAGGCTACCCCACCGCCCCATACCTAGGAGGAGACTTACTGTGATGGCACTATTCCCCATCTTGCCTCCCTTCTTGTCCAGCAGTGCCGTGATGTAGGGGGTCTGGGACACCAGCTGAAACAGTGGGTGAGTGAGTTCATAGACTTCAACAATATTCCACCAATACACACCATGGCAGTGGTGACCTCCCCTCTCATTATTTAACAGTGCTCTGTGTATCAAATTGGAGATCAAAAACCGATGTTTGTTTGTCATTGTTTAAAGCCTCACTGAGCAATATTCCAGCTACCGTATTCGACGTAATAAGCGCCCCGCTCTAATAAGCGCCCACGGCGATATTTGCTAATATATTGGCTAGTGAACAATCCCAATCAGCACCCCTTGCGATTGATCAATGTACACAAGACTTATCTATTCGTGTATAATACGCACTTGTGTGTTATATCACCCTTAATTATGGGCAATTAAATTCTCGAAAAATATATCTGTCGTATGTAAACATTTCAGGTTGTTAGCATAAACCACGAAATTTACGATCTTTCAACTCAAAATAATATTCTAATAAGCGCCCCCTGTTTCTAATTTTGAGAGCGCCCTGAGCGCTTATTACGTTGAATACGGTATATGATGGCGGTCTGTGAATAATCAAGTCACCAGACAATCCAGTGATTGACATCATGAGCATCGATCTACGCAACTGGGATACGATGACATGCATCAACCAAGTCACGGAGCCTGACCACCCGATCCCATTACTCACATGACAAGCATAGTCACCTCTTACAGCAAGCATGGGTTTTAAAGACCTATTCTAACCCAGATCTTCACGGGTGACTAGCCAAGGCATTAACCTGGTAGAACTCAGTCTGATATACACACTGCTTGCCTTTTCCATATCTTCCTGTCATCAAAATTAACTGAATTAATCTAAAAACTGACGGAAACATAGCCCTAAAGTTATTGTTGTCAGACATATCCACTTTTTATCATATCTACTTGTGTCCTTATGACCTTGTCAGTGTTTCCAGCTATCCACTCTACATGGAGACAAAATTTAACTACATATGTAACTGAAAGTGAATAGTACTCGCTGTTGCTTCAAGAATCAAGAGTGAGCGAGAGAGTATGATTTTAACGCCGCTTTTAGCAATATTCCAGCAATTTCACGGTAGAGGACATCAGAAATGGGCTTCACACATTGTACCCATGTCGGGAATCGAACCCGGGTCTTCGACGTGTAGGCTACCCCACAGCCCCTTGCTGTTACTTCAAGAAACAAGAAAAAAAGCATTTCAGTTTAAAGGTTAAATAACAGCAATCATTGGCGACTCAGCTTGGTTACATATAAATGATTAATATTCGGACAAATTTTCTAACTCAACTAATGTTGAATAATCTTTACCTGGCCCAGCGTACACTCAATCTGGCCCAAGAAGTCATCATCTTCAAGGGTATGGGACTTGTTGTCAACATCGTACACAGCGACCTTCACCTTCTGTACTTGCTCGAAGTAGTAGTCGACCTTCAAGGGGGTGACAAACACTGGATCCAAGCAGTTCTGCACATTCTCCGTTCTCGCCAGCTGTAAGTAAATACCATTATTGAAGTCTTTAACACTGAAGCTTTTTTTAAGAATTAACTTTTTAATAGTTAGGCAGCTATATCAGTTTTTATCACCTAATACACTGCATCTGGACTCATATGTACTTTTTCTGGCCCTATAGTGAGTGTGTGAGTTAATATTTAACGTCACATCGGCAATATTTCAGCCATATTGTGACGATGTTCCCCATAGACGTACATGGGCAACAAAAATAAACGCGATGGCCGAACAATCACATCCAAAAGTGGGAGAGATCTGACAGTTAGCATTTGGGGAAAGAGGTACAGGTAATCAAAGAGAGGACTGCGGGAAATACCCACCTGTGCACGAAATGGACTTTTCCAACATTGCTGAGGTGGGACTCTACTGAATTAGTCCTCATTATTAAAATACGGGCAAAACATATAAGAAATAAACAACTCTCACTTGTCGATTATTTCTTAACCAACCAAACAAAGAAGAGTTACCTCCCTCCACTGGCCGCCAGCCTGCATGAACATCACAGCACAGGGGTCCGACTTGGACATGACGTCCTTATTCTTCAGGTTCTTACATTCCACTCTCAGCTCCACCTTGGTGACACACTGAGCTGCGGTGCTGCCACCTACTGGTGGATACTGGCCAGCCATAGTGAAACCTTGGTCTGAAATATAAGTGGGTGTTAGTTGGGTAGGCATAACTCTTCGAAAATGATTTCAGTTTTAAAATGGTACTGTTAGCAAATTGTGAGAGTAAAACCCAACGTGACACAGGTCATTGGGTAGCCTAGTGGTTAAAGCATTTCCTCGTCATGCCAAAGACCCGGGTTCAATTCCCGATGTGGGTACAATGTGTGAAGCCCATTTTTGGTGTCCCCCGCCATGATTGCTAGAAGCGGCATAAAACCATACTCTCTCTCATTATCGGGGAAATGAATGTACAAAAAGGTCTACTGCTGCACCTTATCTACATTTAGCCTGTTACTATCAATATACTTTTCAAATGAATGAAAATGAAGGGCTGACAATTAGGGCGGGGAACTCGGGTACTCAGGTCGGTACTGAGTACGATTCTGGTACCCACAGGACTACCCAGACCCGTGGTTAGTCACGGGATATATTGTTTAATGAAAAAAATTATCTAGAACTCTATGGTTACACTAGAAGTCAAACTATTCCTAATCCGACATGTTGTACCGTTCTCTTGCGACCTACAGCGGGTACCCAGTTTGGGTTGGGTACCCAGGTAGTAAACTTGGACTCGTCCCAGCCCTACTTACAATCCATATATCGCTGGTTACCATCAGAGTGGTCGATTGCAAGCCATAGATCTAGAGGCCTACGCTAAAAACTGACAGTGACACCCCCTTACCACTACCAGCTTGTTTACAATCGGTCTTTCCCCAGCCTCAGGGTTTGAGTTGAGCATGTTCTTCGTAATTTCAAAATAGGGCCCAAAATAGTTAGGCCATAGTAGCGATAGTAGAGTCTGATTTCAACATAATAACTGCGCGATTAAAGTAAAATATTCACCTCCGAATTCGTGTCACGTAGGACTATGCCGGCACAGGAAAATTCGGGAAAACAAGGAAACTGAGTAATTTCCTGATGGGTGTAGCGCTGTCGCACTCGCACAGACGACGGTATTTAGACTGGGTTCCTAATGCATATGACTGGGCTTCTGTCTACGGAAGCGCTCACCTGATTTCGTGCATCAGTTATGAAACCAGTTCTTGCTCGATATTTTGTACAAGCTCCATATGGCACTTTTGGTGCGTTATCGGATAGCAATCTGGGGGCGAATACGATGTCAGGAGCTTGGACAGAACGGTGAGAGGTAGTCGTAAATTGTTTCTTAGAAAAGTGGTATGAACAAAATGTCTTAACTAACACTGTCTGCTGCCCGAGGAGCGGCCTTGGCCTTCGAGTAATCATTTCAACATTCATCTACTTCATTTTTGAAAGATATGGATATGTGTTGTAATGCCTAAACCACTTGTTGGAATCCGACTGCGTTATCACTTCCGGTTAGACAAAAAACGATTAATGTGTCGTTTGTGTCTTAAATAATTTGGAAATTGGGTGAGTAGGTTCACATTTTAAGTGAAAGTACTGGTTTTTAGTGATATTTATAGCTATTCTTCTTGTACGGATCTTATGTCAAGGCCAAATATGTTCATTTTAACAGTGTAAATACCCTGAATATCCACGTAAACCACCAGCTCGAGTCTCGTTAACTGGGCCTGGGGTCGGGGACAGTGTTAACCCAGCTGCTAGTGTTTCTTTCTTTGTTGTTTAACGCCGCACTTAGCAGTATTCCAGTTATATGACGGCGTTCTGTAAATATTGCCTCTTGGATTCTTGACCAGACAATCCAGTGAGCATCGATCGACTCAATTGATAAAAAAAGTCAGCGTCCATCACTCATGTTAGTTGCTTCTGGCGACACTAGTGAGACTGAGTAGTGAGTGTGTACAGGTGCATAGGTAAACAACACCACTTAGATTCTTGTAGACAGGAAAGGGCAACAGTTGAGTTAACAGGATTCAGCTTATAGTTATAGCACCAATTGGTTCCGGCTGCAGGCTGTGGCTCTAGCTTCACTGATCTCGCCAGCCTTTTCAATCTTTAGGTTGGTTGGTTTGTTGTTTAACGCCGCACTCAGCAATATTCCAGCTATATGACGGTGGTCTGTAAATAATCAAGTCTGAACCAGACAATCTAGTGATTAATATCATGAGCATCAATCCACACACTTTGGATCAATGACATGCATCAACAAAGTCAGCGAGCCTTACCACCCGATCCCGTTAGTCGCCTTTTACGACAAGCGTAGTCACCTTTTACAGCAAGCATGGGTTGCTGAAGACCTATTCTACCCCGGAATCTTCACAGGTCTCAATCTTTAGGGTTAGGGTAGTTCGCTCCAACTCTATCTTTAGTACATCTATTTCTGATCAAGCACCCATTTCTGATTATTAGGGCTAGGTACCCCTTTACAGTCCTTAGGGTTAGGGACTCCTTTATGATTTTTAGGATTAGTTGAGAGACGCGTATGGGTTATTTTACCTCTTTTCACAAAATTATCCAATACAACTTGAGGAAAATCTGTTACAAATGTATCAAGTTTACTTTCACAGAGTAAATTTATGTAGACAGTCATGAACCTAGCCAAGCTTTGAGTAGGCAACATGAGTTCGATCCTCAAAGGACCACTATATGAAATCCAAAAGAGAGGGCACAGTTTAGTGCAGGACTCACAAAACCACTTCGATGCTTGTAGACAGGGAAAATCACACTCTCAGGCTCATGGATTCATTCCTGAATATGCAGGGTTTGTGTATAAAGTTTTATGTCCATGATGAATAGGCCTTCCAGTGGTAGAAACTAACAGTTTTAGTCCACTAGCCCTTATAATGATAACATATAGCAAAACCCATAAAAATGCTAATGTCTGCTGGTCCTTATGATACCATAACTATTGGGCAATTTGGAATGGACTACAGGACTAGTGCCAATGTCTAATGCTGCCTTCTCACTTATCATCATTTGACGCGAGTCGCATGCACAGATTATTTGTTGTGTTCAACCTGATTCACGGGTCATTTCACACCATTGGCTGGATAACGTTCTCTAAGTTGCTCACAGTTTCCTGATTTTAGGCTGAGCTGAAACTGGTCACCATGGCATCAGTTCCATTCTTATACACTACATGGTAAACACTACATGGTAAACACTACATGGTAAACATTTCATGGTAAACACTACATCATACATGGTAAACACTACATGGTAAACACTAAAATGTTTCAGTCAAAATCAACTGAACATTGAAAACAGGAAGGGTATTGTTATCACATCTTTTCAATATAATCAACATTTCTGGTTTCATTCAAACATTGATACCATATCTGTGCCCATGGGTATAATCAAGTGGTTTACGTCTGAGACATGCATTACTTGAGGCTTTCCACGAACAATAAACTGACACACCTTGATGTAATTGGAGTACTGTTAAAAGTAGCGTTTAACCCAACTGACTCACTCAAAATACCAGGGCACACTTGCACAAAGCGATCTTAGTGCTACGACTATTGTAAGCCTATGTTAAAGTATGGGAGTTACAATCATCTTAGTGTTAAGATCGCTTTGTGCAAGTGGGCCCTGGTGTAAGCAAGGAATAACATCCATGCACTTTTTACCATGTTTACTTGTTTTTTGGTGAATAGAATGTCTTGTACTGAACAATGACTTATTATTAGTATTCTAATAGGGCATTTGGAAAACTTAGTCTAGTATGTTCTTGTCGACAAATCCCATAATCTGTTCTGTATGTTCTACAGATGCCCTGAGATGACAATACTGTACTGAAGGGCAATGTCTGGTAAGCGCCACAGAATGCCATACGTTGCCAAGGTAACACCACCCAAATTGATGGTGAGTACCTGCCATGCTATGCTGCAGAAGACGGATCAAGCTTCCAACTCAAGTACCAGCAGTTCTGATGGTGTTCTGCCAACCTACACAGCCCTGTCCTCCAAGAACCACTGTTGTAAGTTGCTGCTGGGACTGCAGGACCTCCGAAACAATGAGACTCTGTGTGATTACTCCATCCTGGCTGAAGGGGAGGTGATCCGAGTCCACAAGGCTGTGATGGCAGCCTGCAGTGACTACTTCCGGGTCATGCTCTGTGGGGACATGAAAGAGAGCAGGGAGGGGAGTGTAGACTTGAAGGGCGTCACGTCGAATGGGTTGCGGGTGGTCGTAGAATTTGCGTACACGGGTCAGCTGGGACTGACAACGGAGAATGTAGAGGATGTTTTGTCAGCAGCCACCCACCTCCAGGTTAGTGATGCCGTGGAGCTGTGCAGCAAGTACCTGGAGACAGTCATCACAGTGGAGAACTGTGTCGACATTCTAAACCTGTCCGAACTGTACTCCCTATCCTCTATGCATACAAAAGCACAGCAATATATGCTAGAAAACTTTGAAATTGTGGCAGAGTCGGAACAGTATTTCAAACTTGCCCATCTTCAACTTGCAGCCATGCTGGCTGAGAATTCCCTCCGAGTGGTCTCAGAATACTGTCTGTTTGAGTTGGTGTTGATGTGGATTAAGTACAAACCGGAGGAAAGGGAGAAGTATGTGGCCAACTTGATGCGGAATCTGCGACTGCCGCTGCTCTCAGGGGAAGAGTTGGTCGAAAAAGTGAGTCGAGTGGAGGTGATGAAAAAGAATGCAGAATGCAATGAGCTGCTAACTCAGGCCAAAGACTACCATATTGTTGTCAGCAAACAGCCTCTACTTCAGTCCAGCCGCACACAAGTCAGGTCAGAGCGGAAGAGTTTGGTTATGTGTCATGCTCAGAATCTGGAAAGTTACAATTTCAAGACGAAGCGACAAGGATTTCTAAGAGATGCTACCATACCTCTATATAACCCATGTGTAGTGGTGGTGGACAACTTCATGTATGCATGTGGTGGGAAGTATGACAGTACGGAGAACAATGAGATTGCCACTGCCAGATGCTTCAGATATGATCCTCGTTTTGACTTCTGGTACGAGCTCTCTTCCATGAACGAAGCCAGGAAGGACTTTGTTGTGGTAGCATACAATGGTCAACTGTATGCTATCGCTGGTCAGGATGAGAACATGGTGATGTGCACAGTGGAGTGTTTCTCCATAGCAAACAATGACTGGGAGATGAGGGCACTGCTCAGTCACTCGGTGTATGGCCATGCAGGGACTCTGTGTCAGGACAAACTCTACATCTCAGGGGGGCAGCGTTTCTCTGGCTGTTGTAACAACCTAGCTTGCTACACGCCCGCCAGTGACTCCTGGGAGGAACGAGCGCCGATGATCCACAGCCGTTGCAACCATGTGATGGTGGAGGTGAAGGACAAGCTGTACGTCATTGGGGGAAACATTGAAGACAGTTACGGCTTTCCCGTTCCAATCATTGCCATTGAAAGGTACTGTCCTGTGGCCAATCAGTGGACTCTGTGTGAGAGGACGGTCAACATACGAGAGGCTGGGGCTAGCGTCCTTGACAACAAGGTGTACATTGTTGGTGGCATCAATGGTGAACATTACTATTCAGATCTACTGCAGCTGTATGATCCCATCCTAGATGAGATTACATTGGTAGAGAAATTCCCAACCAGGATCTTTGGAAAAGCCTGCTCCATTCTGACTCTGCCTCAGTATATATGAAACATGTACATAAAATAGTCATGTTTAGGTTAGGTCTTCGGGATATATTTAGACCTGTACAGAGACAGATTTTCAGCCCCAAGTATTCAGCGATGACAAAAGAAATTCCCAATTTGATGTAAGAACATATTTTCAGCCCCAAGTATGCAGCGATGACAAAAGAAATTCCCAATTTGATTTAAGAATGTTCCATTTCCGCAGGATCTATGAAAATATGATCAGTATCACAATTTTTTCCCAATTTACTTAACTTAACTTTTTGAATGCTAGATATATCTCTAGGTTTGTACATGTGAACAATGTGTACCCCACTTCATCAAGTCGACTATGGCGCCGCAATTCATTGTGCAGAGTGGCGTCCCTTGGGACGCCAGAAACTTATGATTGTGGTTACAAATCCCAATTTGCCCGATTATGTTTCTGGGTTTGTCAGTACCATACTCACGCTTGTCAGTTTTACCAAAGTGGTAAATGTCTGAGACCTGCATTACTTCGGGCTTTTCTCCCACATCAGGGTTGGTCGGGTAGCCTAGTGGTTAAAGCGTTCGCTCGTCATGCCGAAGACCCAGGTTCGATTCCCAACATGGGTACAATGTGTGAAGCCCCTTTCTGGTGTCCCCTGCCATAAAATTGCTGGAATATTGCTAAAAACGGCGTAAAACCATACTCATTCATTCATTTTCTCCCACATCAAGCTGACACGCCGTGATATAACTTGAATACTGTTCAAAGTGGTGTTACACCTCTGGAATTGAAAAGCCCCATTTAGAAGAGTGCACTCTGGTTGTTTATATTACAGTGGCTAAGTCGGGAACAATACACTGATACATCATGATACTTTAGTACACAAGTACAGTTACCATGGTTACATTATGTTTGTGTGTATCACAATGAGTAGGATAAGCATTTTTATTTTACTTATGTCAGCTTTTTTCTGCAACTGTTAACATGGTTAATTTTACTGCTGTTTTTATCTTTGATTTGCTACTTTTCAAGTCCAGGGCACATGTTACAGAGATCTTCTCGTAGGCTTAGACTGAAGGCAGCTGAGAATGAGCATCGAGAACACACTGATCCATTTATTGGAGTTATAATAATGTAGTGACATGAGCATGAGATTGGCGAACTCTGCCTTCCTCATACATGACGTCCATGTTAGAATAGGTCCCCAGCAACCTGTGCTGGTTGTAAGAGGCACTGAAATTAATCGGGTGGTAGGGCGCAGTGACTTGGTTGATTACATGTCATCATACCCCAACAGCGTGGTCGTTACTCACAATATCAGTCGACCCATGAAGATTCCGGGGTAGAATAGGTCTTCAGCAACCCATGCTTGCCGTAAAAGGTGACTTTGCTTGTCGTAAGAGGCGACTAACGGGATCGGGTGGTCAGGCTTGCTGACCTGGTTGATGCATGTCATCGATCCCAATTGTGTGGATCGATGATCATGATATTAATCACTAGATTGTCTGGTCCACACCGCCGTCATATAGCTGGAATATTGTTGAGTGCGGCGTTAGGCAACAAACCAACCAACCACAATATCAGTCACTGGATTATCTTGTCCAGGCTTGATTATTTACACGCTGCTTGAGTGTGGCATTAGACAACAAAGAAAGTCATACTTGACATGCATATTTATCTTGATCAAACCACTGAAGCATCATAAAATCTCCATCCTTGCCTCTGACATGCAGGTTATGTTCCAACTTCTTAATGGGATGCATGTAGGAGGTTCTGTGAGTCAACTACATAAGGTTACTGCGGGATGCAGTGGTGATATAGGCCAAACAAAATTGGGCAGGTCTGTCTTATCTTAAGTTAAAGCTTACCAGATTGTTTGTTGTTTAACACCACAATATGCCAGCTGTATGGCAGCGGCCTGTAAATAATCGAGTCTTGATCAGACAGTCCTGTGATTGACATCATGTGCATCGATCCACGTAATTGTGATACAATGACATGCATCAACCAAGTCAGCGAGCCTGATCACCCGATCCTGTTAGTTGCCTCACAACAAGCATGGTCACTTAAAGCTTACCAGTACTATGTTTAAGAAAGTCATGAGAGTCAGGCTTTGTAATCAGATCACAGTGTTTCAATCTCTTGAACCTGTACGTAAACATCTGAAGTGATCAAATCTGCATCTTCCCGAGGCAAGGGAGTTAACTGACTATAAAAGTCCAGTTTCCATCCTTGCTGAACTAGACTGGAATTCTGGAGTTACACTTTGGCTGGACTAAGGTTTTCTATGCATAGTCCAGTCAAAATCGCATAACAAACTAGACATCTGGTGCAGATGTCCATTGACTGCAGGATTTGCAAAGCATGTGTACCGTCAACTTGGTGTCAACAGATGTTTTGCAAATCTTTTCATGTTTTCAATCAAGGTGCTCATTTCACGAAATAAGAACCATTTTATTACATCATAGATCTTGATTATTGATGAGATCATCTTGACTGGTAGCCGCCATTTTGTTAGAAGCAAATACAAAGTGTCATGATCTGATTGGTCAGTAGGAGGGACATAAAAGAGACTACCGGTAACTCGAAATGGCCATTGTTGGCTCTGATCGAGCGTGGAAATTCCATCCTAGTTCGGCAAGGGTGAAAACTGGACTTTAAAAATCAGTTAACACTCTTGCTTTTGGAAGATGTCAACTCTGCTTTATCTGCAACTTGTCTCCACTCAATTCTGTGTGGCAGTGGTCCTGATGTATTCCACGATCTTCATCCTGGAAATATCAAGTTTGATTCCTGCAAGGGCACAATGTGGGAAGTCCATTTCTGGTGTCGCTAGCTGGGATATAGCTGGAATTTTGTTAACATCTCTTCAATATGAGTAATTCTTCATACATTAACCAACATTATGGTATTTGCGTTTCTTTTGCGGTGAGTATATACAATCATACTTGCCGTTCTGTCTGTATTGTAAATACTGTATGTACACAGTGAACTCCTGGTAAAACTATCATTCAGGGATCATTTGCATGGTTAAACTCCCCTTGTCTACTGATCAGTTCCACATGTTTAACATGTTCTCATGATGACTGGTTCTGTGTGTTCTGACTGTTGCCTGTGATACCCCAGTATAAACATAGTTTATCATGTGATAAAATCACAATGCAGCTGATGCAGTGTTATACATGTTATCCATGATATGTGCTGGTAATTAAGTACTAATTGCTGGTGCATTATATTAGCATATTTAGTTTATTGTGTTTATACAGATGACCATTGTTAACATGATTATCATGAAAATGTAATGACAAACCGTTTTGCTTGAGCATGTTGAGTTACCATGGTAACTGCAAGTCGTAGAAGTGTCAAAACATGCAGAAGTGGAAGGAAGAATTTAGGATTCTAATTAATTGTTTTGTGCTGACCAATACATTAATGCATGTACTATGAAGTGAGTGGGGTGTAACAATTATTCATTAATGAAAGACGGATATCGGAATCATGAATTTTATTCAGGCCTCGCATGATCACACCATCACGTAGCACTTGACCAATATACAGATATATCAAAATGGCAGGTACCCAGGAATGACTCTCCAGACACAGAAATGAAGTATCCACACAAGGCAATGATGGTATTTAGACAGGAGACGTCCAAGGTCAGATATTGCTTTAAGAAAAGGGGTTGCACAGCTTTTGTTTTGAAAGAGAGATGTTCACTTAATATCCAAATATGCCAGCACATAATTTCGGATACAATTTGCGTTTGTTAACTAAAAATAAATTCATGATAAAATGTCACCAAGTGATTTAGCAATATGTTTTTTTAAACAGTAACACGATAAGTGTGCCTCAAAGGATGTGGAATGTTCTGCACACATTATGATGGTTGATTCATAAAACAAATTCTAAAAATATATGCACTTAACAGGTATACTAGTCATGATTACGATGATATTACAAATATTAAGTACAGTCCTGATTGGGGGCATGGGTGGCCCAGTCGTCTAAGGCGCGATTCTCTGTGCAGAGTTGAGTCCCTTGGGCACAACAGAAACCTATGATTGTGGGTTCGAATCCCGGTTCGCCCCGATTATGTTTCTAGGTTTGTCAGCACCATATGAAGTGGTAAACATCTGAGACCTGCATCACTTAGAGCTTTCCTCCCACATGAAGCTGACACACCGCGATATAACTGGAATACTGTTAAAAGCGGCGTTAAACCCAACTCACTCACTCACTACAGTCTTAATTATACAGGGTTGCTTACAAGCCATTGACACTGATATTGGAACACTAAAGGTTAAGGTCATGGCTGTTGAAAGCCATATCATTAAGTGACAGTACAGAAGCTGTAATTTTGATAGACAGTTGACTAATAGATTTCAACTTCTTCATTCTTTCAATGCGGCTTGTGCCTTCAACATTCCTTGTCCACATAAGGAGACCATTTCATATTCCATGGAGGCCTGGGATTTGAGTAAGAACCTTTTTCAGTCAACACTTCAAAATATACATTTTTTCTCTGTGAAAGAAGCAAAACAAAACTTCTATATGCACAACACATTATTTAACAGGATATCCAGTGAATGTTTTTATTTTTATGAAACCAATTATTTTGGAACAGATTCCAGGCTGCCCAAATTGCTAATGGTCAGCGCCAAAATAAAATCTGTCTCTGTTTGGAGCCAGATAAACATGTAGTGATAGAGATGCTGATGCTGGTCACAACTCTACCTTGTTGAGACCCATGAAGATCCGGGGTAGAACAGGTCTTCAGCAACCCCTGCTTGTCGTAAAAGGCAACTAATGGGATCGGGTGGTCAGGCTCGCTGACTTGGTTGATGCATGTCATCGTATCCCAATTGCATGGATCGATGCCTATGATATCAATCACAGGATTATCTGGCCCAGACTCGATTATTTACAGAACGCCGTCAAATAGCTGGAGTGTGGCTTTAAACAACAAACAAACAACCAAACCAACCCTGTGGTACAGGTCTGGAGGTACATGACTGTCTCTGGGATTCTGAAACTCCCTCAAGGCTGGGTCTTGATTTCAACATGAGTTAGTTAATTATTTGTTTTGAATATGTTGACATTTGTTCCTTTGTCAGTTTGTGAATAAGTTCTGCAAAAAGGTTTCGTTGTGGTGGTTTGTTTGTTTGATTACTTGTGATTATCAAGTGTATTTGTTCCAGTGCAGATATGCAGAAAGATCAGTTTTGATGTGTTTTGAACACATGATGTATGAAATGTTTCCAGGATTGTCTGTACATAATGTAATAAATTGTTGCTAACTTATCAGGTTCTACCCAGGTGTTGCTGTTGTTCATCCACTGTAGACATACACATGCAGGTTACACTCTATAAACCACAGACCGCCTCCAGGGTCTAGTGGTAGAGCATCTGCCCAGAGAGCAGAAGGTCCTGGGTTCGATCCTCGGTCGCGTCATACCTAAAGACGTTAAAAGATGGTACTTGTTGTTACCCTGTCTGGCGTTCGGCATTAAGGGGCTAAATAAAGGACTGGTCGGCTCGGAGTCAGTAAACTGTGGCATGGTATCTCAGTGTGCTAGCACTATAAATTGGCATAAGTCTGGACTAGTACAAGCAGGCACACACACACATACACGTGCATGCACTTGCTATATAAGTGCAATAATCTTGGACGCGACGTTAAACCCCATTTCACCTCACCTCACCTATAAACCACAACATGAATGTGCTACAGAGTTGCCATCGACCTATAGTCTGGAAGGTAATTTAAGGTAGCGACGTTTACTACAATATCTCGAAAGGGTGCACGGGAATCACGCACGAATACGGTGTTAGCGTTGGGCGTCTCAACGTGCGTGATTCCCATGCACTCTTTCGAGTTGAGTTGATTGGTTCAACTGTCTCATACGGCCCTGTGACTGAAAATCAGAATTATGTTGATCTCAACCCTGTAAACTTACATCCATCTACAGTGCATCTGACCCCAGTCGTAATAGGCGACTAACAGGATCAGGTGGTCAGGCTTGCTGACTTGGTTGATGCTATTGTATCCTAATTATGTTGATTGATGCTTATGAAGCCAAATCACTGGATTGTCTGGTCCTTACTTGATTATATACAGACTGCCGTCATATACTGTATTCGACGTAATAAGCGCCCAGGGTGCTCTCAAAATTAGAAATAGGGGGCTCTTATTAGAATATGATTTTGGTTACAGAGTTGAAAGATCGTTAATTTCGTGGTTTATGCTGTCAGCCTGAAATTATACAAAAGAAAAGTCTGTGCGTATTATTCACGACAGATGTATATCCAAGAATTTAATTGCCCATACTTAAGGGTGCATATGACACACAAGTGCGTATTTTACACGAATAAATAAGTCCTGTGTACATTGATCAATCGGAAGGGGTGCTAATTGGGATTATTCACTAGCCAGTATATTAGACAATATCGCCCTGGGCGCTTATTAGAGCGGGGCGCTTATTACGTCGTATATATACGGTAGCTGGAATATTGCTGAGTGTGGCGTTAAACAACAAACATGGATCCTGTGTGGATGCACAGCTTCATGCAATCTATGTTCCACCAGACCGATGTGCCTCAACTTCCAGATGCAGTTCCAATTCCTCTCGACCTTTTTGATGGCTGATATTGCTCACTTCTTGGACGAGGACCTTCAACTCTCAAGATCCCTGACACCACAGTGCGTTCATTGCGATGGAGGTAAGACGCCCATCCCTTATCAGACCTGGCATCCTCATTTGCCATCAATCAGGATCTGAGAGGACCAGAGAACGTCTCCGCCTGCGCCTGCGTCAGACGTCAGGATCCATGGGTGTCCATCGTTCTGCCGTCCCACCTCATGCATCATCTTACGTGGCTGACAGTAGAGTCGAACGTCTTTGAAGGAGTCTCCTTGACAGCTAACGCCAACATCACGCCTGTTTGTAGACGCCTCTCTATAGGGTTAGGACGCTCACCTTGGAGGACCAGACGGCTTCAGGGCTGTGGTCTGACATGCAGTGCACATGGAATACCATCAGCCTGGACCTGGAGGCGCTCATTCTGGCAATATTCCACTGGCAGAATCATCTCCAGAATACCAAGCTAGTCATCTCAACCGACAACATCACGGTTGTCTGGTGTCTGAGAAACCAGTGGACGAGTCACTCCCACTCCCTGCTGCAGCAGACGTTCTCGTATTTCATCTGGCGGATCGTCTGGACCTACAATTTCTTGCCCAACACATCCCTGGGTGTCAGAACATCAGTTTATAGACTCGGGCGCACTTCCACGACAAGAAGGGTCTAGTGATTGCCGTTCTTCGCTAGGGATGGGTTAGGCGTTACCGAGTGTTTGCTGAGGATCACATCTGAAGGTATGCCTACATCCGTGCCGTCCGACTCCGACAACTAAGGAGTAATGCAGGGCAAGTTAAAAAAAATAGTAAAATCTAAAGATTTTTTACATTTGTATACTTATCCTACATTACTTAGTCTTACTGTCCCTACCATCGCAAAGCTCCCTCCACAGTCCCCACGATGTCTTCCAATGTCATGAGACCGCCTCCGTGGTCTAATGGTTGAGCGTCCGCCCGGAGAGCGGAAGGTCCGGGGTTCGATCCCGGGCCGCGTCATACCAAAAGACGTTAAAAGATGGTACTTGTTGTTACCCTGTCTGGCGCTTGGCATTAAGGAGCTAAAACAAGGACTGGTCTGAGTGGGGTATTCATGTTAAACTGCGGCATGGTATCTCAGTGTGCTAGCACTATAAATCGGCATCAGTCCGGACTAATACAAGCAGCCACACACACACACATACACGTGCATGCACATCGCTATATAAGTGCAATAATCTTGGACGCGACGTTGAACCCCATTTCACCTCACCTCACCTCCAATGTTACGATCAAGCAGTAATGTGAAGATAAGTGACGTCATCACTTCCATGGTCACGTGGGCGCTGTGTGATGGGGTATGCCTCTCAACCGATTGGAACAAGTTCTTTTCAGCTGGTCCTCATACAGTTTCGTTTTTCTGCCAAAAGAAAGCAGTAAAAGCATTAAGAAGTAATGCAGGATAAGTATACAAAGGTAAAAAAAAGTATTTAGATTTTACTAGTTTCGGTTGTGTCGAACCTTTGACAACTCGACATACACACGCTTTTTTCATACCTTTGGATATAATGTGCATGCCCCATTTGGATCCGCCTCTGGGAATTTTTCCAAGGCAAGGGGGTTAACTAACGACTTGGTTGATGCATGTCATCGTATCCCAATTGCGTGGATCGATGCTCATGATGTCAATCACTAGATTGCCTGGTCCAGACTCGATTATTTACAGACCGCCGTCATATAGCTGGAATATTACTGAGTGCGGCATTAAACAACAAAGAAAGAAAGAAACAAGCAGCCACGCCCAAACAAACGCACGTGCATGCACGTCGATATGTGTGCAATAATTTTGAACGCGACGTTAAACCCCGTTTAACCTCACCTCATCACGTGGTAGCTGGACTTTTATAGTCCGTTAACTCTCTTGCTATAAAAAGGTGACTATGCTTGTCGTAAAAGGCGACTAACGGGATCGGGTGGTCAGGCTCGCTGACTTGGTTGATACATGACATCGATCCCAATTGCGTGGATCGATGCTCATGATGTCAATCACTAGATTGCCTGGTCCAGACTCGATTATTTACAGACCGCCGTCATATAGCTGGAATATTGCTGAGTGCGGCGTTAAACAACAAACCAAACCAAAAACTCTCTTGCCACGGGAAGATGGCCTCTGATGTGGGTTGCCATAACTAAAATCACTCACACACTCCGTCACATGTGGAGTCGCATTAACATCCACGCCAGCACGTGTTACACTCGGGTAAGCCTTTCACCTTGTGTCTGGTAAGCCCCAACCACGTGTTACACACGAGTAAGCCTAAAGGATCGTCAAGAAGCTACGGGTGTCCATGAGCTTCTGGCTGCAGCCATGTCTTATCAACATATAAGTTGTACTACGTTGTCTACACCAACCAAGCCGTCATCATGGATGCTGGCGAATGGAAGACGAGCAAAGTTGGTCCTCGGACATTTCTTTATGTTGTCTCTCTGGCAGTCATATTGTTCTTTGTATTCATTTCAAACACAAAAGATTGGAGATTTTCAGAGGAACTAAATGCGAGGTAAGTTTAATAAAATACACGTATTGCGTTTATTACTTTTTAACAGTTCTAAGACGTGGCGGTTTGGTTTTGCACGGGTTACGTATAATTACAACGAATAGTACAGTGACAGATGGTTTTAACGTCGTCTTGAACAGTACTCAGTATATCAACGGCGTTGCAGCTTGGAGGAGGAGATCCTGAAGGGATCCAGGTTTTAGACCATTACCACTTGGGTGAAACACAAGAGCACGGATATGCTGCTGACAGATACGGTGGCCCACAAGGGACATGGAGTCTGTTTTTCAATATTTTGATATTTCACGTACTGTTATCGTAACCTTTTGCAAATTAACACGATTTGTCATACAAATATGTGATAAATCATGTATATAAACAACTGAAAACATGGAAAATGTACTTTCAAGTAGCTATTGAGTCGCTGAAATGTGAAGCGAAAATGTCAAAAACTAAAATGGAAATGTCAAAAACCAAAACGAAAGTGTCAAAAACTAAAATGAAAAAACAGAAAACTATTTCCACCGCGGTGGAAATATTATCACCGCGGTAGAAATAGTTTTATCTTCTTTACACATGATTTATCACATATTTGTAAGACAAAACGTGTTAATTTGCAAAAGGTAACGATAAAAGTAAGTGAAATATCAATATATGCAAAAACAGACTCCATGTCCCTTATGGGCCACCGTAGACAGACCTAGAAACAAAATCTGATCGAACAGATTCTGACCCACTCGAGCTCGCCTGAGACCTGTAACTCTACACTGTACAGCGAACTGTACGCCTTGAACGCCTGGATCTGGTCCCAGGAACAGTACAGATCCACTGATGATAGCTTAGAATTATCTTAATAGTATTCTCCTCAAGACGCTTTAGTGCAGGAGTGAGTGAGTGGGTGTGGAATTTATGCCGCTTTGGGCAATATTCCAGTATTATCATCGCGGGGGACACAAAAAATGATCTTCACAGATTGTACCCATGTGGGAATCGAACCCGAGCCTTCGGCGTGACGGGCAAATGCTTTAGCCACTGGGCTACCCAACGGCCCTCAAGGGGAAGGCATACCGGTAGTCCTAAACAGTATAGTGAGTGAGTTGGGTTTAACGCCGCTTTTAACAGTATTCCAGTCATACCACGGCGTGTCAGCTTAATATGGGAGGAAAGTCTGGAGTCATGCAGGTCTCAGACGTTAACCACTTCGGTGAAACCCACGAGCACGGGTATGGTGCTGACATGCCGGCGAACCGGGATTCGAACCCACAATCATAGGCCACTCGTGCGCCCCCCCCCCCCCCCCCCCCCCCCCCCCCTCAACCGTATAGCAACATTAGTTAAATTAATGTACACGAATGTGACCTACCAGTGTCCTAGTGTCAACGGGGGTTGTGCTCATACCAATTGGCGGTCCGGGCAAGTTCGAGTCTAGTTATCTTTGTCTACAAACTCAAATGTCATGATATATCAACCCATACTAGTACTGATCAATGTCTCAGTCTCACAAGGCCCGTTAAGATCCGGGGTAGAATAGGTCTTCAGCAACCCATGCTTGCCGTAAAAGGTGACTATGCTTGTCGTAAAAGGCGACTAACGGGATCGGGTGGTCAGGCTCGCTGACTTGGTTGATGCATGTCATCGATTCCAATTGCGTGGATCGATGTTCATGATAAAAAAATCACTGGATTGTCTGGTCCAGACTCGATTATTTACAGACCGCCGTCATATAGCTGGAATATTGCTGAGTGCGGCGTTAAACAAAAAACCAACCAACCAACCAACTCAGTCTCACAAACTATTCACCACTGATAGACACAGACTTAAAATGGACACCAGACCCCATCGTATCGCTTGTTAGTCTCTCTTTCAGATAATTCAGACTTGTTTTCAACCTTTGCAGTCATTATGTCAAATGGAACTGGATGTTGAGTGAAGCTCCAGAAAAGCAGCCCCCGGATGAAGCGCGAGAGGGTATGATGTATTTGTCGGAGGAGGAACTCCGAACAGACTTAAGCTTGGACAACATCAGTGTTAGGAGTTTCACCGACCCGGACCATTCTAAGATGTATTTGTCGGAGGCGGAACTCCGAACAGACTTGGACAACATCAGTGTTAGGAGTTTCACTGACCCGGTCCATTCTGAGATGTATTTAATGGACAGGAATGGTATCGAATTTAGTTTGAATGACATTATCCGTGTGAGAATCGACATGTACGACAGTTACGGCAAAAGAAGAACTGTCGGCGGAGACTTTCTCCGGCTGTGGATGGAAGAACCCGGATTAAAAGCCATCGTTTCTGGTGACGCCATCGACCACAATAACGGAAGTTACACGGGGATATTGAGAGCTTCTTGGACGGGCACGGCATCGATCCTCTGTTTTGTTGACAGGCGTAGAGAGGAGATAGCTCTCCTCTACCGAAAATATAACCAATATAACACACTGTGGAATGCGTACGCACAGTTCGCAAGTGGAGCTATGAAAGAAAATACGCTTTGTTTTACGACGCCGCGACCACCACATCGCTACTGCAACTACACCGACCACAACGGCGGCCTACCCTACTACTGCCTGCACCCCAACACCCCCGGCTTCACCTGCGCCATGTGGTGGGGTGTGTGGTCGAGTAGGAGGATAGTACCGATGACGCCTCAAGAGATACTGGTCTTCCAAGGGTAAGCAACAGATTCAGGATAGTCTCGTTATTTTCAACCCAAACAGTGAATTTTGTGTAATATATGGTGATAAACAATTAAAGACACCAGGGAGTGTGGACGGGATCGTCCTTCTCCATCACAGTGAGTGAATGAGTATAATTTAATGCCGCTTTTTGCAATATTCCAGCAAGATTGCTATGAATATTTTACGCGTTCACTAAAGACCTTACGATTTTCCCTGACATGTTACGGATAACTTGTTTTAATAAAATACTAGTACCTAAGAGTAATGATTCTTCACTCCATGAACTGAGAATTTATATACAAAAAAAAAAGTATACACCCTTGGTGACTGGCGGCTAAAATGAAACAGACACTAAGTGGTTCTTTGATGTCGATGCATCTGATACAAGTAAAATAGTTGTATTTTGGACTTTAAGTTGGAGTGTTTCGGCGAGTGTTTTCAGTCTAGTAACGTTTGTTTCGGACACATCCAGTGATACTTTTTTTTGCCAGGCATTTTTTCATGACACATGCTATTGATAAGTATGTGAGCTCAATCCAAACTGACGGGTTAGGTTATATGTTGAAAGAAGCCGTACATGATGGTTTTGATATTTTTGTTTGAATACTTTGTACAGGACCTTTGACAAAAGGAACGACTTACTCCCAACTCAAGTGAAGATAAAGATAGCCCCAGGTATGATCTGAGTTCTTTCCCCTTGCTTTGTCCAGACGATGCCGGGCATGAAAATCTATACAGTAAACTACGGTTATTACGAACTCAAAGGGACCACTTATTTTAGTTCGTTTTAACCGTAGTTCGTTATAAGCACATATACAGCATATATATATATATATACAGAACACTGAGACGGGACTACAAAATAAGTTCGTTATATCGGTCAGTTCGTTATAAGTGTGTTCGTTATAACCGTAGTTTACTGTACATGGCTCCGGACCATGGAATAGAAAGTTATTTTACCGTAGATGGTGTGATAAGGATGCTATGTATCCACAATAAAACATATGACAGATTAAACGTGGCTATTGACAAATACAGGATATGCGGCTCACAATAAATTGGGGAAAGGGAGTTTTTAATTGAACAGCTTGTTCAGAAATATGCCTAAAATTAATAGTTTGTTGCAGTGGAAACACAATTCATCGTTTGTTTTGTGGAAAATACTCAAACGTCAAAATTGTTGTGTTAATAGTGTAAATGAATAGATTGTTTGCTGGTGATTAGTAGATAAGTGTGTTGTATAAAACTCTGAAAAATAGATTGTTCTCAAACACCTCACCCCCACACAAATCAAATGGATTTTTCCTAGTTGGACTTTTTAATGTTGTTGCATAGGACAAGCGGTCCCGCAGTACAGAAGCGCATCACCATTCGTCATCACTCGCCCCTTTCCGTAACCTGCAAGAAGACTTGTCCCCTATCGATGAATGTTATGTTCGAAAATACGACAATCCAATCAGAATGCGCGTATGACTTAAAGTACTTCGGTCAAAGAATCCCTTAGAAATAATTTTGATTTTACATATGTCTTGCATCTAAAAATATACCCAAGACACAGGTAAATGTGTTCAGCCATACTGTATAATTCCGCACATCCCAATGTGCTTTAAATTGCATCTGAAATATATATAATATATAGGGAAATATATGTGAACCATTACGCAACGAGTTGACAATTGTTTTAGGTATGCCCGTTTGCGCTAAGACGGAACCCGGTCGCAAAAATGGCCACGAAAGGGGCACTAGTCGCTATTCGGCTTGTAAAATAGATTGTTCTCAAAAACCTCACTCCCACACAAATCAAATGGATTCTCCCTATTTGGACTTTTTGATGTTGTTGCATGGGACAAGCAGTCCCGCAGTACAGAAGCACATCACACGACAGAATACATGATGATATTGTTGTTTTATATATTTTTTTCTGATCTAAAACATTTCTTGTAAACACTTTTAAAAATTCATAAATTTATTACTATATTGTAAATTGCGTAGATATTTAACAGGTCCTGAACACAATGGAACTATTTCGATTTCTCGTCATGATATATAATGGACATTAGAAACATAATCTAGATACCTAGAAACATAATCAGGACGAACCGGAATTCGAACCCATGATCATAGGTTTCATAGCAAATTGCGGCGTCTTAGACGACTGGGTCACCCGTACCGTCATCTTTTCCCTTTCTGTAAAAATGAATTCCAATGTACATCTTAGTAAACATCTTTTTAAATTGTTTACATCACTGTCCATAAGATACCACCCCAACAAATATTTTAAAGGATGACTATAATTCTAAAATTGAATGCCCCAATATAGGATACGATGGTCTAAGGCGCCAAAATTCAAAGTTCAGAGTTGAGGCAGCTTATGCAAGATATAATTGATTTGAATCCAAATATTGATGGTCTGTCAGGGCCATACCCATGCTCGCATCCTACGCCTCATATTAAGCTGATACGTTGTGATAACTCGATCTTTACTTGTACTCATTTCTGCTTCAGGGACAGACAGTCATCAGGTCAAACTGACCCAGCGGTCCATCCTATGTAAAGACGTTTCCCCGGCCGCAACATGGCAGAAATTCTCACCCTCTGGGTTCATCTTCATGGGCACGTGGTACCCCCGACTGTGTTCTCTGGGAATGCCCATCGCTGAGTCGACCTACAGCTCGTGTCTGGCCAACAAGACTCTATGGTTGTCCGGGGATTCCACCAGCATCCAATTTGTGATTCAGCTGAACAATGTCCTTGGACTGGCACCATTTATTCCCCGAACACACGAACCGAAACGGATCTACCATCGATCTCGGAACTACTCCGTGGCGTGGGCAGCCCACGGGTTCCCGTACTTCCCAGGGGGGAATGTCCAACATCGCTCCTCCCTCATCCCTCCACAAGCCCAGTTTAAATACACAGCTAACAATTCTCGCGATATATTTGTGTTGTACCTCAACATTCACCTAATGCTGGTTCACCCCCGTGTCTTTAGGCAGCACGTGCGAATCATGGCTCAAGAGACGTCAACGCTCTTAGCACGTGCTCCGAACGTCACCGTGGCTGTGAGAGGTCCTCATGCCTTTTATCAACATCCGTATAAGGAAATATATTCATATTGGGGTCTCTTGTTTCGAGACATCATCCACGAAGAGTTCCGTCCCAATCGTGATAGAGTTATCTTCCTTGACTACTGGGATATGACCGTTGCCCTTGCGCCGATTGACTTTCATCCTAGGCCTCAAATTGTACAGATGATGATTCAGAATATGATGGCGTTTGTATGTAGAGATACATCGTGAGTCTTTTGTAGTGATGACGATTGCTACTTCTCCTTAATTTCTGAAGTGTCACAAATGGTATTTTTCAAAAAGGCCGCGCCCCACTGTCAAACGCTCTGTTGCAGAACACCACGAACATTGATTGATAAAGTCGTTTAACAGACACAGCTTTGTATTGTGAAGCTCAGTATATATGGAGGGCACGAGTGGCCCAGTCGTCTAAGGCGCTGTAATTCGCTTTGCAGACTTGCGTCCCTTGGGCACTCGAAAAACCTATGATCGTGGGTTCGAATCCCGGTTCGCCCCGATTATGTTTCTAGGTTTGTCAGCCCGACACTCGTGGGTTTCACCAACGTGATAGACGTCTAAGACCTGCATTACTAATTAAGCTGACACGCGTGATATAACTGGAATACTGTTTAAAGCGGCGTTAAACCCAGCTCACTCACTCACTCAGCATATATGTGTATGGGTGTATAAATATTGAGTTACATACACTGACACATGGTGTAAACACGTTCTGGTTTCGATGTATTTCTGCATAGTATGAATAAATCGAGTGCTTGAATATTGCTTAGTGCGGCGTTAAACCACCACCAACAACAACAACAACAATAACAACAAATCGAGTAAATTGTTAAATTTGATCACAATAGAAGTGTTATCAAAACAAACAATAATAATGACTTGTCATAGCATAATCAGATAGATAAGTGAATGAAATCCAGAATTGTACTTTAAGTAAATCGTGACATGGCTTGAGCTTCTGAAGCTAACACTAGCCGTTCAATCGCGAGAGAAATTCTGTGTGAAGTTATAAAGCTATGGCAGTTAATTAGTCCAGTGAATATTCATCGTAGTGGAATTGAGATGTAACAAACTCGGCAATCAAAGCTGATACGGGATTCATTTTGTATGCAGTGAATTATAAAAAAAATATGTCAAGAGGCTGGCTATCTTGTCATATTGTCATCTTGTAGTGTTACATGTGAAACTCATACCTTTACCATCTTAACACGAAACGATGCGTCAAATTTGGAAATGTCCTCGAAAGATGAAATTTGAAAGTTGAAGTCATCCCCCTTGTTATACTGTCTTGTGGAGAATTGTTTTGTCACTCTAAATCTTCTCGTCTAAATGCCTTATCCCTCGTTTCCACACACATGCTATCAATGAGAAAGGCCAACATTTCACACACTGTTTTCTTGTTGCTTTTAATATTGACAAGTTGTCCCTAAACCTTTCAAGATAGAGATGTAGCTGTATCAGTGGTCACCACGTTTAGTTCACAAATGCCAATGGATCAAGGAACGAAGTTAGGTTTGTCGTTGGGATAGTGGTGTATAAAGTTGAAAAATCAAATGTTTTGACAGAGTTGAACTTTGTTCTTTTCTTAAATTGCAAATATTCAGTCAAATCCTTGAAGAAGCGTTCACAACACCGACATACACAGTTCGTTATGACATAGCCTTGTACATGTACGGCTCCAATTACGACATGTCGTTATGCAAGTAACACCATTGTTCCGGCAATTATTGTTCGTTGTTTTCTCAAGACAATTACTGGCATCATCTTGATTGCATATAATTTAGATAAGTGACCAAAACCACAAACAAACGTTTAAAAAATATCCCTGCAAGTATGAAATAAAGTCATTAAGGCCCCTTTACACAGGGCTGCGGCCTTTGTGCCACCTTTGAGCGACCAAAAACTGCCTAGGACGCTCAATGGTCGTCTAAACCCAGAAAATCATGTATCTATGTAACTGCTCCAGCAGTTGTTCAGCAGTAAGTGCTCGAGTTGTTCAGCGTCTGCAACCACAATGAAACACTGCATGTACAAGCCCTCTAGCTATAGCCAGGCTGAGCAGGCACAACAGGTAGCTCAAAGGAGGCAGAAAAGAGGCAGAAGCATTGTCATGGTGTCTCAAGGGTTGCCGTGGTCGCCGAATGGGGGCACGGCGGTCGCAACAGTCATCGTTCAATGCATGCTGTTGGTCGCCCAAAGGAGGCACAAGGGAGGTACAAGCATCGCCCAGATTGACGGGAAAATTTGCAGCAGAACGCATCTATTACTTGGCGACCATTGGGCGACCACTGTGCCTTCTTTCTGCAACAACGGCAAAGCTTCTGCCTCCTTTGAGCCACCTTTGAGCAACCAACCTCCTCTGCGACCTTTGTGCGACTGTTTTGAACATGTTCAAAAATTCACGGCGACCATGGCCTCATGTCGTCCATGGCGATGTCTGAACCTTCTGTCTACCACCTTAGAACGATCTAGGCAATCCTTTGAGCCTCCAACGAAGACCTGGCAAATTTTATAGTCGCACATGGGAGGCACAAAGGTCGCCATCCTGTGTAAAGGCCCCATTACCCCAAGGGTTGTAAGCTCGAAACACTTATTAGAGTAAAGTGAGTTTGGTGCCTTTTGGGGCAGTATAACAGTTGCATGACCGTGTGCCAGCCTGGTGTAATCGGCCAGCCATAGTAATACAGGCTATAGACATGCACCGCTACAGGAGCACGGTAAGGTACTGACAAACCTAAGATCATAATCGGGATTCGAATTCTTGGTATCTCAAAAGACTTTGGCAAAACAGGCTTGTAAAGTAGTTAATACTACATTCAACGCTGGGAAAATTCTCAACAATCCCAGCTGGTGTCTGTTTTTATATTTTTATATATAAAAGAATTGCCAATCTTAAATTATAGAGTAGAGGTTTGGAGATTTCACCCTCCGCCCGATATTGAAAATGTACACGATCGTTTCTGTAAACTTGTTCTGAGCTTGAATAGAAACACCCTAACATAATTGCAAGAGGTATTGTTAATAGAACGTCAATAGGTTTTGCATTATATAAAAAGTTATAAAATTCTGGTTAAGATTATTGTCACAGGTTAATACCATCATTAAAGGTTCTTATGATTTTCAGTATAGAAGGGCAGAAAATGGTAAAGCTTGTTGGGCTGCTAATGTTAAATCTTTGCTGTATACATATGGTTTGGGCGAAGTTTGGTTACGGCAAGCTGTTGGAAATATAAATTGTATATTGTGTTTTAAGCAAAGATGTAAAGATATCTGCCAACAAACATGGAATAATAATCTAGAATGTTATTCTAAGCTGAAATATTTTGCTCTGTCAAGAAATTTTTTAAATATGAACATCTGACCAATTGAATTGATATAGCCATCTATCAAACATCCCTTGTCAGGTTTAGCTGTTCTAGTCATAATCTATTGGTAGAGGCAGGTTGGCATTATAAAATACCAAGGCCAGAACGCCATATTGTATTGTGCCATATATAGAAACTGAATTCCACTTTTGTATGTCCATTCTTCTCGAATATGAGAGAATAGGTACTTCCTAAATATTATTGCATATGTCCAACTCTTAATGAACTAATCTAATTTGTGAAAGCTAGTGTGAAACAAATTTGTTTAAGTGGGAGGTTAGGCACCCTACCACAGTTCAGTGGATTTGCCTCCCTTACACCAGTGTGTTGGTAATCGTAAACCGACCACGTGACGCACATGACTGCATCAATCCTCTTTCCTCGTACCCCAGCAAGTAGCCAAACGCGTATCTCATAGGCAACATATTATTTATCCCTTCCCTCGCACCCCAATTTTACCTTCTTTTTCCATGGGTTTACATGTTAACAATGTAATGTAAACATGTTTTTCATCAGGACCAAGTTTGGTAAATCAATACTTCTCGCATAATGAGTATGCATATCTGCTCATTAGCAATATAAATCAATGATTCCATGAATGCATAAGGATGTGTTTCTTGCTCTAATTGTCTTGGTGTTTCAGTGCCTCTCACCAGCATACTATATAACCTGGTGCAGCAATACTCGGCGGAGGTCGTGGCAGGCAACTCAGTTTTCTCATTAACACTCATTAAGTGTAAGTAAGTTCAGCCTCAACATGCTAACTGCACCTCATGTAGTGTACCCAAACCACAGAGGATGACAGTGTATGTAATGACACAGGATGGACTGCAGCTCATGCCTCACGTTGTGTTTAGCCACGGAGGATGAACGAACTGTCATCTCTATTCCGGCCAATTTGGTCATGTGTATATTCCGGCCCATTTGGTCATGATGTGTATAATCCGACCCATTTTGTCATGATGTGTATATTCCGGCCCATTTGGTCATGATGTGTATATTCCGGCCCATTTGGTCATGATGTGTATATTCCGGCCCATTTGGTCATGATGTGTATATTCCGGCCCATTTGGTCATGATGTGTATAATCCGACCCATTTGGTCATGATGTGTATATTCCGGCCGATTTGGTTATGATGTGTATATTCCGGCCCATTTGGTCATGATGTGTATATTTCGGCCCATTTGGTCATGATTTGGTCGTTACTCCATCGCGTCACGATGTGTACCCAGCTAAACCTCGGACGCAAGGAATGTAACTGCATTTCTGTGTATTGTGTAACTATGCTTGTCGCGACTTCCGCCTGTATTGTTATGTAATAAAGCTGCGCCCGTTTTTTGCCACTGAAGCATCGTGTTTTCTTTGGTATTCTTTCATTCACACTTAAAACAATTATATAGCTGCAACCTCTATGTTGTAAGAAGATTTGCAAAGTACATGTTATGTATTTCTCGCTCTCAAGAAAAGGAACACTCTTCTCAAAGATCTGCCAGATTTGTAGTACTATGCCATTGTAACAATGTGAGACTGATTGTTGCCAGTGTGTGTAACATGCTTGTGTTGGGACCCGATCCACGGGGCGTTCGTAGGTTTTGATCGGCCTCAGTAACCGTTTGTGCATCCTTCTCAGCACTCCGAGGAGGTGAGGTGAAATGGGGTTTCACGTCGCGTCCAAGATTATTGCACTTATATAGCGACGTGCATGTACGTGTGTGTATTTGTGCGGCTGCTTGTACTAGTCCGGACTGATGCCGATTTATAGTGCTAGCTCACTGAGGTACCATGCCGCAGTTTAACATGAATACCCCACTCAGACACAGTATACTGACTCCGAGCCGACCAGTCCTTGTTTTAGCCCCTTAATGCCGAGCGCCAGACAGGGTAACAACAAGTACCATCTTTTAACGTCTTTTGGTATGACGCGGCCGGGGATGAGTGTTGACCACTTGTTCGTGGCTTGCGGGCACTTTGTGAATCGGTCCCCTGATGTCATAGTCAGCGCTCTGTACAGGTGAACTGATCAATCCAATGTACCTTGTATAATGGGCCGGTGGCCCCTTTACGGAATAAACTCATTCACCACAGGAGCACGGTAAGGTACTTACAAACCCAAGATCATAATCGGGATTCGAACTTAGGAACAGTGGATTCTATTGGTCTAACATATCGAATTGCGGGCTTTTGACCAGGTCGGGCTTGCTGTCGGCGAAAATGATTCTGTTGTGAGATCTATATCACAAATTATCAGCATATTTGGATTACCAAACCTAACAGCGAAGCACACGACACATACAACATGCCACAAGTAAATGCTCATGGCGCTACGTACTATAACCCCGGGCAACAGATCATTGTGCAATCGATTTTCAATTATCAGCTCCCTGGGGAGGCGCTAGAAGGTAAACAGTCACATTTCACGCTCATCCTACCGGGTACCCATTAGCTGCATGGTCGACACCGCCGGTTTTCTTTTCGATCTGGAATCGTTACTCAAAGTTCACTTTCGAGGCTAATATTACAAGTATTTGGGGGTAAATGATCATGTGAGAGATTTATTATCGAGTCAGTCGGAGATGTAGAAAAGAGCCCTAAGTCCTATAACATACATTGGCAGACATTCTAACGGGACTTATATTAAAATTAGAAACGGGTGAAGGGATACATGAAGAACGGATGAAGGGATGCTCGTACTCTTACATATTCAGGACATTCAGCAACCCATGCTTGCCGTAAGAGGCGACTGTGTTTGTCTTAAAAGGTGACTAACGGGATTGGGTGGTCACGCTCGCTGACGTGGCTGATGCATGTCATCGTATCCAAATTGCGGGGATCGATGCTCATGATATGAATCACCGGATTGTCTGGTCTAGAGTGCCGCGTTAAACAACAAACAAACAAAAATATATTTCAGTTTATTGTTCCATGAATTTGAGAGTTTTTGTTGCCTAAATTCTTTAAGAGGAGTATACTTGTCCAGTGTCTTTAGCCAGGATCCGCTTCACTATTTAATGCGGTCCATCCTAGATGTCTCCGTAACGTAAAATATCAAACATTTGCAATTTGCGTTTGAGGGAACCCAATGACTTCACTTACTTGGGGGCAGTGTCACTTACAGATCCATCACATAATATATGTAATTATTGCAATATTCCCGGAGGTTAGTTAAATGATAGTTAAATGACCGCCATGACACCGCAGATGCTCTCTGAGGGGTAGAAGATCCACAGCAAAGACTATATCAGCCGCGACATATGTATCCCATCATGCTCTGCGTCATGGTCCGTACAATCGCAGGCGAGGGGTGGAAGTCGGGCAGGCCGAGCGCTACTGACATATCCCAAAAGTCAAGGAAGATAACTCTGTCATACAAGGGACGGAACTCTTCGTGGAGTATATCTCGGAATACAAGACCCCAGTAGGAATACATTTCTTGATACATTTGTTTGTAATAGGCATGGGGTCCTCTTACTGCTATAACAACATTGGGCGCCCGTTGTGTGAGAGCTCTGGTTCTTGAGACAAGTTTTTTGATGTGACGTCTGAAAACATCGGGATGGACCAGGATGAAATGTGTGTTTAGGTACAACACAATGATATCCCGAGAATCGTTTGGGATTTTATCAAAATGATGTGATTCAGGTTTGATGTAAGCCTTTGGGTAGTGTAAAAGTCCAGGAAAGTACGGAAATTCGTGAGCGTTCCAGTGGATGGAATAGTTGTAATGCGGGTGGCGAATGATTTTAGGCTCATGGGTGCGGGTGACGGCAGGAACGACCCTCAAGACGTTGTTCATCTCCGTCATGATCTGCATGCTCGTCGAGTCGCCGGATATCCACAGACTCCTGTTCTTTAGACATGCGCTGTAGGCGGGTTCCGTGATGGGAACTGTCATGGCGCACAGTCGGGGAATCCAAGCGCCCTTGTAAAAGAATCCAGAGGGCGCTTCATTCCGCCAGGTGTCGCTAGATGACACGGCCTTGCAGGGGGTCGTCGAGGAAAGGGCGCTCTGGTTTTCGGGGCCTGCGGAAGAACATTTTCAATGAGGTTCATATTTTAATACTTAAAAGAAGTTAAAGAACTCCCGATTCTTCATATTATAAAAATTAATCTGTTGGGCAGTATATAATCGGGAGAGTAAGCACGCGATACATCTAAATGTATTAGAATATGTCTTTGTTTGAGATAAATCTGTACATAATGACATTATTGTTGCTGTGATCAATCAATCCATTTAATTTTTTCAGAATGTAGGCCTCTCGGGCCTTAGTTTTTAGTACCAGCGCTTTATGTGATAAATAATACATTATCGTAATTACAAATGCGTGTAAATACCTCTCGGCAGTAATCTGTCCCGAGTGATTACATTACATAGGGTTTAAATTCATAGATACATTTACAAATTCAAGTGGCTTAAAGTGATATCCAGTGTTTGAAACAGCATTCTTGAAAATGAAACAAATTCGTGCTCTGTAAATACATTCAAAAACGTATATCTTTCAATTCTAACTTTGGATAAAACTGACATATTAAATCGAATATTTACTGCTGCTGTAAGTCTATGCATAGAATTGTTAAGAACACATGAGAAATTGAACTTTTCAAATTACCTCTGGATATATTCACCGATATATTTTGTCTGAATATATCTTTTTCTTTATCAAGCGACCTGAGGATATAAACGTTTTGCATATCATTAACAGCTACACAGTTTATGTAACAGAATCTCCTAATCATCACACCCAAATGAGAGAACCCATTGAATAATATACTGATTAAAGGGAATAAACTTGTTCGTTTGTTTGTTGTTTAACGCCGCAATCAACAATATTCCAGGTATATGACAGCGGTCTGTGAATCATCGAGTATGTATCAGGCAGTCCAGTGATTGACATCATGAGCATGGATCCACGCAATTGGAACACTATGACATGCATCAACCGAGTAAGCGAGTCTGTCTACCCGATCCCGTTAGTCGCCTCTTTCGACAAGCATGGGTTCCTGAGGACCAATTCTAACCCAAATCTTCAAGGGTGAAAAAAATAAGGGAACATTTTATATTGTTTAAAGGAAACTTTAATGTTGAAGGCATCAGTAAAACTCCCATTTGTTGTTTTGAGTTCCGTTATTTGTTTTCATCAGTATACTTCTGACAGTAACTACAGACCATGATGCCCCCATCAGTGCAAAATTGATTCCACAATCTGTCTTAAAAAGAGGCGTTTGATGTCTGATTGCAGTTCAAGCAAGATCAATTTCACATTTATTGAAACACACTACTATGTCTATCCAAAGAGACAGGGGCGGTCGGGTAGCCTAGTGGTTAAAGCCTTCGCTCGTCACGCCGAAGACCCGGGTTCGATTCCCGACATGGGTACAATGTGTGAAGCCCATTTCTGGTGTCCCCCGCCGTGATATTGCTGGAATATTGCTAAAAGCGGCGTCAAACCATACTCACTCACCCAAAGAGACAAAAAATACTGTCAGTTATTAACTTCTGAAAATGTTTTTTTTATACGCATTGAAGGGCTGAGGATGTATTTAAAAAGAAATTTACCTGTCTAGTTACACATGTATATAAATAACGTTTTTATATATACTATTTCAAGTGATGTTGCTGCGCATATTGCATTTAGTTTAGATTAAAAGACACATTTCTATGAAGCTCCTGGTTCCTTTACTCACAAATCGTACACAAGCTTCTCTGCTGGGGACAAGGGTATCCGGCGCCGATATGACCACACGCTGACCACCATGCTACAGTTGAGGTCTGGATGCAAGGGCTGGACACAGTAGTAAGGCAGGTCACCGTTGTCCGCGGTCAGATTGCAGTACTCAGCTGGGGGCATAGGCCGTGTGAAACATAGTGTTGACTCCACCGCGACGCCATTAAAGAAGTCTGCGTGCGCATTCCACAGTGTGTCATATTGGTGATATTTCCGGTAAATCAGAGCGATTTCTTCCTTACGTTTTTCAACATAACAGAAAATGGTTGGCGTCCCAGCCCACGATGCTCTCAAAATGCCGGTGTAACTTCCGTTATTGTGGTCGATGACGTCCCCGGAAACGTTGGCTCTTAATCCGGGCTCTTCCATCCACAACCGGAAGAAGTCTCCGCCGCTAGTTCGTCTAATTCCGTAACTGTCGTATGTTTCTATTCTGACCTGAATCGTGTCGTTTAAGGAAAACGTTGTCTGTCCATGAAGGAAGAACCGAGACAACAGTGGATCCGTTACTGTCTTCAGATCTATATCCAATGGATTTCGCAGAATTTCCTCTTCCGACAAGAAGCGTCTGGGTTCCTCCGTTGACCCAAGGTTGGCGTTAGTCCTCGACCACTGTGTGACCACGAGGTATAACCTGAAACATGCACTGATCAACATGTACTGACGATCAAGTAGTGTATAAGTTTGGGATCTTGTATGGGGACTAGATATTCTTTAAGGTGTCACATAGACTAACGCTTAGTCTCTGTAACTAGAAACAAATACAGTAAAATACGTTTATAACGAACACGCTTATAACGAACTGACGGATATTACGAACTTTATTTTTGGTCCCGGCCATTTGCTGTATAGATGTTGTATATATGCTTATAACGAACTACGGTTATAACGAACTAAAATTTGTGGTCCATTTGATAAACGTGGGGGAAATATAGACTTTTTTAGTCTATAGAATTACAGTAAGAGCTGGACGAAAGGGAAAATACTATGGTTCAGGGAACATGAGACAGTCTGTATGATTCACATGCTAAAAAACAGACACTTATTTAATTAAACCTATGAGAGTAAATATTTATTTATAAATGATCTTTATCTTGCCACTGGGTCAAACTGACCTACTACATACATACTACACGTGGTACGTGATTTTAATACGTTTTTATTGATATCTGAATTTGACATATCTGATGAGGTATTTTGTGAAGCATGATAAGAGTTAGGTCTTTATGTTTGTATTACATAAGTATGGTCAGTTGACGACCCTCTTCCCTCCCCCAGTCCTTGAAACACACAAATTCACATGACGCGTAAACAGCTGGTGTAAACAATCAGAAACATACTGACACCACTAATGATAATAATAAGACTGAACAGATGTTGATACGACCCCCTGTTTCTACTATAATACCATCTGCAAAAGCAAATAATCAACTGAAAAAAGTGTATAGTTAAAGTCGTGGATGCAGTCTTGGGTGTAAAGTTGCGCCCCCAGATTCCTCCACATTAATGACCCTCGGTCTTAGAGCACCAAGCCCGTGCACCATTTGGGCTTTTCTTCCACAGTAAGCCCTGGCACACCATGCTATATCTGTCAAACCCAACTCAGTCACTCACTCTTGCCCGCCCGTGAAGATCCTGGTTAGAATTGGTCTTCAGCAACCCATGCTTGTCGCAAGAGGCAACCAGCGGGATCGGGTGGTCAGGCTCGCTGACTTGGTTGATGCATGTCATCGTATCCCAATTGCGTGGTTCGATGCTTATGATGCCAGTCAGTGAATTGTCTCGACCAGGCTTGATTATTTACAGACAGCCGACACATAGCTTAATATTGCTGAGTGCGGCGTTTAAACCCCCACCCCTACCTCCCAAAAAAACAAAACAAAAAAACAAAAACGAAACATAGAGGTCCATATTTTCAAAAAACACGTTTTTCGTCATACAGTAACATATCTCCTTATGTTGTGTTGGAACACACTCGGCAAGATGAACCTTACCTTGTTGTTTGTAGGATGCCTCGCGTCATTATCTGTCTGTGTAGGTACAGTACGCCGAACATCGCCAACATACAAACGCATAGCAACGTCTTGGACACGCCTGCACGTCGCCAGGGCCACATCTTGCCTTGTGTGCACCAGCAATCCCACATACACCCCAGCAAGTATCTGTCCGTGTGTTTATTTGTAACGACCTGGCAACATCTGCCGTCACCTTAACGGTCTTAACCTAATCATGTCCACCACACCGTGCCTTGATCTACCATAATACCACTGGTGACAACTCGTCCCACTTGGGGACAAGCCGAATGTGTAGGTTACGGAAACATGCGAGTGGTGACGAATGCCATAAATACAAGAAGCTCTATTTTCTATGGTGGCCGAGACGGGACATCACTTTTTGGCCTTAAATTACGGCAGCGAGACAACGTTAAAGCGAACACATGAGACAAAACGCGAAAAAACGATGTTCCCTCTCGGTCACCATAGTTGCCGCCATTATGTTCATGGTCAGGTTAAAGCGTTCGCTCGTCACACCGAAGACCCGGGTTCGATTTCCCCACATGGCCACAATGTGTGAAGCCCATTTGCAACCTCATTAGAATCAGATCTAAGTTCTTGCTGCCGCTAAACAAAGATCTGAGGACATTCCATTACGGGTCACATCAAAACGACCTTTCGCGAACTTTGACAGACCACTGAAACTACTAACAAGAAGTCGACATCAGCCAATTAGAAAGCAGCTTTTACGAGCTTTACGGCACTCGTTTCAACCAGGCGACTTCCATTTCAGAATACGCTTGAAAATATGTTGACTCAGTTCTCGATTAAAATTTTGTAAAACTGAACAAACAAACATTCCGGAATGTCAAACATATGGTTGGGATTGTTTGGCAGTGCTTTCTCCGTTCAGATGCTTATCTCACGGAAGCGACAGATAGAATATAATTTTGACGGAATCAGTCGTACGAGCCGTAACTGTCGTTCGGAATATCCTGTGTTAACGTTAACGAGGTTGCATGATTAGAAAACACATTCCCACTTTCATGATCTGGTAAGCGACGCGTTGATTGGTCTGATGAAAGGTCGTCCTGACGTGACCCGTAATTGGATGTCCTCAGATCTTTGTTTAGCGAAAGCGAGAACTAAGATCTGATTTTAATGAGATTGAGCCCATTTGTGGTGTACCCCCGCCGTGATATTGCTGGAATATTGCTAAAAGCGGCGTAAAACCATACTCACTCACTCACGGTCATATAGCCTCGTACGGAACAGAGATCAGATTTATCCAGTAATGGTATTTTCCTATGTCGAATGGCTTTGTTCATATTCCATGAAACATATTTTTAAGATGTATATTTGCGACGGGAATATGTCTATAACTATAAACACGACCTCCAAAATAGCTTGACAATCCAGAACACAAATACAGACTCGTCAATCTCTTCTGATTGTTAGCCAATAATCAAATCAGTGTAAACTCTACATGTCTTAGTGAGTGTGGTTTTACGTGGTGTATGCGACCTGTGAAGATCCGGGGTAGAATAGGTCTTCGCAACCCATTCTTGCTGTAAAAGGCGACTATGCTTGTCGTAAAAGGGATCGGGTGGTCAGGCTCGCTGACTTGGTTAATGCATGTCATCGATCCCAACTGCGTGGATCGATGCTCATGATGTCAATCACTGGATTGTCTGACCCAGACTCGATTATTTACAGACCACCGTCATATAGCTGGAATATTGCTGAGTGCGGCGTTAAACAACAAACAAACAAACAAACAAAAACAAACGTGGTGTATGCAATATGCCAGTTGTAATAAGGCGGGGGAAACATATTATAAAGAATTAGTGTGTCCAGGTAGGGAATCGAACACAAGTCGACACAACCTCAACGCTCTTACCACTAGACTATCCTACATCGCCGATATCAGCATGGCCACGGTACTGTTCGATCAATAAACACCCGCATGCAGTGATCATTTATAATATCAAATACCATTACCCTGAATAAATAACTCTTTATTGATGAGATGATCCATCCAACTGCATTTGAGCATGGGGAAGTGTTATGAACGTGTTTAAGCAGCGGACTCTGGACTTACACACAGCAGGCGTAAATCATAGTTAACATGTCGGTTTTTGTTTAAAATTTTTTGTAAATGTGCAATTGTGTGAATAAATGTATGGTGTATCGCTTGATTGCCTGGTCTATTTACAGACGCCGTCGCGTGGCAGGAGTAGTGCTGTGCGGCGACAGGCAACAAACACTGCACATTGTGTGAGAGGGTGCTTCATGTAGGGCAGGACAGGCTTCCCCTTTTCGCGAACATCTGGTGTCTTTACTGACTTTCAGTGATCCATTCACATCATTTTCACAACTATTCGTCTTCTACGCCAAATGGAATTTGTTTCCTTGACGGTTTTCACGAACACGATGCGTTGGACGGTTTTCACGAACACGATGCACTAGACTGTTTTCACGAACATGATGCACTTGAAGGTTTTCACGAACATGATGCACTAGACTGTTTTCACGAACATGATGCACTTGAAGGTTTTCACGAACGTGATGCACCAGACTGTTTTCACGAACATAATGCACTTGAAGGTTTTCACGAACGTGATGCACCGGACTGTTTTCACGAACACGATGCACTAGACTGTTTTCACGAAGATGATGCAGCGGTCTGTTTTCCCGAACACGATGCACTTGAAGGTTTTCAAGAACATGATGCACTAGACTGTTTTCACGAACATGATGCACTAGACTGTTTTTACAAACACGATGCACTAGACTGTTTTCACGAACATGATGCACCGGACTGTTTTCACGAACATGATGCACTTGAAGGTTTTCACGAACGTGATGCACTAGACTGTTTTCACGAACATGATGCACTAGACTGTTTTTACAAACATGATGCACTAGACTGTTTTTACAAACACGATGCACTAGACTGTTTTCACGAACACGATGCACTAGACTGTCTTTACAAACACGATGCAAAACAAGGTTTTCACGAACATGATGCACTAGACGGTTTTCACGAACATGATGCACTAGAAGGTTTTCACGAACATGATGCACTAGACGGTTTTCACGAACATGATGCACTAGAAGGTTTTCACGAACATGATGCACTAGACGGTTTTCACGAACATGATGCACTTGAAGGTTTTCACGAACATGATGCATTAGACGGTTTTCACGAACACGATGCACTAGACTGTTTTCATGAACATGATGCACCTGACGGTTTTCACGAACACGATGCACTAGAAGGTTTTCACGAACATGATGCACTAGACGGTTTTCACGAACACGATGCACTAGACGGTTTTCACGAACACGATGCACTAGACTGTTTTCATGAACATGATGCACCTGACGGTTTTCACGAACACGATGCACTAGACGGTTTTCACGAACATGATGCACTAGACGGTTTTCACGAACACGATGCACCAGACAGTTTTCACGACCACATGACGCACAAGACTGTTTTCACGAACAGGATGCACTAGACGGTTTCACGAACACATGATGCACTAGACGGTTTTCACGAACATGATGCACTAGACGGTTTTCACGAACATGATGCACCGGACTGTTTTCACGAACACGATGCACTAGAAGGTTTTCATGAACACGAAGCTGACAAAACAAGAATAATAATCAGGGCCAATCTGGGATTCGAACTCACGATCATTAGATTTTGGCTGGCCAGTGAGTCGCAATTCTGTAATGGAGAAATACCCCGAATTTACTGATTCCGGAAGTAGAATGAACCAGCGAACCGGTGATATCTCCGATTTAAATCATGTTTTGGTTGATATATAATTTATCTTTATATATTCCATAATGATCTTTTGTTGCGTCAATCCTACTTGTTAGAATTAATGTTTAGATTAATGAATTAATGTTTAGATTAATTCATTCTGGCTCAGAATCAAATGCACCAACAATTGCGGGACGTCATCGTCATCGTCAAATAAAGCCAGCCCTTCCATTGACAAAAGAACAGTAATTTCTATTGAGGGGCCCTTGCTAAACAGTCTGTCCATAAGCTAATGATGCCACTTTGTATTCCTATTTTCCAAATCGTTAAAAATTCATCATTAGGCTTTAAACCGGCGTAGTTCTTCATTTGATCCAAGATCGAAGAAAATGATTATGCTTCTGTGCCCAGTCGCAGCTACAGTGTATTGCAATGTTTCCAACACATATACACCCCATTATCATTCGTTCGATAGCAGTGTACACACTTGTATTGTGTTGGCTTTCAACTCATTAGTTATTTTCAATGTTGAATGTTGACTTTTCACATTTGTGTCTGTCCGATGTCATTACCGGAAAATGACCGTAAAGTAATGTAATTGTTTAGCTTGTGATAGCCCCATAGCACTGTACGTTGCCAGGGCAATATCGTTTTTCTCGCAATGATTTACTCACATGACTTCAACAAAGAGTTTTTTTTGCCACTCGAAGTTCAGCATGGGTGCGTATCGGTTGTGTTTGGCGTTTCTGCTGTGTACGTGTGCCGTCACCGTTATTGGTCATATCAACAACACAATGAAGACGGCAATGATAGCCCTACGGGCAGAACTTTTAACGAACCTGGGACCCAATGTACCGCCGATCACATTCGAAGGGAGTGCCATCAAACTCAACTTCTCCGTCGCGTCGTTACATATAAACGATCTCAACTCTGCGACGGAGACTCTCCATTCAACGGCTCATGTTCTGATGGCCTGGTACGACAAGACTGTCTCCTGGTCACCTGGCAACCACTCCGGCATCCAACAATTGCAGTTCGACATATCCGAAGTGTGGACGCCCGTCTTGCTGCTTAGCAACTCCGTCGGGAATTCCGCCACTTTCTCGACCACCGTGCCCATCCTACTGACGGCTGATGGGAAATTCCTGTGGCAGATCCCAGCAACGTGGGCGACAACTTGTACAATCTACATAGAAAGGTATCCTTTTGACGAACAGTTCTGTGACCTGATGTTCACGAGAGTTGAAGGCTTCCTTCTTGACATCACCGCCAACACCAGCATCGGCCCCAACACCGACATCGGCGTTCAGCCTGACACGACTGGTGAATGGGAGTTTCTCAGCGTCTCTTTGGTTACATTTGGAAAGGAAAGGCAACTCCCCGGCGTACACTATCGCATTCACATGAAACGGAGGTACCTATTCCACATGCTGAACGTTGTGTTTCCGATGTCTATCCTGTCGTTCACGAGCTCTATGGTGTTCCTATTACCGACGAGGTCAGGGGAAAAAATTGGCTTTGTTATGGCTGTGTTTGTGTCTAACGCCCTTTTCCTCACCTACAATCAAGAGTCGATGCCACACACCTCCACCTCCGTGTCCAGTCTGTCAGTATATCTCACACTCATCCAAATTCAGGAGTTTCTCACCATGTTAGGAACCATCGTTGTGCACATCGTCTATGATCAGCGAATAGTGAACCAAGAGTTGAAGGTGAAGGTCAACAAAGTAAAGGTAACCCCAGTCGACAGCGACGGCTCAGATCCCAAGAGAAGGTCTTTACGGGATCGATTCCGAGAGGCCCCAGCTGACCGAAAACTGGACTGCATATTCTTTTGTATATCTTTCTTCTTAGCTCTACTTGCTTACATGACTATCATCTTATAACGACGCAAATTCAAGGGACAATCAGATGAGAGTTCCCTTTTGGGAAAGTGTATCCATTAAGTGCGAGACTTCTGCTGACCAGTGTCGGCCATACTCGAGTATCCATTCTATTTAACCTCCACTCTATAATTATAACTTCCCTGGACCCTTTTGCTACAAGCATAATTTCGGACATCAACATCTTTATCGCTCGTATGACCAACTTACCAAAGTACCCCCCTTCCCCCATCCCAATCCCCCAAGTTAGAAATGTCTAGCATTAGTGAATAGTTCTAGACGTCACATTCGGCATATTGCAACCCTCAGGGTGTTAGTGGAGCACATGTAGCCATGGTGTGGTATGGTATGGTATGGTATGGTATGGTACGGTATTGTGTGGTACATGTATTTAGGGTTTAGGGGGACTTGGACCATTAAAGGTTTATTTTCACATCAAATGTCTTTAAAAAGGGCAGAGTGAGAAATGTAAATGACACGATTGACCAATCTGTTTCATGATCTAGTTTATATTTTCAAACAAAATGCCATTACTAATTCATTTCTGAAAAGTCAGAACTCATTCCCTAAAAGAACAGACAAGACAAAAATGATAAAACGTTAAAATGCTTTAAAATTTAAAACACATTGTATGTCTATATTAGATTTCTGTGATATATCAAAGTTTCCCATTGCAGTCACGAAGTCTTATAATTCCCGCTGAATTGAACCCAAATTATGTCGGGGTCCAAAAGTGTAATAAGAAAAAAATGAGCTGTCTTTCTCAAATTCTGCACTACTTTAAATTAATCTGATATTATTTTACAGTACATAGATTGGAGGCCTATTTATCAATGACACTTCGGTAAGCATTTAACCCACAGTCCTCCTATTGGTTTTTACAGTAGGGCAAATCGTATTCATATGTGGTCACTTATCCCAGCATCCCATCCTAAAACATGTCGAAATCTTTCACTTGGTGTCTGAATTCAGATTTCGTTACCTTAAGATATTGCAAGCCCCATTTCCCAAGTTGGTGCGATACCTCATGAACATGAGCTTGAATATCACACGGAAAATACTTTGACCTCGATAATGTATCCGGTTTTAATATTTCATTAACAATGTCACTTCGTGAACCATTTATACCAGATACCAGTCAGTAAATATAACTGCCTCGTGGCTATATTCATGAACCCACCCTAAAGCTTGAAGAATAGCTATTGTAGTTCGGCAGGAAATACTGAGAGATGGTCATTAAGCCTGTACACACTTGAAGTGTACAAATCTGAAATCCAATATGCCCCAGCAGGATGAATTGTTGACGAATCCTTTGAGGCATCAGTAAACATGTGTGTAAAGTTGGCATAATGTTCAGAAATGATGTCCTGAAAAACTGATTTCATGACATTTGGACTCATTCTTTTGCTAATGGTTGAATTGAGATGATAACAAAGCCCTGGTGTCAGAAACAGTCAAGGAGCAGAATCTGCAGGTGCAGAGGAACTGGCACTGTATAACTCCATACTTAGCCGCAGGTTTCTGAAAGTTCAAACCGAAGGGACCTTGCCATGTGTCCAATCGTGAATCACATTCTCAACATTAACAACATCATTGGCTGAATTATATTTGGGTTTAGATTCATTTCAGTTTGAGAAAATGTTTGAGACACATGTTCACAACGAAGACCTTGTGGCGTTTCTGCGTGTGCAACCTAGAGAGCTGAAACTGGGGTAGTTGCAAATGCACCAGTGCAAATTCGCAAAGCCTTTGACTGAATACGGTCAAATTATGATCTATTGTTGCATCAATGTTACTTGTTAAAATGAATGTTTAGATTAATTACATGTCTGGCTCAGAATGAAGTGCAACAAGAATAGCGTGAAGTCATCGATATGGTTGAGGCACAGATAATTACAGCGACACTGTCGTAGTCTGACTAGAAAAAACCGATCCCTTCCATTGAACATGGAACAGTAATTTCTATTGAGGAGCCCTTGCTAAACAGTCTGTCCATCAGATAGTGATAACACTTTGTATTCCTGTTTTCCAACTCGTTAAAAATGAATGGTCTGGCTTTAAACCGGAGTAGGTCTCCCTTTGTTCCAAGGTCCAAACAAGTGGACACAAATGATTATGCTTCAATGCCCAGCAGCAGTTACAGTGTATTGTAATGTTTGCCAACACATAAACATCCCATTATCATTCGTTCGATAGCAGTGCACACACTTGTATTGCGTTGGCTTTCAACTCATTAGTTATTTCCATACTTGAATGTTGACTTTCCACATTAGTGTCTGTCCGATGTCATTACCGGAAAATGACTCTAAAGTAATGTAATTGCTTAGCTTGTGATAGCCCCATAGCACTGTACGTTCCCAAGGCAACATATCGTTTTTCTCGCAATGATTTACTCACGTGACTTCAACAAAGAGGGTTTTTTGCCACTCGAAGTTCAGCATGGGTGCGTATCGGTTGTGTTTGGCGTTCCTGCTGTGTACGTGTGCCGTCACCGTTATTGGTCATATCAACAACACAATGAAGACGGCAATGATAGCCCTACGGGCAGAACTTTTAACGAACCTAGGACCCAATGTACCGCCGATCACATTCGAAGGGAGTGCCATCAAACTCAACTTCTCCGTCGCGTCGTTACATATAAACGATCTCAACTCTGCGACGGAGACTCTGTATTCAACGGCTTATGTCCTGATGGCCTGGTACGACAAGACTGTCTCCTGGTCACCTGGCAACCACTCCGGCATCCAACAAGTGCAGTTCGACATATCCGAAGTGTGGACGCCCGTCTTGCTGCTTAGCAACTCCGTCGGGAATTCCGCCACTTTCTCGACCACCGTGCCCATCCTACTGACGGCTGATGGGAAATTCCTGTGGCAGATCCCAGCAACGTGGGCGACAACTTGTACAATCTACATAGAAAGGTATCCTTTCGACGAACAGTTCTGTGACCTGATGTTCACGAGAGTTGAAGGCTTCCTTCTTGACATCACCGCCAACACCAGCATCGGCCCCAACACCGACATCGGCGTTCAGCCTGACACGACTGGTGAATGGGAGTTTCTCAGCGTCTCTTTGGTTACATTTGGAAAGGAAAGGCAACTCCCCGGCGTACACTATCGCATTCACATGAAACGGAGGTACCTGTTCCACATGCTGAACGTTGTGTTTCCGATGTCTATCCTGTCGTTCACGAGCTCTATGGTGTTCCTATTGCCGACGAGGTCAGGGGAAAAAATTGGCTTCGTTATGGCTGTGTTTGTGTCTAACGCCCTTTTCCTCACCTACAATCAAGAGTCGATGCCACACACCTCCAACTCCGTGTCCAGTCTGTCACTATATCTCACACTCATCCAAGTTCAGGAGTTTCTCACCATGTTAGGAACCATCGTTGTGCACATCGTCTATGATCAGCGAATAGTGAACCAAGAGTTGAAGGTGAAGGTCAACAAAGTAAAGGTAACTCCAGTCGACAGCGACGTCTCAGATCCCAAGAGAAGGTCTTTAAGGGATCGATTCCGAGAGGCCCCAGCTGACCGAAAACTGGACTGCATATTCTTTTGTATATCTTTCTTCTTAGCTGTACTTTCTTACATGACTATTATCTTATAACGACGCAAATGCAAGGGACGGCATGTTGCAGCTTTTCCCAGAGTGTTAGTGGAGCACATGTAGCCATGGTTTGGTATGGTACGGTATGGTATGGTATGGTATGGTATGGTATGGTACAATACGGTATGGTATGGTATGGAATGGTATGGTACGGTACGGTACGGTACGCTACGGTACGGTATGGTATAGTACGGTATGGTACGGTACGGTACGGTACCATTAAAGGTCTATTTGCACATCAAATGTCTTTAAACAAGGGCAGAGTGAGACATGTAAGTGACACGATTGACCAATCTGTTTCATGATCTACTTCATATTTTCAAACCACATGTTATCACTAATTCATTTCTGAAAGGTCAGAACTCCCTAAATTCCCTAAAAGAACAGATAAGACAAAAAAGGAAAATCGTTAAAATGGTTTAAAATTTAATACACATTGTATGTCCAAATGAGATTTCTATGAGTGAGTGAGTCAGTGAGTAAGTATGGTTTTACGCGGCTTTTAGCAATATTCCAGCAATATCCTGGCGGGGGACACCAGAAATGGGCTTCACACATAGTACCCATGTCGGGAATCGAACCCGGGTCTTCGGCGTGACGAGCCAAAGCTTTAACCACTAGGCTACCCGGCCGCCCCAGGTTTCTATGATATATCAAAGTATCCTATTGCAGTCATGAAGCCTAAGGCGCCGCGATTCGCTGTGCAGAGTTGCGTTCCTTTGGCACGCCAGAAACCTATGATTGTGAGTTCGAATCCCGGTTCGCCCCGATTATGTTTCCAGGTTTGTCAGCACCATACCCGTGCTCGTGTGTTTCACCGAAGTGGTAAACGTCTGAGACCTGCATCACTTCGGGCTTTCCTCCCACAGTAAGCTGACACGCCGTGATATAACTGGAATACTGTTAAAAGCGGCGTTAAACCCAACTCACCCACTCACTCACGAAGTCTAATAATTACCGCTGAATTGAACCCAAGTTATGTCGGGGTCCAAAAGTGTAATTAGAGAAATATGAGCTGTCTTTCTCAAGTTCTACACTACTTAAATTAAATCTGATATTATTTCACAGTCTCGGGAGTATTTTTCACCACAGTGAGTACATAGATTGGAGGCTTATTTATCAATGACACTTCGGTAAGCATTTAACCCACAGTCCTCAAGAAGAAGTCCAGTAATTATTACGTCCTTGCGTTTCTTTTACCGATGGATTTTCCTATTGGTTTTTACAGTAGGGCAAATAGTATTCATATGTGGTCACTTATCCGAGCATCCCATTCTAAAACATGTCGAAATCTTTTACTTGGGGTCTGAATTTAGATTTCGTTACCTCAAGATATTGCAAGCCACATTTCCCAGTTTGGTGTGTCACCTCATTTCCATGCAACCAAACATGAGCTTGAATATCACACGGAATATACTTAAGCTCGATAATGTATCGGTTTTTTATATCTCATTAATAATGTCACTTCGTGAACCTTTAATACCAGATTCAATTGCCTTAACAGCTGCAATGGAGTCAGTAAATATAATTGCCTCGTGGCTATATTCATTAACCCACCCTAAAGCTTGAAGAATAGCTATTGTTGTTTAGCAGCAAATACTGAGAGGTGGTCATTAAGCCTGTACACACTTGAAGTGTGAAAATCTGAAATCCTGTATGCCCCAGAAGTATGACGAATCCTTTGAGGCATAAGTAAACATGTGTGTAAAGTTAGCATAGTGTTCAGCAATGATGTCCTGAAATACTGATTTGATGACATTTAGATTCTTTTGCTAATGGTTGAATTGAGATGATAACAAAGCCCTGGTGTCCGCAGCAGTCAAGGAGCAGAATCTGCAGGTGGAGAGGAACTGGCACTGTATTACTCCATTCTTAGCCGCAGGTTTCTGAAAGTTCCAACCGATAAGACCTTGCCATGTGTCCAATCGTGAATCACATTCTCAACATTAACAACATCATTGGCTGAATTATATTTGGGTTTAGATTTATTTCAGTTTGAGAAAATATTTGAGACACAAGTTCACGACGAAGACGTTGTGGCCTTTCTGCGTGTTCAACCAAGAGAGCTGAAACTGGGGTAGTTGCAAAGCCTTTGACTGAATGCGGTCAAATTAAGAAGGATGTCATTTTGAGGCAGACATAAATACCGCCAAAGTCAATTCTTGATACTATTAATGCTTTATATAGCGATAACACTGAGGATATACCAGCACTCCACTTCCTTTTGGCAATGCATTTCATTAGATTATAATCGTATTACATTTGTCACAACATGAAATATGTGAGAACCCCGCGTTAATCTCTGATCGAAATAAACACCAAAAACTTAAACTCCCTTACAATTTCTATTTTGTGTCACCAACAGTCAGCTCTATAACTGAAGGAATTCTACGTCCGGTTATCATAAACATGATTGGACTGAGAAATCTTTAAGCCACACTTAGGACACCACACAATGATGATATCTAACCATTTCTGAATTGATTCAGTGACAAACTTGAAATTTTCAAAGCGTCTCCAAAATTGTCCATTCTGAACTGCAAACTATGCTGCATGTATATTTAATGGTAAGTCTGTGGAAAAAGTTATTTATCATAATATTTATTGCACTACCTTGTGGGGTACCATTTTCAATCAAATGTATACCAGTAAAGTCCTGTCCAATGCAAACTTGAATAGACCTTTGAAGAAAACCCGAGTGAATCCATGTTGCCTTTTATCCCCAGATTCTGTAATTTGAATAGAAGTCTATTGCCTCCAGGTCATATCGTATGGTTTCTCAATATCGAAGACCAACAGCATGTACCCTCTATTGCATTGACCCGTGGAGATTCGGGTTAGACTTGGTCTTCAGCAACCCATGCTTGTCGTAAGAGGCGACTAACGGATCGGGTGGTCGGGCTTGCTGACTTGGTTGAAGCATGTTATCTCATCCTAATTGCGTGGACCGATGATCATGATGTCAATCACTAGATTGTCAGGTCCAGACTAGATTATTTACAGACCGCCGTCATATAGCTGGAATATTGCTGACTGAGACTTAAAACAACATCCGACATTTGACTTTCGGCTTATTTACGCCAGAGTCTAATGAAATAAAAATTGATTTAATTTGCTAGTTATCGCAAGCAAGGTTATTTAACAATAACTTAAAGCTTTGCTTTGCCAAGAGGACTTGTATTTCACTGATAATATGATTAATAAAGAGTAAAATGATTTAATACTTTGTTTTACATTATTGCATGAAATGAAAATTTCTAAACGATCTCCGAGTTTAAGAAAATAAATGCTTTCTAAAAGTGTTTCCGTTTAACCTGTCGCGGACACTCAGTTTAAGTTTCTGACAATCAGACACAAGGATGAGGGAGCACTCTGATGCGTTCGCCTGTATATTAGTGATATCAACAATACACAGGTACCACTGTACGGTTAGGTCATCATGTGACCATGTGTGATTTGCAAACCCCGTGAGACCCACTGAGTGAGTGAATGAGTGAATAGTTCTTCCCGTCACATCGGAACTATATGCAGCTAGTAGCGGTGTGTTAGCGGAGCCCATGTGGCCATGTCGCTGTAGCATATTGAGTTACCCGCCCTTGATGTAAACGTAAGTTCGGAATATCTCGACATAACTTCACCCATCAGACGTATAAATCACACACATATGCGTGGTTACCTTTCATACTGAATGGTATTCAAATCTAACACATTTCTTTATTGTTAGTTTCAAAGGAAAATTGCAAATCTCTGAAATCCTAATTGTAAACATTTTTGGCATTCAACCCCCGTTTTGAACATACGTAAAATGTATACAATTAATGAACATTGGAGTGTTTGTAGGATGTGGGATTTACAAAGTGTAAAGATACACCTTAATTATCTCATTTAGTGATAGGCTTTCAACAAAAATATAATGACAGCATACACTCACTACTTATATTTGAACATTTTTTGTCAAAATGCAACCTCCTTTTCCACAAGAGTTTATCCGCGCTTGCTAAAGGACAAACTACAGATTGTATTATAAACCGCATTTAATCAACATCAAATAAAGATGTCCAAATAGCTGATGGATTCGAGATCGAAAAGTTTTGACACGAAAATAGGTGACTTTCGCCACTGACGAAAGAAAACGATGACGTCATCACAATTGTGTTGACGTCACATTTCTCAGGGAGATGAATCAGTCAGTCTGACTTCGGGAAACAGACAACACAGCCGTACGCTTCAGACAACTTGCTCAAGTAAGGTGGGTATCTTTCATTTCCGCATGAACTAGGGTAATAGTGAATACATTTCCCCACTGACACCGTCAAGAGGCCCAGCTTGGTCAACTGTGATGGCGGTCGATCACAAGCCGGAATGGGTATCGTCGACTTATTGTTCAATATGTTTTGTGTTGAACTAGTTTTAAATTAAATCTTTGAGATGTTATAATTAAATGTGAAATGTAATAAATTAAAAATGTCTGATGTTTCAAATTAAATCTGTGAAGTAATTCTAATTATTTAACTAAGTTTTGCTTTGAGGTTTTTATTTAGTATAAAAATGCTACATATGCTAGTCGTGGTCCTAGTCACATCATGGCTGAAATACTGCAGACTTGAATATAGAGATCTCTCACTCACTCACTCCACCCGTCGAGCACAGAAACATCCAAACTATCATAATTAACATGATTAATTATATTGGACATGACAAACAGCAGGGCAAAAGAAAGTATGCACCCATATTTAATTGTGACTAAAATTGAGAAAAAGAAATGGTTATTCGATGGTGATGTATTTCATACGGGTATCATAGTTGTGTTTTAGACCTTAGGTTGCAGTGTTTCGGCGACTGTTTTCGGCCTAGTAACGTTTTGATAACGTTTGTAATTTTTTGTAAAATCTTCTTTTCAAGTGTATACTTTTTTTATTTAACCGAATCAACAAACTGTAAGCATAAAAACATGCTTATCTTTGCTCATGGTCGCCTCCGGGCTCAAACAAAGCTGATGCGACGTAAAAGTTTTGATTTCAACTTTCCCACCCACACATAGTCTTCCGCGTGTGTTTAATACAAATCGTTCTAAGTATTTATCATCTACATCAACAACAAATACTGGACTTTCTATGTGGTATGCTTGTCGTGAGAGAGCATGACTAAATGGGACTGGGGAGTCTGTACAGAATGGCCAGGCCCGGGGTTATACCACTTTACCGTGTACAATTTCACGCTCAAATCCAGTTTCTTAACCCCCTGTTTATAAAATGGACTTGTGCGACATTGCCGAGGTCGGATTTCAAAGCTCGTACATTTTATTGACATCCTTAAAAGAGGCTACGCATAGAAAGGATGAGTTCCTCATGGTTTATTCTCCCTACAGTGTTTCCTTGTACGATAAACAACTTCCACTCCTCGTTTATTTCTTAATTAAGTATTTATCATCAAACTGATTTGCGTAAAAACGACATCTTTAACTCAAAATTCAGCTCAATAAACGAAGGTTGTGGATAATCGGAGTACGTTTTCGAGCTCAAGGTAGCCATGAACGCCCATAATCTGAAGAACGTTTGTGTAGGTGTGGAACGACATATCGGTTTTCATGCGACGATACGATACGTTTTTTCCTGTATCGATTCAAGACGATACGCTTACGAAAACATATTACTTACTACTTGTTTAAGAAAAGCAGCAATTTTTGCCAGTCAAATATTACAATTTATTTTGTTATTAGCCTCCCAAATGTGCTACTAAAAATAGCTGCTAGGAACATTATCTTCAGCTAGTTTTTCCATGTGAACTTGTTCTGACATATTTATAGACAAGAAGTTTGCACATGATTTGACGTAAATATGTCTATCGCAATATGTATCGTATCGTGGTCTTTGCAGTGATACGTATCGTATCGTGACTTTGCTGTATCGTTTCACCCCTATTTTGAGTATCAACGAACTTCAGAACAACATCCATCTCGTCCTGTTGCAGATGTCGGAGACAGCTGCAGCGACGTTCAACTACTTGGCGGGGTATCTCGCCGCTATGTACCGGCGCCTCCCAGCAGCCGTCACCAGAGTCTGCAACGTGGTGTACAGCACCCTGGGGTCCGGCTCCACCCTCCTGGTCCAGGGGATGCAGGGTGCACGGCGGCGCTTCTGCTTCATGGTGGGCTGGACGAAAAAGAAGGCCAAGTGAACGTCTCTTGATTTCCGACCTGATGCAACTCCTACAGTTTTCTCCTGTATGGTGTATATGGGAATTTCCTTGTTTGTTCTACGAAACATATGGTGTTAATGTCATAATTAAACTTTCATTGTCATAGTCAGGACTGTTTTTTGTTCTGAATACAATGGGGCTGTGCGCCAGCTGCTAGTTTCCATAACAACCAGCCAGTATATCCAAGGCCATAGTTAACCGGGGCAAATATTTGTACAAGTATCACTTGTCCCAAACTTGATTCAAATAAAACTATAAAAACTTCGGGGGGGGGGGGGGGGGGGGGGGGGGGGGACTGACAACACCCCCACCCTCCGGGTTGGCTAGGGCACTGATATCCTATATGTAAATGCAGAAGTATTTTGCCACAGATTTAGTTCATGATAGTGATTCAAGTGAGAGAATGAATGATATTTTATGTATATCCACATATGACACAGTCACATCACAACTGCCAGTTAATACGTATACAGTAAACTAAGGTTATAACTGTAGTTTGTTATAAGCATATGTACAGCATATATACAGAAAATGTCCGTGACCCCCAAAAAGTTGGTCATATCCATCAGTTTGTTATAAACGTAGTTTACTGTATTGTTGGTTTAGGATTTTTTATATAATGACACACTCAGCCATATTCAAGCTATATGATGGCAGTGTGTAAATATTCGAGTCTGGACTGGACACGCCAGTGTTTGATATTATGAGCATCAATCAATGCCATCTGGGTACAATGACACCCAATAATACCGATCCAAGAGGTCAGTCTTATGACCAGCAGGCTGCTGGGGACATATTCTAACCCAGAAACCCCATGAGTATTTAATTATTACACATAACCCAGAATAATACATAAACATATAAGAATGCATTTGGACACTTCAGTTTACACACCCTTCTAGTCAGGATCCTAAAGGGAGACTCCCATCTGTTCCTGTGGTTCTGTGTGTGCTTGATATATACTACTGTAAAGAAGTTAAGGACCATCTGATTCTTTTATATCATTATAGTTAACCTGTCATGCCATGACATACTAAGTATGATAATAGTATAAAGAAATCCAATCCGGCGTAGAACAGGTCTTCAGCAACCCATTATTGCTGTAAAAGGCAACTATGCTTGTCAAAAGAGGTGACAAATATGATGGGGTTGTCAGGCTCGCTGACTTGATTGATGCATGTCAATGTATCCTAATTGCGTGGATCGATGCTCATGATGTCAATCACTGGATTGGCTGGTCCAGACTTGATTATTTACAGACCGCTGTCATATACTTGGAATATTGCTGAGTGCAGCATTAAACAACAAACAAACAAACAAACAAACAAACAAAAAAAGAAGCGGTTGGTCCTTAACTTTTTTGAGCAGAATAATTGAAGATCGAGGAGCAATGATTCTATTTATATTTTCTGTATGGTTCTTCATTCCAGGCAAGTTATTTTTCTCTTAAAAGGTAGATCATGTTTTTCATTATCCCATATTTGTTAGTGACAGAAAATGACTTAAGAATCTCTAAAGAAATAACAACCTTGCTCTTTCATCTTATCATTTATCCCAGAGTCAAAATACAATTCGTACATACCCTGTTCACTCAACAAGTGGCCAGACATGGCACCATGGACAGAAACTAAAGACAAGAATCTTCCTCTGATAAGTTTATTTTCTATTTCATATAAAAATATATATATACTCACGCAATATGAAGTAAACAAGGTGTGTTTAACAAATAAACATGTCAACTGGCTGGTACTTAGCAAACTCAGGCAATATTGCACATCACCAATCTCTTGAGGGTTGTATCATTTGGACAGTGACAAGTCGGAATTCATGAGGTCTTGCATATTGAAACACACACAGAACACACAGGGAGAAGTCATAGTCGGAGTCAGTCAAACTTCTGGGCATCCCTGTGAGTTTCAACATCATATTGGAACCCCATGTAACACAGGAAACACTGCTTTCATTTTGAAACGTAATTTTTTTATCTTCAAATTTTCCGGAATCATCTGGTTAAGTCGATTTGGTGAAACCACTTTCATATCCCGGTATTCAGTTCAAGGTATGTGATGAGTGAGGTGGGACTACAAGTGGTAGAATCTAACAGTTTGAGTCCACTAGTCCTTATAATGATGATACATAGCAGAGCTACAGATAAGTTGTTTATTTGTGTAAAATACCCCCCCCCCAAAATGTTCAAAACCCAATTACTTTCAATTAACGTGCATATAGAAACACATGCATTAAATGAAAAACTCAAATGTATAGAGTGTGTGAGTGAGTGAGTTTGGTTTAACGCCGCTTTTAGCAATATTCCAGCAATATCATGGCAAGGGACACCAGAAATGGGCTTCACACATTGTACCCATGTCGGGATTCGAACCCGGGCCTTCGGCGTGATGAGCGAACGCTTTAACCACTAGCCTACCGACTGCCCCTCAAATTTATAGAAACAGCTCGCGTAAATACCCAATGAAGCTTTTTCAGCATGCATACAACGGAGCTAATTTCCGAAACACAATTACAAGCTAATTTACTTTCCGAGTCAAGCCTATAGTTAGAACCGTTTTATATATCTTAAACATTTTATTTCTTTTAAATCTCAAAATGTTTACTTATTTTGAGAAAAACCCAATAGAGTGATGAATAGATGAGAGAAAAAATATTGGTTAACCAATGGAAAATGTAATAATCCAATTAAAATAAAACCTTTTAGTAAAAGCTCAATTGCTCAAAACGTAATCTGGAACTCTGATATAGCAAAACCCTTAAAAATGGCAAATTTCTACTATTCCTTTTGATACCTTAACTATTGGGAAGTTTGGTAAGGACAACAGGACTAGTGGCACTTTCTAACGCTGGATAACACTGCTTTGAGCAACAGTTTAGTAATGGTCAGCTTACTGTTGGAAGAAAGTGCAAAATAGCAAGTCCTTGATATTATCCCCTTACAGAAGCCCAAGTTAGTTTTCGGTAAAGATTAAGTGTCCAGTAAAACCAATTGTCCATCACAGTGAGCCCAAAACGTTAGTCAGTAGGACACAATGAAAGCCTGCACCCTTAACTGCCTTAAGGCGAGGGTGTGGTCTGTCTGCAGTCAAACATCTTGAAATTTATGAAAACAAAATATTAAATTTTTTATGCACATACACAAGATATAAACAAAGTTAATAATCCAAGACAACATGCATCTTTGATTTGGTTAGACTCGCTTTTCTCCAGAACAGACAGTTTCCAGTACACCAACACTCTCACTCCAGGACTGACACTCTGTAGGTATAGTCATGGATGCATGTTCACATCTATAGGGTAGAGGGCCTATGAATCTGTTTGATTTGGGGGTTGGTCATTTCCAGCGAGAGTACTACAAAAAGATGTCTGTGAGCTACATACCCATAAACACACCTTAATATGCAATCATAAATACACATGCACACATCCTAATATATACACACACACACACACACAAAGACTTTGATACACATGCACGCCAATGAACACACCTGAGCAGACATACACCTTACCATGTAGACTTATGTACATGCATGCACACACATGCAACAATGCACACAAGAACGCATTAACAAACACACAAGAACACACACACGCACACACATGCACACTATGACATCCCAGGAATGTAAGGAAGACCTGTCGGAAGACCTGCACAAATCAGTCTCTCTATGATCAACAATAATCATGTGTTCCCAGCCTCTGCTGTCGATGTTGCGGCCTCCACCGATGGTGTGGCAGGCTTCACTGCGACCACACCCAGATAGTCGCTGGTGTTGAATGTCTCGGGCTGAACGAAACCTGCTTGTTTGGACCGACGGTCTGGATCTTGACTTCGCTTCTGTAAAACAGTTAAAGATGTTTGCTATTAGAAATATGAGTCAGACATAACTTGTGTCACTGAGAGGTCACATGTGTATTATTTGTTTAGGAGATAAACATACTGTGTTTTCAATGTAGAGCTAGGTTACCTGTAGATTTAACCCCGCTAAATTGAATTTGGAACCGAACGCGCAGCGTGAGGTTTCAAATGTTAAATTTAGCGGGGTTAAATCCACAGGTAACCTAGCTCTACATTGAAAACACAGTATGTTTATCTCCATTCTACCATGACTAAATAAAATGCGAACTCTTTGGTGTTAGCAAATATACTGAGTGAAGCGTCATGGGTTGAGTTCAGTGTTTTGAGTGCGTTATCGATCTGAATTACGGAATCACCGAAAAAAAAATATGGTGCTGTGTATCCTCAAGCAGTTTATTTATACCGTAATACTTCAATCGAACATATGACAGGCATTGAAAGCATATAAGCACGGCAACTTGGTAAGCAAACATGAGGTGGGCATTCGTAAAGAAAACAAAGCAAGCTTTGCAAGGCTTTCGCTCTACATCGCACGTCACCATTATGACGTCATGCCGCTCATTGTGACGCAAAAGATATGACGTCACAGTCATATATAGAAAAGCGCCAAAATTCCAAGCTCTCTGTTGTCTCCAAAACGTAAATACATTCCCTTTGTTGATTTCTGTCGTGTTTTTCTGCACAAAATGTATTGCCACACATCCTTTGTATATTGTATTAACCGCATCTGTGCATTTTGTAACCTGTAATTGCAGATATAATTATTTAAATACGCCTACCGACAACGACTGAAAATAGTACCATTCTACAAATATTAGCTTCCGCGGTGAAGCGGCCGTCAAACCAGCTGTTTCAATCAGAGGGGGTTTATTGTGATTTAATAGCCTCTGATTGACCAATCAGAATCGAGTAAATTCCAAATTCATGGTAGAATTGTTGTTTAATGCTGTATTCAGCTATATAACATCAGTCTGTAAATTATCAAGTCTGGAATGGAAAATCCAGTTATTAACATCACAAGCATCGTTCTATGGAATGGCGATATGATAATATGCATCAACCAAGTAAGGAAGTTAACCATCCGAACCCATTAGTCGCCTCTTAAGAAAAGCATGGCTTGTTGAAGACCAATTCTAACTCGGATGGTGCCAGGGGACGGTACATGTGAGATAAAGTACCGTATTCGACATAATAAGCGCCCGCTCTAATAAGCGCCCACGGCGTTATTTGCTTATATAATGGTTAGTGAACAATCCCAGTTAGCACCCTTTCCGATTGATCAATGTACACAAGACTTATTTATTCGTGTATAATACGCACTTGTTTGTTATATGCACCCTTAATTATGGGCAATTTAATTCTCGAAAATATATCTATCGTGTATAATACACACAGATTCTTCTTTCATATCATTTCAGGCTGTCAGCATAAACCACAAAATTTACAATCCTTTTTAATCTCACCAAAATTATATTCTAATAAGAGCCCCCTATTTCTAATTTTGAGAGCGCCCTGGGCGCTTATTACGTCGAATACGGTACTTGTTTTTATGGTATAGGGCGGTTTTACACATTAGGTAGGGTAGGTTGAAATGAAACTGAACATGATAATAATGATAAGTGTCTCTAGTGCGACATATTGCCAAAAACAATAAACGTATAATATGTCTAGTGTCTGACATTGTTTCCATGGAAACAGAATATTTGAGAAATAACACTTTTACAACAATTCAAAATAGCTAAATGCACCCTTAAAGAACTACTAGAAACATCTGCATTTTAAAGACTGTGTGAAACACACCCTTAAAGATAGCATTCTTACAGCTGGTGATCACCCCTCAATACACAAGACCCATCTTAAGATGGATAAAAAAAAGACGAAAAAAAAAGAAGACCCATCTTAACCACCTAATCCCCATATAGAGGCCAAACAGTGATCCCTGGACTCCAAGTACCGCAGGAGGTCACCAACATCAAGTACAGCAGGAGGTCATCAAGTACAGCAGGAGGTCATCAGGTACAATATTGTGTCACTCACCGGACTGACGATGGACGATATTTTCTTCATGAAGCCACCGAGAGATCCGAAGTCGTCCTCTGCCTTGCTGACTGATTCCTCCATCTTGCCAACACTCTGCTTCACCACGCCCACAAACGCCTGACAGAGACAAGCAAGACATCAAGTGACACATCTTCCCGAGGCAACAGAGTTAACTGACTTTAAAAGTCCAGTTTCCACCCTTGCCGAACTAGGCTGGAATTCCTGGGCTCGATGTTAGCGCCACCAGTGGCTATTATGAGTTATGTCCCTTCTATGCCTCTCCTATGGACCAATCAGATTCCACCTATCGTATCACTTGTATTTGCTACAAACAAAATGGCGCCCAGTCAAGACGATCTAATCGATAATCAATCGTACCTGTTAAGGTATGGGAGTTACGATCACCTTAGCGCTAAGATCGCTTTGTACAACAGCACCATGGTTTGCAATCCTGCATCCTATATGCACAAAAATTGAAAACTGACTCAAAAGAAATACAGAGTGCATCCACTGGGATGCCAAAATTTTGTATGCTTGTTTAGGAATAAATGCTGCTATTTCATAATTTGGACCCACTGTAAATTTATTTCTGTATGTAATCATTTAAAAACTACAATATGCAGGCGAGAGCTTCCCTATCATCCAGTGAAAGCCTTGAATATTTGTTTAACTTTGGGAACTACTTTCGAGCATGTGCAATTGTACGTCACTTGTGGTCGTGTACTCAAAAATAATTCACATTTCTCTGGGATCCCCATTTTTTAACCTGGGACCCATAAAACTAAAGGTTTTGGCATCATCAGGACCCCCAAAATATATAACCCAGATAAATCATTCAGTAACTGTATACACAAGCGATGTCACTCTGTGGTCGTGACATGATCTGATATTACCATCATGGAAGAGCAAAGAAAACAATTGAGTGATTTATCATCTTTCTGCAGACATACTAGATTTATCTTACAGCCAGGTATACAGGAAGATATATCCTGAAATGAATTACAAGCAGGTACACAAGACTGTGCCTGTAACAGAGGGAGTATAGTCCATACCTCCAGTTTGTCAATCTTCTCAAATATGACCTCCATCTCAGTACACTTGCCGTGGATGTCCGGGACCGTCTTGTTGAGACACAGCGTCGTGTCACTCCGAATCTAAAACACACATTATGAACCTCCAGTGATGTCATGCTATTGTTCTCCAGTTGGGATAAATCTCATAATAGGATATGTTATAATATCCCTGGGATTTTATTAATAAACCTTTGTTTATATTGTAACATATTAATGTTTCTCGCTCAAAATTTATTTTGCATTTGAACATAATGTAATGAAGTGTGAAATCAAATGACAAATGTTTTCGTCATATGCCCGAGGAACGAACACGCAACCTGTGTAAAGGTATCCCTGAATGTGTATCACAAGGCTAAAGAGGTGCTGATAAAACACAAAGCTTTAAGAAAAAAATTTTAAGTATCAAAACATCAGCAGAAGACATTTTATGCATGTTTTATCCCACGGATGCGGGTTTTAAATAGTGCCACCAGTGGCTATTACAAGTTATGTCCCTTCTATGTCCCTCCTGTTGACCAATCAGATTCCACCTCTTATATCACTAGTAATTGCTCAAAACAAAATGGCAGCTCCCAGTCCAGATGATCTGATCGATAATAATCTATATTGTACTAAATGGGTCTTACTTGGCAAAGTGCAGCAAATTACTTGTGCACCTCGATAAAAAACATGAAAAGATTTGGAAAATATCTGGCGACACCCAGTTGACGGTACACATGCTTGTCAAATTCTGCAGTCGACCGAATTCTGCGAGTTGAAATCCATGTTGGTTACGAACCGGATGTCTAGTTAGTTATGCGATTTTGATTGGACTGTGAATAGACTCCTTAGTCCAGCCAAAATAAAACTCCGGAATTAAAGCCAAGTCGGCAAGAATGGAAACTGGATGCTTTAGTCTTTCTTTCTCCATGTAATTTATGACATTATAGGCCAATTCTCAAGCCTGAGATATATGATTTGGCCATGTTTATTTGACATGTTTATTTGTTTGTAATTAACTTCTGTCAAATTTTTAGAGAATTCTAGTATCGACTTGTCACACCGACCTCTTAATAGTCTCATGAGCAGCACATGTGTCCACGGGTGAAGAGTCAATTTCATCGTCATGACTACATGCATACACCCTCTCTATCTAGCTGTAGCAAAACCAGATATGTTTGCCCCAATTCTGTGCATCACCTACATGTCTGATATGTGTTTTGTGAGTTGGATCAACTTGTCCTGGATTACCTGTAGGCCTATGTTGAGTTACTCACCATGTCCACAAGTCCACAGAACTCATCCAGTTTTGTCAGCATGTCCTCAATACTTTCACTGAACTTGCCGTGCTGAAATATACACCCACCATGTTAAATCATTACCAGTACCGTATTCGACGTAATAAGCGCCCACAAGCGAACAATCCCCATTGCACCCATTCTGATTGATCAATGTACACAAGACTTATTTATTCGTGTATAATACGCACTCGTGTGTTATATGCACCATTAATTCTTGGCAATCAAATTCTAGAAAATTATATCTGTCGTATATAAAGATTTCAGGCTGTCAGCATAAACCACGAAATTTACGATCTTTCAACTCAATTTTTTTTCACCAAAATAATGTTCTAATAAGAGCTCCCTATTTTTAATTTGAGAGCGCCCTGGGCGCTTATTACGTCGAATACGGTTTCAGTATTCCAGTAAACAGCAGTGGTTCTTAGGTCTGATGATGTACTTGATAACACATAAGCAATATCATTAACAGTAATAGTTATCAGTTATCAATAACATGCAGACATTAAATCATTTAGTATAATTCCCAGTGCAATAATTCATGGTACAAGCACTCATGTCGCAGACAAACAACCGATTTGTCTGCGCTACATGTCAACCGGCAACAGAATGTGACCCTGCCCAAACAAATGGTTCCTCTCATTCATATCGACAGCAGAATGGTATCATTGACAGTAACCACGCCCCTCTATCAGAGCTCGGTCTATTGCGTACCTCGCGTGTGAGATCAAAGCTCATGTATTTGCTGTAGTCGCTGGCGAGATCCTCCATGAGCTGACTGTTGTCCATGATGACGGAGTCTGGTGTGTTTGATCGCTCATCGATCTCGGATTTCACAGATGCTTCTCTCTGGAGTTCCATGGTCGAGCACCTGACATAAACTTCCGGGAAAACTGACATTCAAAGGGACATCACTCTAATTGCCTTGAGTTCAAGCAGACCGCGGGGACTTGCTCCCTGCCATTGCTGAAACTGTGGTCGAATCCGGTTCTTTAGAAAAAAAATATACTGACAAAAAGAAAGCGGCAAATCGTCTTCATTAAGTGAGTGAGATGTTTTACAGTTGTCCTCGTGATAAGGGAGAAAACTACGAATGTTTCTTAAACGTCCGAAAATCCATAACACGGGGATATTTCCTGTAATTCTTTTTTCAAGTATATTTATTAATTATCATATTCTCTGATATTTATCCATACGAGTAGTGTACTTTATAAACCCCTAGAACCAACGGCAAACAGAAGAAATAAACATTCTCCTTGTCAAAAAACCAAAATGGATTAATAATTAATATATATACTATAAAAAAAATACTGGATAAATCCTCACTCACTTCATAAAGACGACTTTATCTTTAAAAAAGGACATCATCTGAGTATTTACAATGTCTGTATATAGCGCGAGTAATCGAGATAATCATGGCTGTCCGAAAACGTATGATGTCCGAAAACCTGTGATCCGGCGATATATAGATACAATGTGTTTTATGTGTTTGTGTATATCTTACCGCAATCACAATTTAAACGCGGTTGGAAAATTATTTTTACGAATATACAACCCCAGGTCCAGGATAAATAAATGTTGTTTACTACGAATCCGAATAACCGCTGTTTCTGATCAGAGTGTATGACTATGTTTTCTTTAGCAATATTCAACCAATATCAGAAATGTACTTGTCACATTGTAAATCCAAAGTACATTATTCGGGTGTACACAGTTGCGTCCCGAAGGCGTACTGGAAACCTGCCTAGGACAGTGAATTCATATCCAGATTTGACCTTATTTGTTAGGACTATACCCATGCTCGTGTATTTCAACAAAGTGAGTCAGTGAGTGAGTTGTGTTTAACGCTGCTTTTAACAGTATTCCAATTATATCACGGCGTGTCAGCTTAATGTGGGAGGAAAGCCCGAAGTGATGCAGGTCTCAGACGTTTACCACTTCGGTGAAACCCACGAGCACGGGTATGGTGCTGACAAACCTAAAAACATAATTGGCGTGAATCGAGATTCTGAACCCAAAATAATTGGTTTCTGGCACGCACAGGGGACGCAACTCTGCACAGCGAATCGCGGCGCCTTAGGCGACTGGGCCTCCCATGCCAACTTTTCAACAAACTGGTAAGCACCTTTGTGAGTCGCGATGACATTGCTGGAATATTTCTAAAAGCGGCGTAAAACCATACACACTCACTCTTTATTATGATAATATTACGTACTGTAATAAGTAGTTGTTCATCCATATATCGTATCCTTACTAAGTACTCAAACTCCTAAATGCCTCTCAAGGATGTTATGTCTGCGAGCCATTGTCACCACACACCCGGTAATCTATGTTATAATCCCAGCTGGTATATATATATATATATATATCCCGGTACATTCATGACATACCAGGCAAAGACAACCCGCAGCCCCTCGGGAGCTATCGCGTGACAGCCGCGTTGATACCATCACACCAGATAGCCGGTTGGGGAATATAAACGGGAGGAGATTAATTTAGTCTTTGTCAAGAAATTAGCGAAGTGGAATTAGCTCTGTGTATCTTTCCTTAAATGGTGATTAATATCTTCGGGGTTGAAAGAATCAGTGCGTAAGGTTACACCCGTCGACACCGCTCGTGTGATTACAGATGTCATTTGGGGACAGACTGAGTGGCCCGAGCTGGTTGGTAGCGTCTCGGTGGCTGAGCAATCCAATACCGGGAATTTGTAGGCCTGTTCCACAAAAGATATCAGCCCTAAGACGTAACTTCCATAGTGTAACACTGACTTTTGTCGCTTTAAGCTGCCTGCAAATGTAGTCATATTTAGAGCGGCGGGTAAATGAATGTTGTTTGAAACGACAGACAATAGTTTTGAGGTAGGTTTGGAAAAAAATCATCTGTCTAGTAGAGCCAGCTATCTTTTACATGAAGGAACTGGCTTTGCCAGCATCGATCTAGCTAAATGGGAGATCAACAAAATAAGTTATTTTCGGCCCACTAATGCAGATGGAGTTGTGTCAGGTGGACATGGTTTCTGTTCCAACCTTCGTGCCGATTTTGAACCATTTACGTGTCCTTGAATGTCATCAAAATAGTTAACGTCTATGGTGTGCGTCAATTTGGACTGTCCGGCAAGCACTGCATGAAATACTGTTCAACCAGGTGTTGCCAGTAAACCGTAATATACTGAGGAGCAAAAGAAAATATACCTCTCAGTTAATTTTATGATATGTTTGATTTTCAAATTGAAAATATCTCAAGTCAGCGATAATATATCCACAAGAATGAACTGTACTGGCGCTTAGTCAGCACTCAGAGAATACTTCTATATGATTTTATTTTGTAAATATAATTTGATTTAATTCACAACATGCCAAACATGGTAGGGTTCATGTGGTTGCAAATACATTTTTTACCCCAGTCTTCATTGAACCAATTTATTTTTACACAAAATTACTTAGCCACCGATTTTTTTACAAACTGTTGCAGGAATGAGTGTTGGTTAAATAGACACGATCAAATTTAACAACAGTTCTTTTAGTTTTTATTAACATAAAAAACAAACTCAGTATACGTTCTTTCGCCCCTCAGTATATACTACTCAAAAGAAGTTAACGAACATCTGAAAACTCATGTAGTTAATCTGTCATGCCATGACGAGATAATCGGGTATTCTTTAACTTTTTTTAGTAGTATATCCGAAACACGCACATCACCCCTGTGATCGTGTACGGCAAGTGATCTTTCCACAAAGGAAGTGAACGCTTACTCATCGTTTCGTGTAGCATTTTCCTATATTTCTCGAGTTCTAAGAATGTATGTCCATACCTTTCAATGCTCTAAAGCAAATATACTAGGTGAAATGGGGTTTAACGCAGCGTCTAAGATTATTGTACTTATATAGCGACGTGCATGCGCGTGTGTGTCTGCATGTGCTAGTCCGGATAGCAAAGATACTAAGTGCAAAAAACCGCTAAACGTGGGTTCCATCCTAAGTTAAAAAATGAAATTATTTTGTAGTGATGAAGATGACTGTCGCTTTTCCAATGTCAGCGTATTAAATGTTCCCTGAAACTAGTTGTAATACTATGTTATAGTTAAATTTAAACAGAATGGTACATTTGTGAAACATCGCTTGCTGTACACGACCACATGGATATGCATGGATAGCACAAGAAGTTGGGGATAAAAATGTTTTTATTTCCATGTTTAAACAGACTATTTGACAACTTGCAGCAAACCTGGAGTGTAAACGTGAACAGTTTATCTGACTCTTATTTCTATAAACATTTTAAATCGCTACTAAATGTTGAATATTACTTAAATTCACCACTTCCATCTCACTTAAAAAGGATTTTATCACGCTTCAGATGCAGTAACTTTCCAATAGCAGTAAATACTGGAAGATACCATGCCACACCATATGAAGAAAGACTCTGCCCTCTCTGTCTATCTACAAGTAAGTACTTTCTTGAACATGAATATCATGTATTATTAATTTGTGAATCTTACAGCTCCCTTCGTAATGCACTTTTAGATAAATATATTACCTCTAACCTTCAGCATAACTTTATCACTATTATTTCCTTAGATGCATATGATACCTTATATAAGATATCTATTTTTCTTACCAAAGCTCATCAACTTAGGGTAAATAGTAAATAATCCACTGCGAATAAGTAAAAATAAATGTTAAAAAAATAAAAATTAAATAATGTAAATTTTCCCAGTTTGTAAATATGTCATTTTGTGCAGGCTTTATGTATTCCTGCATATGTATGTATTTTGGGCCAGTGGCCTTTTATTGAATAAATTGTCTGTCTGTCTGTCTGTCTGTCTGTCTGTACACGACCACAGGGGGTGTACCTGAAGCATGATTGTAAATATATAAAACCAAATATATCGGTTCGTCAACATACACGCAACACGGCCCGTATCTCCCTCGTGTTGCTGTCGGCTCAGGTGGTGGTGACACGCACGGCAGATGTACAGATAGGTCTATGTGTAGTACGGTGTCATGCAGATAAAGACTAGCCTATACGTCTTGATCACTAACCATGTGTCATTTAATAAGACTGCAACACAAGGTAGAATTCAACCGCACGCATGTACTATTGGTGCGCTCTGGCGGATTGCGAATACGAGCAATAGACCTCCGCTAGGTTCTCGGGGGGTAATTTAACTTTATGAGCCCTGAAGGTCGAAGGTACGGTCTATACATCACGTTGGAAGATCAGACGGTATTGAAACAATCAGCATGTTGTCTAACCTTTGTGACGGAAACACCGCCACGCGAAGCAGGTGTATTCAGTCACATCAACGATTGGGGTCGACGGACCATTGTGAAGCATTCGCGACCAACTCGTGTTATTCCGGGACAAGCCGAATCTTCTTGTTGGTTACGGAAAGGGGCGAGTGGTGACGAATGCATTGTGATGGTTCCCGGAAGATGCTGACGGTAAAGTGCTAGGAACGTATAGTTGGTCCCGTGAGTCGTATGTTCGAATCCCGATGCTTCTGACATATTCGGTTAAATCTTTCAACCATAATTCAGTTCTTTCAAATGAAACGGGTAGGTCATATATAACTCATTTTTATTGGGAATCCGAGTTGTGTCTTTCAAGGTCTAAACTTCTAATTACATATGTGAAAGGTTCCGTGAACTATACAGTAAAAGGGGTTTCCACATCAACAGATGAGAAGTATATAAGATGTGAACCGTGAATATAAAGTAATGCAGCCAGAGCGAAACAAAATCGCCCAGTTGACAAGCTGTCCTCCATTAGGTGCATACCCATGCACCTGCTTTACGTACACTCAAACTGCACACAGAAGCCAGCTGTTCTAGTTTGTTTGTTGTTTTAACGCCACACTCAGCAATTTTCTAGCTACATGACCGCGGTAAATAATCGAGTCTGGACCAGACAATTTAGTGAT